TATAAAACTATTGTGCAGGGACCAGTGTGGCGTGGTGCGGCTGGAAGGTCTATGGCGCGGCTTCCACCCCTTGCGCGGGTGGTTTGACTGGGCTCCCGTAGCGGGAGGGAAAACAAAAATTTTCTCTGCCGGCTCACAGGGGGTTTTGGGGTCTTCCCAACCGACAACAAAGGGGTAATTTGAAATAAAAATCGAGTATGTTATTAAGTTTGATGAGCAGAACAAATTGGTGTCAAAATCGAGTTCGAATACCCCCAAATTGGGGGGGCGTGTTGGGAGCGCGAGAGTTTTTTTTTTGGTAGGTTATGAATAACTTATGATATTCTATGTGAGCTATGACCACCCTGTGGGGATAGGTCAACAAACTAATTTGGTAGGTCAACCTATCTGCATCCTGTCTTAGTGCCAAGCTAGGTTAACAAACTAGGTATTTTGGTAGGTTGAGTGACCTGTATTCACTGCTACTAAGCCCTTATACAGTCCAAAACCTAAAGCAGAAATAGAGTAGACTACTAGGTAATGTTCTTCTAATACTCTGTAAGTGCTAAGAATGAAGTTATCACCCTCCTACAGACAGCTTTTGAATCAACCTTTTGAACCTGCCGCCAACACTATGGTATTTGCAAGCCATGAATACCAACAGAAATACTACAGATGGAAAGCGTGATCAAAAGATGTTACTACTAGATAGGGAATCAGATTGAGGTTGTTCTCATTATTGCCTATTAGACTATAGTGCTGATTACAGCTGACAGTATGGAGCATAGCTCTTTGGGAGCTGACATTGGACTGATGGACTATATCGCTGATGTCACCGATATATGTATGGCGAAGACATGTAATGATGTACAAATTGTACTCTGAGACTTAGTCATCTGGATACTCATCACGTATATTACTTACAAATGTCCGACTTTCTTCATCCCATCTCTTGAAATGTTTCCCGGCAATCACCAAAAACACTGGGGGTAGTTCAGATAAGGACGGTGTAATGATCTCGATATTCTCTTCGGCGACATATCGTACGCTCCTATCTTCGACACTATAACGCCAAGCGGGAGGTTAGAACCAGTTTCATGGCCAGCCACCTCAATGTATAGTTTATACTCACAGAGCGTGATAAAAACTCTGATGTCTCCCAGCTCGTAAACGATCCACGCCCATTCGCCTCATCCATTGCTCTCCAGCTCCACATTCGGCATCCCATCCGGTTATTATGGCCCTATAATTATAGCGCCTATGGCGAAATACTTGGCCTATACGATATCTGACATTTTTATGCTCAGATGTACGATGCCGAACTTGTCTGGGCATCTCATCAACGGCTCGCATAACATGGAGACTTTCCAATAGGTGCTCATATTCAAGGAATCCCTGAAACAGCGGCACGAGATAACGTTCAACCAAATGAATATCTGAGGGAAAATCAGTCGCGAATAGCTCCATCAGCCAAGGCAGATGCTGCCTGAGCTCCACAGGCCGTGCTGGACCGGTGAATAGCATTAACGCCCAAAGGCCGGCATACTTAGCACCCACAATATCTAGAGCTGTCGAGGAGAAACTTGGTGGGCGTGACATCTGCTCAATTGAGTTCAGAATATTTTTCCCACATCGCAAAACAATCTCCGATGTCAGCGACTCGCCAAGGAAGGTTGATTGCTCGGGGCCTGAAGCACCCAAGAAAATGAGCTGATTTCGCAGTTCTGAGACAGGTGTTTCATTTGCTGAGCGAAATGGGTCCATATACATGGGTTCTCCTTGTGAGCCATTGGGTAATGAACGACCATCCATGTCAGTGCCGAGAGCAGGCATGATGATGACGTGGACGTGGAAGGGAAAGCCGCACGGACGAGCATTGAGACCAACACTTTGTGCGACATAGCAGTAAATTGCTGCAGATATGAGGGGTAGAGAATTATGGTTAGGGTCCCTCAAAGCAACCCCGAGAAAATTGTGTTCGAGGTCGTGATATTCCCTGCCAGGCTCAATGCCAGTAAGGTTGTTCTCTCGCAGAAATGATGCAACAGCAAGAGCTTTCGCACGAGGGCTAAGAAGTTCAATGTCTGGGTGTTCTGTCACAAGCTTAGTGACGATATTATCAAGCATGCCGGTTATCTGTAGAAGTAGTCAACACTAGACTGACAAGTGCAGATTTTCCAAACCTGGATGGTGACATACCTCGTCTAGACTGCCAATCTGACTCTCCGGAATGAAAAGATCAAAAGCTCCCAGGGCACGCTCAAGAGAGACATGTTCCCCATTTCTTAGCTTGGCCCACTCCGGTATAGCCATGTTTCGATGAAGGCAGCCAAGGATAGCATTGCTGTAGTACCTTTACCAAGAACACGTGTCAAAAGGAGTCTTCAGGCAGTGAACTTGGTAGAGCAAAGGGCTAACCTTCGTGCCAAATGGTCATCTTGATCGGGTCCTGCTTGACTGTGTCGTATGAGTGTGTCCTTCACATCATATCCAAAGTTGATGATGGTGTGGAACTTCTCAATACGACCACTCTGACTAGCAAGAATACTATCCAAAGCTTCGCTGGTGGCTGCATCTATGAGGTGCCTCGTGGCATAAAGTTTTTTCCAATCGACTAAATGCGCTGGGCCTGCCAATTTCTTCTGAAATTCGTGTCGCTTATCCCAAAAGTTGAATAATGTCTGACAATAGAAGCGCCACAGTAGAGGCTCATTTGTAACATTTCTAAACCTGCGAGCAGTGCGCTCTAGAGCAACACATTCGCGGGGGTGAAGGTAGCGCAATATTAAACGGAGTATTTCATCCGGGAGTAGCACAAGGGGCCCTTCCATCATGGCATGTAGGTCACGTAACGGAAGGCTGAGAGATCACAGCTTGATGGATACGAGATGCTTACCTAGCATAACTATCTCCAACTCGCAGGTTTCCTTTAAGGGAGCAAGTAGTAGTCAGGCATAGGGGAAAAAGAAACTGCCCTGCAATATGAACACTTCAAGTGAAGGGGTCTTGCAGCGACATAGCAAGAATGAGTTGAACCCAGAACTTTTTGTATACCAAAAAGATATCTAGCGTTATTCAGTATGACGTTAGATTCATCTAGACAATCTTCTGGGTTGCACTTTTCACCGGCATATTTCTGCGGCAATTTTACCAATTTGCAGTATCTCCGGAGTACAAGTCAGCGTATGCAAAAATTGGTGCAGTTTTGGCACCTGAACTGCAAAAAAACTGTAACTTTTATATATACTAACTTAAAAACTAAAGCTTTTTAATTTTTTTAAATAAAAAGAGATATATAATCTTTATACTATTATCTTTATGATGCTTTTTTTAAGAAAACCTTAATATTAGGCTTATAATTTATATTTAAAATCTGCATACAAAAGATACAATTTTTGCAGGTTCAGGTGCCAAAACTGCACCAATTTTTGCATACGCTAAAGCCACCTTGTTCAGTATAAGCATGTGTGTCCCACTAATCAACAATAAAGACAACAGCTTCTAAGGAAAAGTTGTAATTCCACTAAGGAATGCATTTATAGAATTGAACCTATCTTTCCTCTTCGCTATTTACACCGCCAGGACACCAGGTCAGTTCGCAGGTAACAAAATTAGTCATGGGGCAAACTCAGTCTACTGGTACTCCTGAAGAGCGTGGCTCTACAGATAGTCGGGCAAGTGGAAAAGCAGATTATTACAAAATTCTTGGTTTGGAACGAGATGCATCAGAAGATGAGTGAGTCAAGATCTAATTTGACACATTCGAGGCACACTTACAGCTTTCCCCAGGATCAAAAGAGCCTACAGAAAGAAAGCATTAGAATTACATCCTGACAGAAATTATGGCAATGTGGAGGCTTCGACAAAACTCTTCGCTGAAATTCAGTGCGCGTACGAAGTTTTGTCTGATCCCCAAGAACGAGCGTGGTATGACTCGCATCGAGATGCGATATTCGCAGATGAGAAGACGTCTTCGGGAGAGCAGACCTATGGCGGTATCCACATGACGACTGCCTCAGACATCTTGGCGTTAATCTTCAAGTTCAGTCCTCGGATGGAATTCTCGGACTCACCTAATGGGTTCTTTGGCGGACTCAGAGAAACGTTTGACCAAATTGCGCGAGAAGAAAAGCTGGCGTGCCGATGGAATAAACTCGATCCGGTCGAATACCCCTCATTTGGAAGGCAGAACGACGACTTCGAACAAGTAGTTCGCCCATTCTATACGGTCTGGAGCAACTTCTCAACGAAGAAGTCCTTTGCCTGGAAGGATATCCATCGATATAGCGAGGCACCTGATCGTCGCATTCGCAGGTTAATGGAGAAGGAGAACAGGAGACTAAGAGAAGAGGCCATTCGTGAGTACAATGATGCTGTCCGGTCTCTTGTAGCCTTTGTGAAAAAGCGTGATCCACGTTACAGGTCAAATCCTAAAAGTGAGGCTGAGCGTCAGCGGATGCTACGTGAGGCAGCTGCTGCTCAGGCTGCCAGATCGAGGGCGGCAAATCAGGCAAAAATGCGTGATCATGTTACTCCAGAATGGGCTAGGTCAGAGGAACCAGAGGAAGAACTCAGCAGCAGCTCCGAGTCTGACTTGGAACAATTCGAATGCGTCGTGTGTCGCAAGATATTCAAGAGTGAAAAGCAATTTGAGGCACATGAGCGTAGCAAGAAGCACATCAAAGCAGTCAAGCAGCTTCGCTGGGAAATGACAGCCCAAGATGAGGAACTACAATTAGAAAGCCACGAGTCGACGATAAAGTCAGAGGATGTGCATAAACCACCCTCTGTACATAGTCCCGAGCCTTTAGGTCCTTCCGCCGGCCACACGGGGGACGTTTCGGAGAGTGTATTCGATCTTGTTAACGAAAATATCTTAATCTCAGAACCAGAACTAGGAACTCGGTCAATGCCTGGCTCGGAGGATGAAGATGATGATTATGCCATTAGGGAAACAGTTGAGGCAAGAATATCGCCGGGTCTTTTCAACGAAACTGAAACAATACATACTCCAGGAACTTTAGAACATTTCTCGTCGCTATCTCTCGATGATCATTCCAACCAAGATACACCAAAAATGGGGAAGGCCAAGCAGAAACGCGCCAAAAGGGCAGCACGGACTGCAACTGTGGAAAAGTCAAAGTTGACTTGTGCTTCTTGTCATGTTGCATTTCCTTCCAGGACTAAGCTTTTCGCACATATCAAGGCGCTGGACCATGCTCAGCCTGTGAGTGCGTTCCAGACTGGAGGAAAGAAGCAGAAACGCTAGGTGATATACTCTCCGGTTTCCTCTGTCGATTGTTTTATGCTGTACATACATATGTTTTCTCTTTTTGGGACTTCATGGATGGCTCTATTTTGTCTATTATTGTTAGCACATTACTCAAAGCGTTCCATTCAGGATCGAACTGCTTAGCATTGGCACTTTGCCTATTACCTAGATGACAGATCCATGCCTCTTTCAAGTCTTTATTATCCTACAATGTTGCAATGGCTATTAAGGAACAATAGAAGTGCTCAGGATGCAATCATGTATACTCTAACCTAACCCAGCACGGGAATTTTTAACAACATGTGCCACAGGCTGTAGAATGCCCTTATTATTCAAGGCTCCAAGAGCAGTCCCACTGCTCCATCCCATTTTCTCCAGCATCGCTCTCCCCTTATTGTCTGCGCCGATCTCTGGCGCAGACGCACCTACAATATCACCATCCGCATATGATACAGCCGCATTAGGTCGGTTACGGCGACCTTTGCTGTACGAGCTTGGGCCCTTGTTTTCTCCGGAAATGCCCATGCGGCGACTGAATCGTCGTTGAGAGAATATTTCATCGACTTTGGAAATGTTTCTGTCGGTAAACTTGAGGGTACGAGACGTTTTGTAAAGCACTGGGAATCTAGCAGCACCATTTCCTCTGGATTGTGACTTTAGAGACATGGCGTTGGCAAGTTCATGCACAACCCTTCTATGTTTTTTATTCATGGGCGGTAAAGGTAGGCTAGACAAATATTAGCGATTTGAATCGACTCGACCATCACCAGTTTAAACATACCTCTCCGAGGAGGACAGTAGAAAAGCTTTCACTTCCGCCTTCAGGTCTTCCATGCTCATTCCTAGTGCATACTTTTTCCAATCTGTTTTCCCTGTCTTCCTTCCTAGTAATCCTTGTGAGCGAAGTTGCTCCCTCTGTTGCTTTCTAGCTTTCTTTTTTGATCGGTCATTTTCCCAGGCCCTTTCCAATTGCAGTTCTAAGTCGCTGTCGCTGGGTTCGAAATTAGAAACATGATGGCTGCCCTTTGATTTCTTCCTGAGACTCGGTCGATCGAAGTCCATTATATCAAAACCAAGATAAGAGTCTTGCTCAAGTGCATCAGCAAACGTTGGCGCCGATGTCAAATTTTGTTTTCGCGATCTCTTGCTCCTTCGTCCCCCTTCTGTAAAACGATGTTCTTGGACGACAGGTAATAAACCCTCAGAACTCTCTGAATCCACTGCATCGTCGGATATATCATCCCTGTCATCACTCAATTCCTCGGCATCGAGTCCTGCTGAACCCTCATCGTCTAATTCCACACTTTGGTTATCTTCCCACGCAGCACATTTCATTGGCAGAGATTTGGGGTCTTCCCCCATGTTTCCAGAGGATTGGTCGTCTGAGATATGCATATCTTCCAGGTACCTGAGACCACCCGGAGTGGGAGACCCTGGCCTCAGCCCGCGGACGTGATCTATGTCCGGACTGTCCTCGGGCATGAGGGATTCCGTGGATAGTTCAGCTAAGCTTTCTTCATCCTTATCCATATTCGCTATGTAATCGGAAATTATTTCTGCTTCGTCTGCCAGCAAGTCGTTCCGGCGCCGCCTTCTTCTGCGCCTTGACAGGTTTTTATTTAACTTTATCGTTTCATTCACGCTTGGTCCATCTCCGATAGGCGTTGTCAATAGCGACGGCTCCTTGTAGGTAGTCTTCCTTCGCGGGAACTTTTGGGTTACAGTGAAGTGAAGTTCATCTCTCGGTGTCACAATTTCTGACGTTGTGTTGACAACTGTAGCCGATACGGGTGACGTCTGTGAGCTTCGATCATGAGAGTGGCGAGAACGACTCCAGTAATTGCTTCTTCCTGTGAATACTACCTCATCCTCGCTGCTATTTGATACGCTTGGCGACCGCGACACGACAATTGATCTGGTTTCAGAAATCGATGTGGTATGCCTCTCTCCATCTAGGTCGATGAAAAAGAGGTCATTTTTGTCTGGCAGCATATCTGGAGGTTCTGGGGTGTCATTTGAGTCTTTTGCAGTAGCTTCCCCCTCCATTTTCAGTTGCTGTATGCCTTGTTGCTCATCCTGTGGTGCCGGAACCTTAAGTTCACCCAGTCGCATACAACCGGCACTCACGAAGTTGACTTTGAGATTTCGCAATTTGGGGTGCGATGAATTAGGCCGCCATGAGCTATATCGCTCGGTGTTTTGTCCCTGTTGCTGCATTATAAGTTGTGTGTTCTGGGTAGCATAGTGGAATTAGCGCGGGTAATTTCTGAAGCGTACTCCGGAGTGTATTCAGCAGAACTCTTACCGGCGCCAGAGTTATCCCTGCTAGGTTGAGTGGGGTAGAACAGCCATTGGAGACTAATGTGACCTGATTGCAGTGTCTGGTGTGGTTTCCAGGTATTCAAGATGAGCCTTGATCTTGACTGGACAACAATTAGCTGGTTTTATTCAGTTCATGTGCTTTGTACTCACAAACTAGTACAGGATTTAATCTGTACTTGGATACTGGTACAGAGAAACGGAATACTTGCCTATATTTTTGGGTGCGGGGGTAAAAAAGATAGGAGTGGCAATTTCACTCGCTTTGGGCCAGTAGTGATAAAATAACAAACACGTGCTATGCCGTGATGATGATGAGTCTGTACCACAAACTGACTGCTATTATTATTGACAGGCAGGATAGATATCAAAAACCAGGTGCCAAGAAACTTCTATGTTGATAATATAACAAATAGGCATGTAGAAATCTTTACTTGTCCTAGGTACTGGTTGACATAATACCTTCCTGGGGATATATATGATGTATCAATTTAATCATGCTTAAGAACAGGAACAGGTAAGTCTCATTGCTATATATAATTGCTAGTTAACTCTGAGTGGTCATCAAGTTCCCTTGTGTAGTCCTCAATAATGTTTGGTTATTTAGGTGAGTTGATTATTACTTATATTTCTTGTGCTTGGGGTTCTTGCGGGAACTAAATTGGGCAATGACGTTTGTCTCACTGGATCTCATAGGATAAGCCCACCGGCATAGTATCTCAAACGACATTTATTATTATTGTTCCCCGGGTCTTTACCGGTTCCTTTGGTTCTTTGGGGTTTCTGTTTGTTCCCTAATTTGTTAGATGTGACTGTGTGGTCACCACAGTCCGATTATTGCATTTTCTGGCCTCAACCGATATCTCCCCCTCTCCGTGTATATATATATATAACCACAGGAGCGTCCTAATCTTCTCTAATACTGGAAACCCCACCTATGGATATCACACCACAACGCCAGCACGATATAGGAATGAATAGCATCGATTTGGGTCGGTATAGACGGATCGTTCAATATTTCTGGGATCCGGTACCTAGAAATGAAGAGGGCCCAGGCTCTCGTATCTGGTGCCTCGGGAACGAATACATAACACCAGACTACAACGTCGGTACAAGGAACGATGATATGAACATCTCACAGTCGCATTCACCAGCGGGGTGTGATTCGTCCAGCCCGAGAACGGCATGCGATGCGAGTGAGCCGCCTGATATCAAGACTCCGCCGTCAGGCGAGGCAAGCGACCACGGCTGGCCATCGGCCTTTTTAGATGACTTCGAATCAAGAATCTGGCTCACCTATCGGTCCAACTTTCCTCCCATTCCCAAGTCCGAAGATCCTAATGCAGCCCCATCGATGACACTGAGTGTCCGCCTGAGAAGCCAGCTTGTCGAATCCCATGGATTTACGTCAGATACAGGATGGGGTTGCATGATTCGCTCGGGCCAAAGTCTCCTTGCCAACGCATTGTCCATTTTATCGTTGGGTCGCGGTATGAAACAAATATTTTCCAAAGACCTTAGTGGCAGCTTACAACGGATGCACGAAGCTGATATTTACAGACTGGCGCCGTGGGACGATGATCGAGGAGGAGAGTAGGTTGCTGTCTCTGTTTGCCGATGACCCAAACGCACCATTCTCAATCCACCGGTTCGTGAGTTACGGTGCGTCGTCATGTGGCAAACATCCTGGCGAATGGTTTGGGCCTTCTGCGACTGCTAGGTGTATTCAGTACGTCTCAACTATATGCAGTCGAACACATCGCTTACAGATAACACAGAGCATTATCCCGCGAGTGTAGAGATGCCGGACTGAATGTCTACGTTACCAGCGATAGCTCGGACGTCTACGAGGATAAATTCAAGGAGATTGCTTGTGGCGAGTCAGACCACATCAAACCCACTCTGATATTGCTTGGGATCAGGCTAGGGATTGACCGTGTCACGCCCGTATACTGGCGAAGCCTCGAAGCAATCTTAAAGCACCCCCAGTCAGTGGGGATTGCCGGGTACGAGGCTCTCGCAATCCTGCAGATCTTCTTTTCAGACCCTTGTGCAGCTGCTGATGTATGTATACAGTGGTCGACCGTCGGCGTCCCACTATTTTGTGGGAGTCCAGAACTTGCATTTCTTTTATCTCGACCCTCACCATACCCGTCCTGCACTACCCTACCGCGGACTTGGGTGCCCTTACACAAAAGAAGAGCTTGATTCCTGCCATACGCGTCGACTCAGGAGGCTACACATTCAGGACATGGATCCCAGCATGTTGATTGGGTTCCTTATCAAGGATGAAGACGATTGGGCTGATTGGAAGCGGCGCATCTCTTCGACTGAAGGAAAGGCCATTATTCATGTCTTTAGCACGGAGGCGGGAACCTCGTCAGGACATGAACGGGAGGGTGCACTAGATGAAGTAGAAGCACTGGACGACGATGACACCTGCATACCGGAAAGTTGAATGACTTCATCGCTATCACGATTAGCCGTCCAAAATACTCAATAAGAACATTAACGAAACCCATAGAGATAATACGATAATATTCAGAACCGAAAACTGCAAATGTATGCACTAAATCTTGATTTCAAGTTCTAGCAGGGATCTGGAGGACCGTTCAAGCAAGCCCGAATTCGCGTTATGTTACACCCCGTTACCACTCGAATTGCAACCATAAAATCATTCGGCCCAAGTAAAAAAAGAGAACCATCCCATGACGCATTAGAAATCCCACAAACACCCAGTAACCCGCCGCCTCAAATAGTCACAACATACTTGAAGCAGCAAAAAAAAAGAAATAAAAAATAACAACAATCGTTGAAAAACAAACACGCCTATTTGGCGGAAGAAGAGTACTTGGTCACGGCCTTTGTGCCTTCCGAAACTGCATGTTTCGCCAATTCACCAGGAAGGATAAGTCGCACACTGTGATTCAAGTAAGCATGTATTCTATAAATCGCAAGGGCAAGTGAACATACGAGGTCTGGATTTCTCGAGATGAGATGGTGGACTTCTTGTTGTATGACGCAAGCTTCGAAGCCTCAGTCGCAACGCGTTCGAAGATATCTGAACGAGAAGGTCAGCCGAAACTCTCACAAATCAGTACCCCCATACATACCATTCACGAAGGAGTTAAGGATGGACATGGCACGAGTGGAAATACCAGTGTCAGGGTGGACTTGCTTGAGGACTAAAATACGACGCGTCAGTAAACGCGATTCAGAAGTCAAGCAGGTTTCAGGTACGGTACCTTTGTAGATGTATGAGGAATATGTCTCCTTCCTAGTCTTGCCACGCTTCTTCTTTTCAGAGGCTGCAGCGGCAGTCTTCTTTCCAGCTTCCTTCTTCTCAGCAGGGGCTTTGCCACCAGCGGGGGCCTTGCCGCCAGTGCTTGGCTTCTTCTCTGCAGCTTTAGGAGGCATTTTGTGTGTAGATTCGATAGAAAACTAATGAAGGAATGAAAATATTCGTAACAGAAGATGGAGGTGATGAAGCGTTGTGTATGTGACAGAGAACAGGTCAAGTGTGGATGGAGTAGAAAGGAAGAAGAAGGGCTGTCAGGTGAAGGGGGTGGAGCGTTCTTATAGCACCCTGCTAAACAGTGGGTTGATCCTGAGGTGTGCGACAGAGTCAGAATTTCAATACGGTAACGGTCCTGTATGATCTGTATGATTAACAGGCCATCCACACGTTAAACAGCCTGTGAGATGTGGCGGATCACGCCAAGACCTCTGTAATAGCCTGTACCAGACAATGGTACCACACTTGACCTGATAAGGTGTGTCACCATTAGCGGCTCGCGTTATCCTCAGCGGGCCAGCATGCGCCTGGCTCCTACTTGCCAGCCCAGAACGCGGTGCACGCGTCTGATCTCACTAGTGATTGGTTGACTGTCCTAAGCGAGAGGTTGATCTGGAGGGTAATTCCATGAGCCAACGTCACCCTTGGTGCATTCTTATAAATGTCTTGTCTCCTCCACCCCATGCTAGCTCTCTTTCCTCACTTCCTATCACCCACTCTCTCCGTGTCTTTCCTCAGTGTCTCGTGCACAAACTTGACTCAAAAACATACTCAAAAGAACCGAATCTTTAAATTACTTACCTGAACATCCTTCCAAAATGACTGGAGGCAAGTCTGGCGGCAAAGCTAGCGGCAGCAAGAACGCGCAGTCGTACGTACCGAGTTTCTTGTATATCCTACAATAGAATTTTTACTAATATTTTTTAAGGCGTTCATCCAAGGCAGGTCTTGCGTTCCCTGTCGGCCGTGTCCACCGTCTCCTTCGCAAAGGAAACTACGCCCAACGCGTTGGTGCAGGTAAGCCCATATTGTATCCGAGTATTTTTTTTTGTCATGGCTAACTTTTCCTCTTCAGGTGCGCCTGTGTATCTTGCAGCTGTCCTGGAGTACCTTGCTGCCGAAATTCTTGAGCTGGCTGGAAATGCCGCCCGTGACAACAAGAAGACGCGTATCATTCCTCGTCACCTGCAGCTTGCGATCCGTAACGATGAAGAACTGAACAAGCTCCTGGGTCACGTCACCATCGCTCAGGGTGGTGTTCTTCCTAACATTCACCAGAGTATGTTTTGTTTTGCATTCCGATTTCAGAACGTCGCTGACAGAATCCAGATCTCCTTCCTAAGAAGACTCCCAAGAGCGGGAAGAACCCGAGTCAGGAATTGTAAACGGCATTTTTTTTCTGTTTTTTATTCGGCGTGGTTTGGTTCTCTTATTGATGAGGTAATGGGGTTCTGGACTGGGCACATTCATGGCTCTTTGCTTTTTATGGTTGTACATTATGTCTACGGACATGGTTTCTGCTGGCAGCTTATGGAAAGACATTAACCTTTTCGAATATTATGGTTCCATGACGAATTGGCTTGATAACCTGGAGTTCTAAATCCTAAGTTTTGAGTGTCTTTGACCGATAACAACCTGAATTAGTTCTCGTAGGAATCTAGTGTTCAATGCTGCCACGCGTTGATTCTACATCTATTTCTATCAGGCGCCTTCCGAGCACTATCATTACATTCATCCTGTAGACAAATAGGCCCTCCATGCCTTTGTATTCCAGCTTTGTTCTGTATTATGAAATTAATTGGCTATCAGTGCCCCTCCACACGTTCTGAAGCATCTGAGGTTCATTATCAACATCAGCAAAGCTATCGGGTTGGCCCAAATTAGTGGATAGTTAACATACAAGGTAGTTCACGAACAGGTAGGTTCCTCTCATATTTCGAACCTGCAATTTGGCCGTGCCGGTTAGTGACTATAAAGTAGCATGTAGAAACGTAGGTACTCACCTCCAGGGGCTGTGGGAGCTCGGTAAGGATCTGGATGTTTCCAAGTTTCCAACAGCTTCTCCGTCTCCTGCAACAACATCTGTAATCCAAAATGATTAGATTATATGTAATTCACCAAGGCCTCGAGTGTGTTAGCAGCAACCTTCTGTTGACGAGGGTCGCGGACGTCTCGATTGGCTTCGAAGAGGGACCTGATATACACAGCCTGACCTCGCCAGGTGTGCCTATGGACGGCCCAATCGAGCGCAAGCTTTAAGCATCGTCGATATAAGGATCTGCGCATTGGTTAGACAACTGTCCATAGCCCTCGTCCTTTTGGAGATGAGCAGCATACGTTACGGCATTGGAAGACATGACTGAAAGTCAATGGAATCCTGGTCAGGTTTTAGCTTCCCGGCATTAAGGGTAGAAACTTTCGAGTCAATGAGCAGAGGAATGTAAATCAAGAATACCTCGGCCTTTAACAGGTGTTGCTCTTTGACGACAGGTTTTTGTCCTATGGTAGGTTGCTAGTGGTGGACCGGAGAAATGCAGAGTGTGGAGTAGCAGGACTCCGTAGACCCGTGACACGCTTTCGGGTTGCCCGGTCTGCCGGCAAAAGGGTTGCAAAGAAGCGTCAGGAAAATCTCGGATCGATTTGCACTACGGAGTAAATGTCTCCGCCATGCTACAAGCTATTCCTCCTTGCTTTCTGAACACCTCACTCGCTTCTTTGACGGCACGACCAAAGTCCAACAGGACATGCTTTGTGGTGTCAATTAATCAGAACCAAGCGTTACTGTGCTAAAATCTCATTATCTATTCTTCCTCACAGAATCATTGGATGCCATTGTCTCCAACATTCGAAACACGCTTGACCATGGCTTCTCGTTTACACCTGTTGCGCTTGCCGGAGCAACAATTACTGACAACTTCACGGAACACACATAGGCCATTATGTTCATTTTTTGGGGCTTCGAGAGCCTTGTCGTCCGTTGCGTTAAGGGGACGCTACAACCCATCCATTGTTGCTAAGACTTCAGCGCGAGTCTCCGAGCTGGCAGGGTACGTCCTTGTTACCTACGATTACTGGGATATTTAGCTTATACTCGAATCATAGAACACATGGAAACTTCCAAGGAGCCATTCTCCTTGGGTTTGGTCAAAACCGTCATTATGGTACATAAACTTCCAAAAATTTCACTTTCTATACCGACGCTGAACATCAAACAGCCGATACCATTGTCAAGGTTCCGGAAATGGCGGAGTCAATCACAGAAGGCACTCTGAAGCAGTTCTCCAAACGTATCTCCCCAACCTGCTGGATCAATTTATAACGTGCTAATGACCCTTCAGAGGTTGGCGATTTTGTTGAGCGCGATGAGGAAATAGCGACAATTGAAACCGACAAGGTAAGCATAATTACATGGACACCTTGTGACAGTGATTAGTGCATTTTTTGGAGTCACTAAAGTGTTATTTTAGATCGATGTGTCGGTGAATGCCCCGGATTCTGGCACCATCAAGGAGTTCCTCGTCAAAGAGGAGGATACTGTAACTGTTGGACAAGACATCATCAAACTGGAGCTGGGCTCCGCAGACGGCAAGAAGGCAGGAGAACCATCCAAGGAGCCACCCTCCTTTGAGACGACACCGTCATCGAAACCAGAGCAACAAAAGACCCAGGCAGAGGTTGCTCAGCCACCTTCGAAGGAGGAGCCTCCTAGTCCGCCTAAGCCAGAGCCTGTTCCTCAAAAGCAGGCCCGGCCTCAGCCATCCAAAGAGCCCCAGCCTCAGCCTGGCGGCCAAACCACTCTTGGAAATCGCGAGGAGCGTAGGGTATGTCACTTCGATCCATTCCTTATCTTTATGATCCAGTTTGTTAATATTATCATCGATATTTAAGGTGAAAATGAACCGAATGCGACTGCGGATAGCGGAGCGTCTCAAACAGTCCCAGAACACTGCGGCATCTCTCACTACGTTCAATGAGGTGGATATGTCATCTCTCATGGAGTTCCGCAAGCTGTATAAAGACGATGTCTTGAAAAAGACAGGTGTGAAATTAGGATTCATGAGCGCCTTCTCCCGTGCCTGTGTTCTGGCTATGAAAGAGGTCCCTGCTGTCAACGCCTCGATTGAAGGACCAAATGGTGGAGATACTATTGTGTATAGAGATTACGTGGATATCAGTGTCGCTGTTGCTACGGAAAAGGGCCTCGTTACTCCCGTAGTCCGAAACGCGGAAACAATGGATCTGGTGGGCATTGAGAAGGCAATTGCCGATCTTGGAAAGAAGGTATGAGGGTATTTCTTATTCCAATCTTGTCCAATACTAATCTTCTTCTTAGGCTCGTGACAACAAATTGACCATTGAAGATATGGCTGGTGGCACATTCACCATTAGTAATGTGAGTAGATGCTTTTTTTCGCAGACGTACCAACTCTTGCTGACCTCGACTCAGGGTGGAGTCTTTGGTTCTCTCATGGGTACTCCGATCATCAACCTGCCACAAACTGGTATGTCGTCATTGCAACCTTTAGCATTTGGATTGCAAATCCTAACTCCAGACAGCTGTGCTCGGACTTCATGCCATCAAAGATCGGCCAGTGGCTGTCAATGGAAAAATTGAAATTCGACCGGTTCGTTCAATTTCATTTTCCTTCTTCATGGGAAAGCATGCTGATATTTCACCAAGATGATGTACCTTGCTCTGACGTATGACCACCGTCTCCTTGATGGCCGAGAGGCGGTTACTTTCCTTGTGAAGGTTTGTCCATATCCGAGAGGGCCTTATCTTATATGTGGGCACTGAAAGCTAACTGTCCGATCAGGTCAAAGAATTTATTGAAGACCCGCGGCGGATGTTGTTAGGCTAGGGCTGTTTAGGTGGTTCCATCCATCCGCCCGTTGCAGGGGTTGCACTTTGCAAGGTTCCACATTGATAGCGAGAGCCTCTTTTTGGCTTGTAGATTATAGTCACCGCCTAGAATGTATTTCTCGATTGTACTTCTATGTCCGGCTTTGTCCTCACTGAAACATTAAATATCAGCAAAAGGTCACTTAGGCTGATCACGTGGTGAACCTACGACCGAGTGTCTGCGGCACTGGTCATCATACCGTGCTTCGGTAGTCTTATGCTTCCCTTGTTCCTCAATGGTCGAAAATGCTGCCATGATCTCATGGCCAAGTCGCCTGACTGGCTTGCCCTTTAAGTTGCCCAGGTAGAAAACTAATAAAGGACCGCCCCTGATTATGATGGACCGTCATTTTGCCTGATTTTCTGTCCATTAACAGAGACTCGAGGCTTCAGAGTTGTGATTAGTACTGTTCTCACCCCATCAGATAGCCAAATCAGAACCACCCATGCTTCATTTTCCAATTTGAATAAAATGACAGCACATGCATTTGATCTGATTGAGCCTCTCAGTCAATCTGCGTTCCAAGCTATGAATACAGCGCCCACCGCCTGCATCACCTCTCTTTGAGTAGCGAAGACTTTTTTTGCCCTGACTGTCTCGGTTTATCTGTGGGAAAAAAGGTTACTATTCTTTATTCTTTAGTCAATGCTGCCCAGTTCTGCTAATCTGCCAGTTTCAAACTTCAATAAAGCGGGAATCTCTAGTTTCGTGAGGATGTCATATATAAAATCTATAACCAACCCTTCGAATTGCGAGACTGTAAAGTCACGGGAGACGTTTTGGAGATGGGTGTCCAGGGATTCCCCGGGGTTTGGCTGCAGATGTCGTATGTACTTGGCTCTTTTTCTCCACCAGATGTGTGCATCATCATCGGCATTGGTTTCAGGGTTCGCGTTGCCAGCATCCGGGGATCCCCATGCAAAGGCTTCGTCTATCACATCAGAAGATGCTCTTCCGAAAACAAGACATTGCTCAAGTGAAGATTGGAGCATAAACTGGGCTGCAAGCTCCATTGACTCTTCTGCTGATAATATTGGCGCTGCAATGGCACAAAGTGCCATGAAATCGGGCAGAATATCGAGTAGTGGCATTACCTGTCTCCGATCGAGAAGTCGACTTTGCACAGGTATCTTTAGGTCAGATAGCATCTTGTGATAGTTTTCATCCAGAGCGGTTCGCGACACCTGTGAATTCTGTTCAATGCTTCGCTCGTCAAGCTCAACCTTGAGCCAATTTCTGGCGCTTTCGGCATTTTGGTTTCGCCAACGGCCAAGCTCTCTAGCACTTTTATTCCAAGCCGAGTGCCTGTATCTGTGGAAGAAGAGGACTGCAAAGGTAAGAAGTTGAAGCTTTATTTCCAAATCCCTTGAAATAGCTCTCCTAGAATGGTGTATCGACGCGATACACTTAAAAGCTATATTCTTATATCAGTTGCACTGGCCTGGACTTGAGATTGCTGAAGTGCAAATCGCGAGAGCCATACTGTCGAAAAGTGAGATGTAGCTATCAGCATCCTCCTGGTGTCGCTCATCCTTCCGTTCGGCCATGCGTGCTCTCAGTGTTGCTTGGATTCCCTTGCAGCAAAGATAATCCAGTATCATCATATCAACCTCGAAATGGGTCTCCGGGTTGGCAAATGTAGGGGTTTCCATGGCCTAGCTTGCGTGACACGGCGTTGAGGATGGGCATATGATCATAAGATATATGATTGGTTGTGATTGTGTGGTTTGCGGTTGGGATCTCGATAATACGGCTTACTGTGGATAAAAAAATGTAGCGATTGATGTAACATTTAATGTTGCCCCGGACTTCGCCTTCTTGGGTGTTCTCGGTGTAAGAAAAGATTACGTTGGTTGGCGTCTAGCGCTTAGATACCTGTAAAGTTTCAGATTATGGGTCCGGGAGCCCAAGGGTCCGAGAAATAAATAAAATATCATATCGTACTCCGTACTTTGGTGCAGCGGTTGATGTCGGGTCATGTCCCCTAGCCCATATATATATATATAAAATAACACACCTATGCATACGAGAAACACCGAATAATAAATCCACAGCCATACAACGCAGCCATCAAATCTAAACACGGAACCCGATATAACTTTCTAACACTCACATAATTCTTCACGCTACCAACTGGATGCTATAGGCATCTTCGCGCCACTGTAGCTGGTGTTACCCAATATCTTAGGACAGAGTTGCAACTGCACTAATGACTGTACAATAGCAAATCGGTAGCGCACAACACTAAGAGAATTGAAGCAGCTTAATTCTACAGTGTACCTAACACGGGTTACAAGAAACAGAAGATACCAGCCGGAACATATTGATTACATGCGTTTATACTGTATTGCGCGACTTACCGTGATTCGCTGATCAAGTCACGGATAACCCCCTTGCGCGCCAAAATGCGAGCCCAGAAATAAACTGCCGAGCTGTAGTCATGCCTCCTACCTGCAGCGTAATCGTCATCCCTCTGGCGCGATTGTAATTCCTCCTGAATCGATGCTTTAATTGCGCGCTGGGAGGAGCGGAGTCTCTCATGCTCCAGAATCAGCTCCTGAAAAGAGCACCTCTGGTATACTTCTTCTTGATCATCAGGGATCTTGGCAAGGTCTATGTCTTCCTGTGACAGCTCGAAAGCAGGCGCTGGTCCTAAAATGATGTCATCGAGATGGGTGACAGGCTGGGCAGCAGCTGAAGTACCATCCTGATTATCACCGAGGCGCTCACTGAGTTTCCTGAGACGCTTCACATTAAGGGCCAACTCCCCAATGCGTTCGATGATAGGATCTCGAACGAGACTCAGAATTGAGAACTCTATTTGGTCCTCCTCGTACTCTGTCATCCTAGCGAGGAGCTCTGGTTTCACCAGTTCTAGCCAATCATCACCCGAACACGGTCCTTCACAGCTGTCAACGAAAAGTCCAGGGAACTGCATTTACCAACTCACCAAGCCCCTGTGGCTGCCGCTCTAACCCGTCGAATTTCCAGACCCTACCCATGACTGGCACAAATGCGATGAAATGGAACCCGGCTTCCGAGGTGTTATCGTCTTGCTGTCCCTTCGCCGAGAGGGATCTTCTGGTCATTGCCTCGTTCCTGAGTTGTAAATCCGAATTGAGCATATCCATTGTGCTGAGGAACCGTCAGTATTACCTGGAAAGGCACGAAATCCAAGGAACATACCGTGCGAATGAATTGTGTATCCTTTTGATAAACTCGAAGTTGGCAATGGCATCCCCTCGCAATGCCGGAGTGAATGGAGTAGTAAAATCTTTAAAATTCTTGAGATTCTCACCGAGCTCAATGCCCTCAATGTTGTTGACAATGTTCAGCAATGCAACACTGGCACAGGCATTACTTGCTGTCTTCTGCATGTCAGCACAACGATGCCAATGGAATCAATAATTAACAATATTAGAAGACATCGAATCAGAGGGACTAACCTGGTTTGCAAACCAAATCCCATCAGGACAGCTGGCCTCCTGTTTACCAGGATCATCTTCACGCCAGCGAAATAAGAAAATCAAGCCGTAGACAGGTTTGCTGTTATTAAGGATCAGGGGGTTACTCAAATAATAAAAGGTATCATAGAACGTACGGTAGCAGGGACATCATTCCATCGTCTAAGGATACCACTTCCTGTACTTTGATTCCCTTAACGCCAAACTCCCGGAGCATAACGTTGAACAGAGCCTGTTGTAGGGATATCAGTACATATCTGTGTTGGGAGGATCTTGCACTGGTGAGCTTCTTACTGGCTCAGATTCAATTTCACAAAAACCATTCCATGTGCCTCTATCAGACTCTGCAGCAAGAACAAGTGGATCACCAGGAAACTCAGATTCATTGGTGATCTGGTTGCGCTTCGGTCCAGTGCGACTGCTTAGACGCCTTCTTTTGGTACGCTCTGCCATACTTCCACGTTGGTCACAAGCAGTTATGTTTTTCTGATTATTTGATGTTAAAGAGGATCAAGTTTAGTTTCAATACATCAAGTCATCAGGGATGTAGAATTGAAGTGTTCAATGATTCTCTGGGAAACTTGTGACTAGTGTCCTACATTAGGGATCGGCAACACGGATCTTCACTTAAGACGAGGTCTCAGGTGATATTCACAAAATAAGCAACTGGCCAGTTCGTTAAGCTTCTTATAGAGCCTGTAAGTGTAATCTCGATAAATCTGAACTAGATGGGAGAATAATAGCTGGATATTCGACTGTTCACTTATCTTGGCGCGCGCGGGTGCGTCAGTGAGCTTCTTTATTGGTTGAAGCTCTTGTGTCGACGCGACCTTGGTCCCACGGCGGCTTTGCTCTTGCTGTGGCTCATAGCGCGTCATGCAAATCGACACCAAGCAAGTCTCTTACAGCCAATTCCTTTTTTTTTTCCCCTTTCACGAGTTGCCTTGCTGCATCTTCTAGGGAAGCATTATTCTCTTCCACTTTAATGATATCTCTTTGCGATTTCATTCACCTGAAATTTGGCTTGAAGTTGCCCTCTTCCTCATCTTCCCGGCCTTTGTCCGCCTGCTAACTTGATACTTTTAAAGGACTGTGGCATTTCTTTCACCACTTCCCTTTCCTTTTTTTTCTGCGCCAAATCGTTTCTCGTGTGCAGCATTATAATACACATTTGCGCATTTTCAACAGCTCTCTATTCAGAGCAGTGCTCTTATTGAGCTTTCCGTTTCCTGTAATTTGGCGGCCAGGGCATGCGATGAGCGCCACTCCTCAACTCCGGTCTGCGTTTCCTCAAACACCGCAGACGCACCAGAAGACGCGAGGGCACGGGTCTCCAGTCCGAACGAAACCAAAGGCGACCGATGGATTGAAGTCTTCGGTGGTTGACCGGCAGGAATCCAGTGGTCCGCTTGTCCCTGTGGAAATCATCGATGCTCCTTCACAGAGGCTCTATGTTGTGGCAATCTATGTTGCACTCAGTGCATGGCGAATATTTGACTCTTGGGGAGCGTCTGACGAGCTGGATTCGACATGGCTATTTTTAAAATGGAATTTTATCGACGGAGTCTTTCTTTTCAGCATCCAAGCTTTGAGGATACCCTGGTTAGAATGGGCTTTCCCGACATTTCTCGCAATCTTTCTGCTTCATGCAGCTGCTAATGTATTCTTGATGTTCCGTATCCCGGTAAGTGCTTTGTTGCTTCTTTTATCTTGCCTTTTTATCACCTTTGCTAAGATGTATCAGCTACCTGTAGGAACGTGGGCTGGTATTTTGGTTAAGATGGTCTATGACAGAGAGTTGTCTATATCGGAACGCAGTGTGAAACCTGCTGATATAATCTACAATGCGTCTTTGATACTGGGAAAGCAGATAATTCATATTCTTCCAGAAGGGTGAGTGTATTCAGTTGTCTGAAATGTTGTTATACTGAAGATTCTAGGTCGGCCACATTAAATCCAGATCGGGTGCCATTCTGTCTCGGCCCACAGCAATCGTCTATTGCTCTGCCTATCCGTATTAATCAAACCACACCCGTTCTGATAGAATTATTGCGTTATGATTTGCATACTGGACAAAATGAGACGATCACAATATCGTCAAAGCAACTGAAGCAGCTGAAACGACAGGCAGACAAGAGACAACCACAGCATGAATCTCCATCGCATCGCGACTTGCTATTTCCGGTTCGAAAGACTGGCATTTACCGGCTTCAGCGGGTCTTGGACGAGTCCAACCTTGAGGTGCAGACACGTGTATCTGATACTCCAGTCGTATCTTGTCCTAAGGCTCTCCTGAAAACATCTCATTCAGATAAATGCAGAGGAGATCTATCAGATCTCACACTTGAGGTTGAGGGGACACCTCCTATGAAGATAAAATATAGTCGCAGAGTGAACGGGTTGGATGGTGGGTTTTCTTTCCAGAACATTCAGCCGGAGAGCCTGCGTTCCCCCTTGCTGAATCGGAAACATGACGGGCTTCTCATCAATTCAAACATTCCGGATTTGGTCTGGGCGCAAAGCCAGAGGTTGGAAATTCCATTAAACGAATCTCTAAATGCAGGTGGAGAGTGGGTGTACGCGATTGAGGAGGTTCATGACGCCTGTGGGAATGTCGCCAACTACTCTTCATATCTTGATGAAATGGACCGAGCATCTACAAAAGCTTTACCACAGTGGCACCAGTTTTCCGTGCACGAACGTCCTCGGTTGTCCTTTGCTGGTTGCAACGCCCAGAAGTTTCTGGAGGTTGCAAAAGATGATTCAATAGAACTTCCTATTCGATTTTACTCCGTTGGACGGAACTACGACAACGATGCTCCGTTCCAAGTAACCTATTCTTTTTCTGATTCTGACGTTTCTGACAATCCCAGCGTCTCTAAGGTTCGACAAGTTCATTTAAAGAATATCGATCTAAGACCTCGAATTAAGGAACAAGGGTGGTATACTCTCAATACAGTTTCCAGTCGATTCTGCTCGGGAGAGATCTTAGAGCCCTCCTCCTGCTTCTTGCACCATCCCCCGGAGCCCGAGTTGACCATTCGACATGAGAAGGTTTTTGACAAATGTGCAAACAACTCCGTTGGTCTCCTCGTTGATTTGGACTTGGTTGGCTCTCCACCGTTCCGTTTACGTTATAGTATCGAGAACGAAAGGGGTATGGAGACGCACTTGAAAGTCATTGAAGGGCTGCGCGGACAGCTTGACTTCACGCCGTCCGAAGCGGGTCACTATCGTTATCGTTTCTTGGACATAGCAGACAATGTCTATGGGGCGCGGTCTCTTAAAGATAAACTGCCGCTTCTGGAACAGGACGTGAAACCTCCTGCGTCAGCCCATTTTCTGGGACCACGAGAAATACGAAAAGCCTGCTTTGGGGAACCTGTTTCTGTGGATGTCTCTTTCGTGGGAGAAGCCCCTTGGACCCTGCAATATGAGCTTGTTCATAATGGCAAGAAGGTCAAGCAGGTTCTCAACAGCGACAGCGAATTGGCGACAATTTCCACAGAACCGCTTCTAAGTGGGGGCGAATACATCCTTTCTTTGACGAGCGTCAAAGACAGATCAAACTGCAAGCGAATTCTTAAAGAAAGCATACAGATCGAGGTGTGGCCGAAGAAACCCCATGCGTCTTTTGGCCTGCTTGACGAAAAGAGGAATACCCTGGCCTTAGAGAATTCGGTTGTTGAACTCCCGCTGAGACTCAGCGGTCAGGCACCGTGGACCGTCAAATTCCGAAATCTTAATTCTAGTCATCCAACTCTATCTGAGAAGACGCTATGGGATGAGAACGGTGCAATCGAAGTCTCCCAAGAAGGCCTCTATGAGCTTGTCGAGGTTTCCGATGCTACCTGTCCAGGTACTATAGACCAATCAGCACGTCTATTCGAGATATCTTGGATACCTCGGCCAAGATTCTCTGCGTTGGACGGGAGTGATGTCAAAGAAGGCGATAGCATTGCAAAAAGGGATGTCTGCGAGGGTGATAATGATGTCTTGGAGCTCAAACTTTCTGGTAGTCCTCCATACAACATCAAATATGAACAGCAACGAAAGAGCGATCATGGGACTTCTTTGGTCAGAGTACAGAGCCTGAAGAGCGCCCTCGATGTGGCTTCCTTGGATATGGATACTTCTAGGGCTGGGGAGTATGTATACAAATTCACAGAGCTCTCTGACAGTCTCTATGACTATGATCCGAAGAAGCACTCTTCTGTCAGTGTCACTCAAAAAGTCAATCCTCTGCCCTCTGCTCGGTTCGAGTTCCCAGGTCACATTTACGCCTTCTGTAAGGAGGACAGTGATGGTGATGAAGTCATACCAATAGTCCTCGAGGGGGTGCCCCCGTTTTCACTTGAGATCACCATCAAGCATCACTCGAATTCAAAACCGGAGATAGTGACAATACCCCATATCGGTTCGCATAGGCACAACCTCCCCATTCCTCGTCGGCATCTCGAGCTAGGTCAACATGTTGTCAGCATCCATAAGGTACGCGACGCACGTCGATGCCAGCGAACATTCGATCGTGACGCATCTTCTGTCCGAGTAGCGGTGTCTGATGTCCCTACAATCATACCTCTCGAATCTCAATCCGATTATTGTGTCGGAGAACGAATTTCTTTCTCACTCTCTGGTCATGCCCCATTCGAGGTGTTCTACACATTTGATGGCATCCAAAGAAGGGCGGTTTCTCAAAGTACTAATTTTCGGCGCATTGCTGAGAAGCCGGGCAACTTCACTATTACAGCTGTCAGCGATGGTGCTAGCGGCAGGTGCAAGGCTCACAAAAATATAACCAAAGTTATTCATGAAATGCCAAGTGTGAGGATTAGCAAGGGGCAAATTTCTGTTGTTGATATCCACGAAGGCAGAGAAGCGGAAATCAATTTTGAATTTTGGGGAACCCTCCATTTGAGTTTACGTATGTGGATTATTGCATGACCAACAGTCAAAAAGGCATTAGTGGGGATGTCAATCCTTTGCTAATTTGTTTACAGGTATACTCGAAGCTCAAATGCCAGGAAGGGAAAGAAATCCGAGATATTAGACGTCAAGCACGATATTTCTTATGAGCATAGGAAGACGATCAAAACCTCCGATGAGGGGACTTATGAGGTCGTTGCGATCAAAGACAAGTTTTGCTCGTTTTCTACGCAGAAGCCGCTGGGAAAGATTGCCAAGACAGGAAAAGCATTGCAGAATTAGAGGAACGTCACAGAATTGTACTATCCCAAAGAATTATTTCTGAAGAAGCCACAGAGAAAAACGACTAGGTGATTCATTGCTCGAACGTGCTTGACTCCCTTTCTCAGTCACAATGGATTTCAATGCTCTCAATCATGGCACCGCCCAGTCTGGCGATCTCGTTCAAAATGGAAGACCTGTTTAATGTTACGTCATTTGTCTCTCTTGACGAATCCGCTGCTGCTGGGCAAGTAGAATATGCCATTTTCAAGCCCCAAGGCTTGGGAGTTGTCAATTCTGGCTTCCAAAGTCCTCCGATAACGTTGCATTGTTTGTCTCCGTAAAAAAACAGTATGCAATGACTAAAGGCTGCCTGGAGTTCCTGAAGAAAGGATGTTACGGTGTTCGATGGTTCGAACTTGTCTGAAACTGCGTTCCCGATGTTTTTGAACTTAAGTGAATCATGCCGACGATCATGCCCGGTCTGTTTTGGATTAAGGTGAATGACAAAATCATAAGGCGCAAGGGATGATTTGAAGAAACTCTCGATGTTGATATCAGTGCCTTTCTGCTTGAGCAGATTCACGGCTGCCTTTGCCAAACTCGAGATCCGAGCTGCCACAACCTTAGGGGGCATTCCATTGAGTGTCCATGTGACGCCATCCTGATCTATTTCAGAAGCGACAACTAAAGCAACTTTCTTCATTGCGGGATCGACACTTCGCCATGCCAAGAAACGCGTTTCGATCACGCTTAGCTCTTGTGTAGTGAGACCCCCTAGATCCACAATGAATGGTTCCCGCTGCCAATTCCATCTGGATATAAATAGAAGAGTTCGGAAGAAGCCACTCATGACACTTGAAGGAGCTTCCCATGGATAACATTGAACAAAAGTGTGTGTCGTGAGTAATTCGACAAATTCTTCCTTGACATTAGAAAGAAGAAGGTGCGAATGGAACCAGTGTTTCATGAGACGTATGGTTGGCGATAGAAGAGAAAAACGAGTACAGAGCGTACGAATTGCTTGCGTGAGACGAGGACCTTGGATGAAAAGCTGCTTATATTCAGAGAGTGCTGCGGCAAACTCCTCTTTCGCACTAGCACTAAGGCCCTTTTCCTTGAGTTTGCGTTCAAGTAGAGTCTGTTCCCGGTCATGATGGATTCTCAGACGAAAAACAACCTGGGATGTGTGTATGACGTCGAGGAATGCCCTGTTCAATATCTTGCTCGAGTCATTTTCTAGGCCGACCCTAAATGAACGGATAGACCCATCAGACTTCAAGAGATCGCCGATTTTTGTGAGAAAAGCAACTTTTGTCAGTTGAATGGCGACAAGATCATCTGGCCACTTTGTAGAACTCTCGAGCTGTAGGATAACCTCGACCGGCTCACTAACAATGCTTCCTTCGGACATGGCTGAAAGTGCCGTAAATCTAAGGTGCGGGCTTGCTGGTTGGAGTTGTCTGACAGAAAGAGGAATATCTTCCATATTTTGGAGAGATTGTTGCAAAGCCTGAAAAGCATCATAAACAAGTTGAAAGGGGCCGCTGGAAGAGGAAACGGGCCCACAGAAATCACGGACTCTTTTGTCGTACTCTTCGCCAGTACACCTGATGTATTCTTCGAAGATATTCAGGTGACGACGCAACGCATAGGTTAATACCTGGTACACCACTGAATTTGCGGATTCCTGTTCTGACCATACGAGGCTTTCTAAAATCCTTCCATCCCTGAAACGCCTTAATTCGGCTTTCTCACCCCAAAATGCCCGAAACGACGCAGCCTCATCTTTCTGTTCTGCGGGTGGTCCGTGGTCGACAAGACGGTTAGCATTTTCAGCGTCCAAAAGAAGCCCAACCATAATTGTTCTGTGACTTTTCTGGCTCGCTGGGTGCGTTGCTGGTGACCAAGACGGGACATCCTGACTTGACAAGTGAATGAGCCGGACTCTGTCGCCAAGTGCCCTGGTTAAGATCTGATACATAGTATGTTGATACTGGAGAAGTTGGAGTGTTCCATCCATTTGCTGCGGAGAGGTGACAAAAAATAATCGGTCGAATCTCAGCACTGGCTGGCTAGTCTGAAGAATGAATATCTTGTCGAAATGATCGAAGCGTGACTCGTTTAACATCGCCAAAGTTAATTTAGATTCATGGCGAAGAAGCGCATAGGACCATGGTGTCATTTTGTAGAGAAGATTCAGACCCCTTTTTCCATCATATAAGACTGGTCCACCGGGGGGGAATGCCACGTCCCTGGCAGACCACGCTAAAGGTTGCATGAGATCCCTTCCAGACAGAAACTGCATAGTTGCTTTGAAAATTTGGTAACTGCTATACGAAGGCAGCAAAACGGGTTTTCCATTCGGGCCGCCCCCCTCAAAGAGAAGAGCTAAGAGTGCTGTCCATTCGAAGCCCCCAAAGCCGCCGTCATGAACAGCAGTCCCAAATCCTCGTTGCCGGAGCCACGCTCGGCCAAGGATGCATGCATCTCTCATAGATTCATGTTTCTGTGTAGCTGAATGAAGGTATCTATGATATGGCGCAACGGTTGCTTCTGATCGAAGAGAACTATTGTAGAAAGGAGTGGACTCTTCACAATTCGATCCTTCCTTGTTGACAAGAGCAGTGGACCGAATGTTATTCTTCGTTGGAAGGGTCTTCGAAATTGGAAAGACGTCATCCTCGATTGCAGTAATGATACGGATACGTAGCCTTAGACGGATCAAGTCATGGGGAGCATCATCACTGGGCTCTAAGATGATTATCGGACGGAGACTGTCTCCATCTTGGAGACCGAAACTCAACGTTAAGGGGAGGCTCTTCTCCTCTTGTATCCCTGCCGCAATACATGCGATGTAGTATGCTCGTTTGTGAAAGAATCTGTAGTTCAGATAATCCTTCTCCTGAAAGAGTGTACCAGGCATGGTAACAGCTAAATCGATGTTGAAAGGATCTGCCATTCGCATCCCAGTCCGGAGAGCAACACTGCCCACAACATTAACATTGGCTGGTGGGCGAAACGCCATGGGATACTTGGCATCTCCGTCTGGGGGAGGAGATGGGAATGGTATAGTAATGCCATGCATTTTTCGCATTTCCCTTTCTGCTTCCAGTGGCGGCTTCGACGGTCGGTCAGGGACGCGACATATGGTATCCTTAACTTTGCTCAGTACGTCGTGAACTTGAGAAACTAACTTATCGTAGTCGGGTCTAAGCTCGGTGAGTAGCTCATCGGTCTGAAGCTTAAAAAGGCCGGACTTCGACAATCCGTTCGCACGCGCGAGTTCGGCAGATCGATCGATATTGACTCGTTTGCTCTCGCCGTTCCGGGGTGATGCCTTGTCCGAACCTTTCATTTGTGCATCCCGGACTGTCTCAGCTTCATCGGTGAACTCGGCAGAGTTATTGCTGCTGGTGCGCAGCCTTGAGTCAAGGAGACTGTCCTCGACCTGCGCAGCATTGTTGGTTTCTGTGGGATTGAGTTTTCTTCTCTTTGCAGTATGCGAGATCATCACGCCAAACAAATCCCAGCACTTTTTTTCGTGCCGAAAATGAAAACAGGAAGTGGCGCTGCAGATTATGGCAAAATGTGCCTAGCTGCGTAATCTGAGATTGAGATATCTATGCTGAGTCTTCTGCTGATGAGAAGGGAAGGAAAAAAAAGTTCTGGTTGCATAGCTACCTAACTAGCTGATGAAAGTAGGGATCGTTTTACACCAATCACAATACGCATCTTCTAATTGGATTTACGGAGTAGTTAATCCGGAGTAAATTGTGCGAGGCGGATTAATAGATACTCCACTTAACACTTGGCTCGAAGGGTTTAGCGAGGCAACATGCTCTGTGGCTTGTTCGTGTCCAGTGAGGAGGAGCATGTTTGAGTCATCCACCCCACACACATGTACCGCCACTGTGGCAGCGAGCAGCAAAATCTGACCTCAACTGGAATTATGGGCCGAAGTCGCTGCGGTGAAAAGCGACAAGTATATAACGATTCTAATCGTCCTTGTTTTATCTGCAGGTTCCTCGTCACATTGAGCCAGTCCAGCGTCCAGAGAAAAAGGACATTCCTGATGTTATACGAACTTTGACTTTGCACACAGCTCACTATGCTTCAGGCAATTGGAGGCCCTGTGCCTCCGAATACCGCCCATGTATGTTCAGTCCTGTGAGTTTGCTATGGCCGTGATTTTTTTTCCAGGTTCAAAAGAAAAGACAGTGTTATCTTCACTTAACGTATATTATATTTTATTCATTGAACTTTGCCTGAAATCTATTTCACTAATGTCTTGTACTACTTACCTTGCTTCTGCTTAATATTTTTAAAAAATTTTTTAACCCTCGAGCGCTAATGTGACCTTCAACAGGCTGTCAGTGTGTCCCTTCCCACATGGAAGGCCAACATTGGCTACGAAGAAGGGGAGGAATGGGTCGTGAGTAAAATGAAATGTGGATATCCCAGATTTTTTGTCCATCCAAGCATCCAAAAGCTGTCGCAAGAGATTGTACGTCGATGTGGGAATCCAGAAGTCGAGTCCGCAACGCTATTTCCCTCTCTGAAGACTGCGCGGGTGTGCCGTTCGTTCATGGTGACGAGGGTACTGCCTGATGACGTCAATAAAGTGCGGATTGTGAGCTTCGTTCCGTCCCCTGGGGCTGCTTCAGCGGTAGCAGGTGCTGATGGAAGCCTTGATGTCACGTCGAAACTCTTCTGTGTTATATACCCCAAGGTATATGCTGGCATTGCTAAACAAGTATGGCAACATACTGGCGACGGCATCTCAAGCCGCAGGAGTGAATTTTGCTTGAATGCTTTGGAAGATGGATACCTTGTCGAGGATGACCAAACCAAGCCATTAGATACGAAAGGCCAGACGTTCTCCAAGGGCCCCAAAAGGTATCAGCAGATGACTTCTGTGCAGGGACCTGCACGAGAAGTTACGCTGTCTGCTACCAGGGAGCCTGGCTTCAATTCGAGGGACAAGGACGTGTCCGAGGGTCGGGAATATGCACAATTTATTGAGGAACGTTTCGGACGTAATTTGAGCACTTCTCTAGCGAATAATGCTAAGTTAGCCATCCGAAGACGAATAGCCGGTTCGCTTACAGCTAATGTTGAGCTGAGCGAAGCCCTGGAGAGCACCTCTTCTGGCGGCAGAATCGCAGGTTTAACGGAAAATGATGTGTTCCTCTTTCCTACGGGCATGAGCTCTATCTTCAACACCCACCAGAATCTGATGGTCGCTAGGGGTCCCTTGAAGAGTATATGTTTCGGCTTCCCGTACACTGACACCTTGAAAATCCTCGAGAAATGGGGCCCAGGATGTTTATTTTACGGACATGGTTCTTCCGAAGATCTCGATGATCTTGAACGTCGATTGCTAAATGGTGAAAGGTTCCTGGCTTTATTTACAGAATTTCCGGGGAATCCCTTGCTCAAATCGCCTGATCTCAAGCGCATAAGTGCGCTTGCTCAGAAGTATGACTTCGCGGTAGTGGTGGATGAAACTGTCGGCAATTTCATTAATGTTAACGTACTTCCACATGCGGATATTGTCGTCAGCAGCCTAACCAAAATCTTCAGTGGCGACAGTAATGTCATGGGAGGAAGTGCTGTTCTCAACCCTCATGGGCGCTTCTATAACAGCTTGAAGGCAACCTTCTCGTCGGAATATGAAGACAATCTTTGGGTCGAGGATGCTGTCTTCCTTGAGAGAAATAGCCGTGATTTCGTATCAAGAATCGAGAAAATCAATACAACGACCGAATCTATCACCGCAATTCTCAAATCCTCTCCTCTTGGTGCGCATACTTGTCATCTCGAATAGAGACTAAGTGGACATCGCTAATCGGATGATAGTCAAAGAGGTCTACTACCCCAAGTATAGCCCGACGAAGTCATTTTATGACTCTTGTCGCAATCCAAATGGCGGTTATGGCGGTCTGTTTTCGGTAACCTTTCATACGACTGAGGCAACGATAGCTTTCTTCGATGTTCTTGAAGTTTTGAAGGGTCCTAGTCTTGGGACAAACTTTACTCTCAGGTATTAGACCTTCTCACTTCCCACGAGTTGGCCTTTTCTGACCTATGCTTCTTTAGCTGCCCCTACACGCTACTAGCCCATTACAACGAACTTGAATGGGTGAGTCATTCCTGTTCGTACAACCGTCTCGGACCTTCTCTTGCTGATTGCGATATAGGCATCTTCTTTCGGTGTTCCATCTGATTTGGTAAGGGTTAGTGTAGGGCTAGAGGATGCGGAAGATCTCGGTGCCAGGATTCAGCGAGCTCTCCATGCAGTGCAGAGCGCCACATGAACTCAATCATTATGTCTCAATGCCATGCCTCGATGGCCAGTCTTCATCCAAAAAGACATTAGTTTCGATTCTTCTGGGTAATTGCTGATACCATTGAAGCTTCAGAATTCAGAGCAAGTACTATATCCGGCGTCCAGCCTATTGCATGGAGAGTGATTACCGCAGCCTGCATGGCCGAGAGATGCATCGGTCTTCAACTCGGTGTCTTAATGTATCTAACATGTACCGATGTAAAACGAAGAACCGATCGAGAACGTCGTGTATCGCCTTTTTTTTTTGAAATCTAAAGTTAACATTTCTTGGGGAGATAACTGGGAAGTTGGGAACAACAGGAATCGTTGATGGGATACGCGTAACATAATGCATACCGAATGAGAAATAGAAGCTGGGACCAGAACACTGTAAGGAATAGGACAATGATGCTACCTGTTCTGCTTCATCACCTCTACTAGAAACCATTAATTACCGTTTCTGTACACTGTCGCGAGCTTCTGTAAATATTAGGTAAGGAATATGACGAGAATCACAGCAATATATATCAAAGGATATAGTTAGGAAATTCGCCCTAAGAGTAGATAACAAAGACTATGTACTGTACTTAGGTACCTATTACAAGAATACAGTGTGAACTATAGGTAGGGAGAGCGCCTGGGAAGTAGATAGTGAAGACTATGTATAAAGACCTCGATATAGACCAGGTATTTTCTCTTTGATTTAGTCGAGCGAAGCGATACCTGTAAGGCTTGTAAATTGTAAGGAATCATCCCCCACTTGGCAAAATCTGCTTGTCATGTCGATTACTTGATAGCACGATCCGGAGCTTCATCGTCTCCAATAGCGCTCAATTGGACACTCCTTATAGCACTCATGTCAGCGCTACCTGTTCTTCTCAGTGCCTGTCGCATAGTCTCAATATTAAGCTCTCCGTGAAAGCTTCCAGAAGCGCCAGAAGGTGGACTGTGGAGAGGAAGGGATAATGGACTTCCTGGCCGGCTCCGTCCACGGCTAAGGGATGTTTCTAATCCCTTAGATGACAGCGATGCGCTCGTTGGCGGAGATGTACTGAGTCTGTGTGAAGACACAGGAGAGCGCATAGGGGAAGGAGATCGGTTATGGGCAGTTAGAGCAGCTGGATAGGTGGACAGCGCCAAGTTGTGAAGGGAGTCTCGGCTGCTGAATTGATCACTATTCTCGATGTGTTCTGCATGAACGACGTCGGCAAATGAAATGAAGCTGAGGCGCCGTATATCAGCGGAGTCTAACGCTCCATAGTTGGAAACTGAATCCTCATTCCGCACAGGAACCGCAGCAACGTCTTCGTGCCACGAAGAAGCCGCTGATTGATTAACTGCACCAGTCCCAGTAACTGTTACGGCGGCTGGCTGGTGAATAGCGTGTGTGATGATCTCAATGGAATCGGGGTCAAGACGGTCATCTGTGATCGCCGCAGATGACGCCTCTAATATGGGCGGTATATGATTGTCGGTCATGATATGGGAAGGAATGGACGGCGATGCCTGCACAGGTAGGATGTCTTCCTGAACACTACGTTCAAATATCTGGGAAGATGCAGGAGAATGTATCCGTGGGGAAGCCGAATAAATGACCCGCCCCGGCGATGGAGGCGATCGATATGAGTTTTTCGCAATATGAGGAGACGTTGTGGGTCGAGCGAAGTCCGTAGCGTAGAGGGGAGATATTGGCTCCATTGCCGTCAATTGGTTGCTAGGGCTCGAGGCTATAGACGTCGTACGTGTTTCATCAATGTACTGTTGCTGATCAGGATCCTTCTTGCTGTCTAGTTTCAGAGGCTTTCGTGATACTCCCAACTCGATTTCATTTATTGACTGTTCAACTGTGGATACCGATTGCTGATCCTGAAGTGGCCGCATCGTACCATGACTCTCCCATGCTGTCGGGTCTGACGCGTGGACGCTGGAGGATTGGTGGTCGAAAGGATCCTGCGGAGACGCTACTTGATGCTGAGGTCTCAAGACAGGGAAATTCTCATGGCCCATCTTGACATCCAATTCCTGCTGAGGTAGGGGTGCCTGTAATCCTTGTATCCACCAAAGCTCGATGTGCAAGATACATACGCGAGGGCGGCCGGTATGCAAAAGACCGAGCTCGATGCAACGGTCTCGGTGATCACGCCCTTGTCGTCGATATAGAATTAAAAGCGGAAAGCCGACGCTATGGAACGAATGCAGAGGACTGACTACCACGCGATATCAGATGTCATGGTGCAGGAGTGGACAATCGGCAGCACGATAACAACGATAATGGTAAATAAGAGACGTATATAAAATAAAAATAATCATCAGAGGCGGTAATTCTCGAAATGGTGGAAAAGAACCTCGTCTCGTGTCGAGTTATTACGATCATTTGCTCTAAGGACCAGCCCTACAATGCTTCGGATCGTTGCGGGACGAGGAGATCTACCAGCCTGAGGCCGCAAAGCCTTGTCGTTGTTTGGTCACGTGAATATATTCCTCCGTAGTTGCTGGCCCTTTTTGCCGTGTCGGAAATTCTCTCAGAGGCTCGTTCTTGAACAAGCCTTACTGCAGTGTTCTTCACGCTCCTTCTTTTCTTTCGCCGCTCAACTTCTTGGCCGATTCTATTGTTGCCATTTAGTTTCCACAGATAATGATATCTTTCTATTGCCTTGATTCCTAGTCCTGCGGTTTCTCAACTTGTTTTCAGAGACCTCGATACGGCTATCGAATGCCGCTATCTTCTCGTTGGCACGGAGCGATTTAATATATTCTTTCCACTTTCTACGATACTCTGGATCTCCGCTGCCTTTTTTTTTTCGCGCTGCCATGGCTACGATTTCAATCGTTCCGAGACGGCCTTTGCTGGCGCTGCCGTTTCTTCTCCCTCCTTGGTGTGAGTCGGCCGCAGTGACATCTCGACGAAATCAATCTTCGTACCGTCGAACCAAGCAGCGGCTGCGGGTAAAACCAGATGCTTCATTTGGGCCTTCCGATCAGCTTCGTGATGGGATCATCTTCAACCCTCCGTCTAGCGCTCCATCTGTTTATCATACACCCACCAAATTTCTTCCTCCAGATGATTTGCGCCGAACGCTTCGCCAGGAGACTTCTGAACAGGAGGCAGAGCAGGATTTCCCTCCGGTTTTCAAGGAATCTCAAGAAAAGAAATACCACTTAACTCCAGCGGACATAGAAGAGATCCGCAGACTTCGGCTCGGCGATCCAATGACATGGAGTAGGTGGAAATTAGCCAAGCGTTTCCAGTGCTCCCCAATTTTTATTGCTATGGTTTGTGAGGCTAGTCCGCAGAAACGGGAAATCCAGAAGCAGGTGCTTCAAGCCGTACAATCGAGATGGGGTGTGAAACGAAGGATGGCACGGGAGGACAGACAACTTCGGAAGGAAGCCTGGGGCACAGACGAGTGAAAAGATAGCGGTTGAATTATCTCTTGCGGCTTTTTGTAGTCATCAAAATCGGATTGCTTGTTGCGAACTGAACCATGTCGATTTGACTGGGGGGAACTGTACTGTTCTTATGTATTGTAGCATTATTTCATTTGATCTAGAAATCTTCTTAGCTTATTTACATACAACTTTGATAATTCAAGAAGAAGAAAATAAATGGGAGAGATAAAAGAAAGTATTTCTACGCACGTATATTGCCCATGCGGAAGGATGTAGGGATTCAAGTTACCGTCCCGACTGAGTCTGACACTTTGCAACATATGGTATGGTGTCACGAGTCTTTCCGCATAAAACCCTGTTCTCATTCGCTAAAACCAACAACAGCCTTCACTACGCGTACTGTGTATGGTTCTCGCATTTCACGCAGAGATGGTCCCCGCCTTACCCCTCAGCCGGTATGCAGCCAGAACATTCACAAAGTGCATAGAGTCGGCATCCTTCGCACATTCCGCTATATCTTCGCCATATCGTCTCCAAATACAACAGTCTGTGATTTGTAATTCGCCTCGTCCCCATTTTATTCGTCGCTGCTTTTACGGACACATCAGCGACCCAAAAATGGCTCCTCAATTGGAACCTTTCTTCAAGCAGTACGTGAACCGCTTTACATTACCCGCTGTGGGTTGAGGCTTCAAGCTAAACTATATGCTACTCCAGGGTGGATGAGTTGTCTGATTCTTTTATTGAACGTATGTGCTTCTCCTGAGGAGACTCAACTAAGGTATTTCGTGTTAAATGTACTCATTTTATTGTAAAAGGTCTACGGAAAGCGGTGGCCATCCCATCAATTTCTGCCCAGGAGGAGCACAGGAAGGATGTTTTCAAGGTGTGTTCGGATGCTCGCTACGCAGTGACCTTCTAACTTGCTGGGAATATCAGATGGCCCAATTCCTCGCTTCCGAACTCGAGGCACTCGGGGCAGAGGTGCACCAACGTCCTCTAGGCAAGCAGCCCGGAAAAGAGCATCTTGATCTACCACCAGTCGTCATTGCTCGATATGGCAATGACAAGAATAAGCGGACCATCCTTGTGTATGGACACTATGACGTTCAGCCGGCCTTGAAGGAGGATGGATGGGCTACCGAGCCGTTTGAGTTGACAATTGATGAGAAGGGAAGAATGTACGGTCGTGGCAGCACAGATGATAAGGGGCCCGTTATGGGCTGGCTGAATGTCATCGAGGCGCATAAGAAAGCTGGCATCGAGCTTCCCGTCAATCTTCTCTGCTGCTTCGAGGGCATGGAGGAATACGGATCTGAAGGTCTCGACGATTTCATCAAAGCTGAAAGCAAGAATTTTTTCAAAGACACAGACGCTGTCTGTATCTCGGATAACTATTGGCTGGGAACGGAGAAGCCGTGCCTTACCTATGGTCTCCGAGGGTGCAATTACTATTCTATTAGGGTATCTGGTCCTGGACAGGACCTTCACAGTGGCGTCTTTGGGGGCTCTGCCCACGAGCCTATGACCGATCTGGTTACAATTCTGTCAAAGCTAGTGGATTCGCAGGGCAACATTCAAATTCCTGGTCTCATGGATCTCGTTGCACCGCTCACGGAGGAGGAGAAATCCCTTTATCCTGGGATCAGTTACTCAATGCAGGATCTTCATGATTCCTTGGGGAGTGAAACGAGTATTCATCCTACCAAAGAGAGGACGTTAATGGCCAGGTGGAGGTACCCGTCACTGTCTATTCATGGAATCGAAGGCGCCTTTTCAGCTCCCGGGGCAAAAACGGTGATTCCAGCGAATGTTACTGGTAAATTCTCCATACGAACTGTTCCAAATATGGAAAGTGAGGATGTGAACCGGCTCGTTTTCGATTACGTCCGGAGCGAGTTTGCCAAACTAAACAGCAAGAACAAGCTTGATGTGTGGCTGCAACATGAAGGGAAGTGGTGGGTCGCTAGCCCAAAGCATTGGAATTTTACGGCTGCTAGTAAGGCTGTTAAGCAAGTCTTTGGAGTCGAACCAGACATGACTAGAGAAGGTGGCAGGTACGTTATTTTGGACTCATCCACAATGCCTCATACCGCTCAATTGCCAGGAGCTAATTGAAACCATAGTATTCCTGTCACATTGACATTCGAGCAAGCAACTGGCAAGAACGTGCTGCTGTTACCTATGGGAAGTTCTACAGATGCTGCCCATTCTATTAATGAGAAGCTCGATAAGAGGAACTATATTCAAGGGACAAAATTACTTGGCGCTTATCTGCATTATGTTGCAGAGGAACCTATTAACGCCTGAGAGTCCCGATTGCTGGATAGAGCTATAACGCGCATGTTACAATTCAAAACTATTCATTGTAACGTTAAGACATTGGCAACATGAGCGTTTCCTCTCAACATACTTATGTTAAGGCAATCAATATAGTGGTCATGCGTTTGCTTGTTGCATGGAGGTATTTAATCCCGCTTCCTTTCACAAAGGATTCGACCTAAAGGTTCATCCTTATTTGCAACGATGTGATAAATGGCAGTTGTAGCTGTGGCATCAACTTCCAATGGAATATTACTGACGCCATCGAGAGCAATATTGAGATATCACAACAAGGCTCTATGGAAGGTATCTGCTTAGACTTACCGTAGGAGGCAAAACTGATACCGCGTGGTCACATGACTAGCTAGACGCGACTATTGACGCGACGCGGGTTTCTGACAGTACTCCGTATTTCATACAAAACATTACATTAACCACCTTGCATATTTAATTGCGTACGCAGAGCGATGAGCAGAAGATGGCTCCAGTGAAACGTCAGCGGGCGGCTTTGGACGCTGCATCCTCCATCAATGATGATGGTATTGATTCGGTAAGTCTCTTGAATTCTTGTTAGTAATAGTTTCTGATCTGAATGGCTTCTTCAGAGAAAACGGCGTCGCACCTCGGCAAGCGTATCGTCAGAGAATACCGAACAAAGTGAGGTTCTGGGCGTCGATCTAACTAGGCAATCCGTCGGGTTGGAGCTTGATGATGAAGACGAGCTAGAGCTGCAGGCAACTCAGATAATTCAAGAAAAATATTCCTCCTGCGGCGATGAACCAAATGTACCAGCAGATCATGGCATTATTGAGCGGGTGGATTGCTATAATTTTATGTGCCATGAACACTTCTCCGTCGAACTTGGACCGCTTATCAATTTCATTGTCGGCAAAAATGGCAGTGGTAAAAGTGCAATTCTTACGGCTATTACCTTGTGTTTGGGAGGCAAGGCATCTGCCACGAATCGAGGGCAAAGTTTGAAGAGTTTCATCAAAGAGGGAAAAGAGTGAGCAGATCATTTCCATTTCCTCGCTTTTGTTCCCTGTTTCTGCTGGATGTTTCGATAAAGAACTCATGTGGGAATATTTGCCTGCTCACCTAACAGAACCACAGATCTGCTACCATAATTGTACGGATAAAAAACCAGGGTGATGGTGCCTACATGCCCGAAGAGTATGGCAAGTCTATAATTGTGGAACGCCTTTTCTCGAGGAACGGCACCAGTGGCTTCAAAATCAAAAACGAGGCTGGGCGCATAGTATCAACAAAAAAGACTGAATTGGACGCCATCACGGATTTCTTCTCACTGCAGATCGATAATCCTATGAACGTTCTTTCCCAGGACATGGCCCGTCAATTTTTAAGCACCTCCAGCCCTGCTGAAAAATACAAATTTTTCGTGAAAGGCGTTCAGCTCGAACAACTTGACCATGATTATCGCCTGATCGAAGAATCGATTGATCAGATCGAACAAAAGCTTAGAAATCGGAAGGATGATGTCAAAATTTTAGAAAATCAGAAAGAGCGGGCAAACAGACGATTAGAAATTTCTGATCAGCATGCTTCTCTTAGAGAACGGATCAGAAATTTGCGGAGGCAGATGGCCTGGGCTCAAGTTGAAGAGCAAGAAAGAGTTAGCAGATTCAGTTTTCCTCTTTCCCTGTTGTCAATGCTAATTCCGTACAGATCCGCGACTCTTTGGACAACGAGATTGCCAAAGCCGATGAAATGATTGCTGCGGCCGAAGCGGAGGTCGCGAGACTTGATATTGCTTTTCAAGAAGCTGAGCGGGAGTTTGAAGTTGCTGCCCAGGTTTTAAGCGGAACAATTGCCGATCTCGAGAGGGCACAGGATGAAAAAAAAGAAATAAAATCTCGAATAGATGAGGAAATGAATGAGCGTCATGATATGCAGGTTTGTTCTTCTGCCTACTTCTCGATACTATCTAACAAGTCTTAAGGCTCAGCAACGGTCGATACGCGAACATGTCAAGGCAGCTGAATCACGGATTAAGGATATTGAGCGAGACATCGCTCAAGAGAGCCAGCGTCTGGCAGATGTAAACGGTGGAAGCTATGTTCGAAGGCAGGAGGAACTTGAACAGAAGAAGTCTGAAGCAGTTCGGGCTCGACAACGCTATGAAGAGCACCTGCAAGATGCGCACCGCCTTCGGGAGGATATTCGAAAAGCGGAAGAAGAAGTAAAACGGAATAGTGCACCTATTGCCAAGCAGAAGGCGGACATTGAGCAGGCCGAAGCACTACTCAAAAGCCTCATGAAGGATCGTGGCTCACAGGATGCGGGTTTCCATGAAAAAATGCCAATGCTCTTAAGAGCAATCCGTCAGGAGACATCCTTTAGTCGGCCTCCTGTTGGCCCGATAGGCCACCATGTAAGGCTGTTGAAGCCAAAATGGTCTGCAATCCTGGAGAACGCGTTCGGCACGACCCTGAGCAGTTTCATTGTTACTTCCAAACGGGACATGAATATTCTGTCCGACATCATGCAAAGGGTCAACTGGTACGGCCTATGATTTCCGTATTGCGGTTATATTTCTAACGAACTATTAGCGTTTGCCCTATATTTATCGGGAACGAAGGAAAGATTGAGACTGCCGAACATGAACCAGACTCACGTTTTGATACTGCCTTGAGAGTTCTTGAGGTATGCATAACATATCGTGTTTCGTATTGTCACAGATTGACTCTAATTCTAAATGCAGATCGACAATGACTTAGTCCGTCGGCAGTTAATTATCAATCATGGTATAGAACAAATGCTTCTTATCGAAGACTTGGAGGAGGCTTCGGCTGTCCTTTTTGAGGACCCGCGCCCAAAAAATGTGAAGCGGTGTTATAGCATCGACAAAGCGGATCGGCGGCGAGGCATTCACCTGTCTTACAGTCGAACCGGGGAGCCTAGTCAGACTCCTGTACCTGCTTATACGGGCAGACCCCGCATGAGAACCGACATAGATTCCCAAATCAGGTACGTTTCCATCTCTTCCGTCTATAACCTACGAGATACTAACTTCGATTTGACAGACTCCAACGTGAGACGATTGCGGTACTCAAAGACACAATGAATGAAATGGAGCAGAGGCTAGCTGCGTCGCAGTCCAAATTGGAACGTTGCAAACAAGCACTTTCCAGGCATCAAAGGCAAGAAAATGAGCTGCAAATTGCACTCCAGAGGATCGAGGACCAAGTGGAAGAGCTCAGTGACGCCTTGGACAGGGACAGTGTAGCAGACGGGCGTTTGGAGGCACTCAAAGCTGCTCTCCGAGAGGCCGAGGAAGAAAAGCGTCTTAACCAAAGTTCATATGATGACAGTGTCGCCGCTATGAATGACATTATGGAAAAATTGAAAGCTTCCAGGCGTGAACTGCGTGCAAAAGACGACGAGATTGCTGCTCTTGAAGAGAAAGTCAAGATTGCTGAACATGAAAACGAGAAAGTTCTAGGTCAGCGAAGGAAGGCTCTTGGTGATAAGAATGCTGCGGTTGTGCGAGTCGATGATCTCAAGCAGGACAAAGCCAGGATCGTCAATAAACGAGAACAAATCATTACTCGCATACTTGACTACAGTGAGAAAGCCAGCCTGGTGTCTCCCAGAGTCACCGTCGATGAGGGTGAAACTCCGAATAGCCTTGACCAGAAGCTTGACAGACTTAATAAGGACCTGCAACGCTTTAACGAACAGTGAGTATACGTACTTAGTTATCAGCTTGGATATCTGCCTAATTTTTTGTTAGGATGGGCGCTTCAAGAGAAGAAATTGCAGCGGAGGCAATGAGAACACACAATGCCTACGAGCGTGCTCAGCAACAAGTTGCGGAACTTGAAGCACTTGCAGAGGTATGAGTGAGGGGGACAATCTCAGTTTGATTATCTTTCTGGCACAAACTAAAACATGCATAGATTTTCAAGGCAACTCTGCGCAATCGGCGCGATCGATGGAAACAATTCAGAGCTCATATCTCTTCCCGGGCGAAGGCACAATTTACATATCTTCTCAGTGAAAGAAGTTTCCGCGGCCGTCTTCTGGCTGATCATGAAAATAAACTTTTGGATCTGCAGGTGAGTCCACAAACATCGCTTCTTTTCTGCAAGTCTGACACATTCCGTAGGTTGAGCCAGATATTACAAAGGATAGCACCGGCCGTGGTGCAAAGACTTTGTCTGGCGGGGAAAAGTCGTTTTCACAAGTCTGCCTTCTGCTATCGCTCTGGGAAGCTATGGGCTCTCCTATTCGCTGTCTCGACGAGTTGTATGTAACGCCGACCTATTGATAATGTCCGTGCACTAACTTTCCGGCAGCGACGTGTACATGGATTCTGTCAATCGAAAAATGGCTATCGATATGCTTGTAAGGACCCTTTCGTGCCTAGATTTCGTCTCACAATGCTTACATAATCTATGATAAGATGCTGGCAGCGAGAAGATCAATTGGGCGACAATTCATCCTCATTACCCCAGGCTCAAGGGCGGAGATAAGCCTAGCTCCGGATGTACGGGTTAAAGAGTACGTCTCCCCTTAGGGTCCTGTATGAGAGGTGTTTGCTGACAATATCTTCTGTTAGGCTGGCAGAACCGGAGCGCGGCCAAAGGACATTATCATTTCGACAAGCGTGATGCATATTGCCGATCAGAAACCGAAGGGAAAGCAGAGACTGAGCGTGTGACAGATGATGAATAAATGAACTAAACAGGTTGTGCTTTTCAAGATAGTTTTTAGACCTTGCAAGCTGAAGTCCTGAACTTGTCCATCAAAAGATGTCAAGACGGCAGATTCTACCTTGATTGCGCTGGGACATGTAGAGTACTACTAAGGTCGCTCAAGTAACAGCAGAATGCAGTCATAAATGATGGTACTATCATCCATATGTTAATGGTACCTCTGGAGGTAAATCTAGAATACCTAGAGTACGGCCACAATTTTTGGGTACTATAATTATTGATTCTGCCGGTGTTGACCGCCCTTGGCACCATCCCCACATTAGTACAGCAGCAAGAAATTACAACAAGCTTCCTCAAGTCTCATCCAGTACCCCTACCGTTTTTTGGTTGTCACTAGAGCTACCCACATTCTGTGCCTCTGCCCGGTCACTCAATCTCAAACCTCAGATTACAAGTCTCAGTGACTCTTTAACCCGTCTAACTAGAATATTTGATACTTCTTCTGACGTGTCTGTCGCTCAAGACGTGAATCCTAAACAATCATTGCCTCTGTCATCTGCTATTGTCTCGATCTGAAAGCTAGAAAATCTCGTCTCGCACAGTCAGCCTTATTGTCGCCATGGCAGACGCTCTTGCATCACAACTCAATAATACAAAGCTAGGGTATGTTCATGACATACAACGAGCGTGTAAGAGCAGATGAGCTTAATTTCTTATCACTACAGGGAAGCAAGTATGGACAACTCATGGAAAGAGCAACTGAAAATTCCAGCAAAGGATACTAGGGTACAAACAGAGGTATGAAACGAGCCACTCCTCGCTGTGGATTTGATGCTAAAATGTTGTAGGATGTCACTGCTACAAAGGGTCTTGAATTCGAAGACTTCTACATCAAAAGGGAGTTGATGATGGGGATATTTGAAGCCGGTTTTGAGAAGCCATCACCCATTCAAGAGGAAACGATACCTGTCGCTCTCACTGGACGTGACATCCTCGCACGAGCAAAGAATGGCACCGGAAAGACTGCAGCATTTGTTATCCCTACGTTAGAACGCATCAATCCTAAAAGCACGAAAACTCAGGCTCTTATCCTCGTCCCTACAAGAGAGCTTGCTCTTCAGACCTCACAGGTTTGCAAGACACTCGGAAAACATCTCGGTATCAATGTCATGGTCACTACAGGAGGCACTGGGTTAATGGACGATATCATACGTCTGAATGATGCAGTGCATATCATTGTTGGAACGCCTGGGAGAGTACTTGACCTGGCGAGCAAAGGTGTTGCTGATCTCTCCGAGTGTCCCACATTTGTTATGGACGAGGCGGATAAACTTCTTTCTCCTGAATTTACACCGGTGATTGAGCAGCTTCTATCGTTCCATCCAAAAGACAGGCAGGTCATGCTGTTCAGTGCTACGTTCCCTCTAATAGTCAAATCTTTCAAGGTACTATCTTCTGAATTCGCTTATATGGCCAGACGATTAACGATTGGAACAGGACAAGCACATGCGTAATCCTTACGAGATAAATCTTATGGATGAACTTACTTTGCGAGGCATCACTCAATACTACGCCTTTGTTGAAGAGAAACAGAAAGTCCACTGCCTCAATACTCTTTTTTCGAAGCTTCAGATCAATCAGTCAATCATTTTCTGCAATTCTACGAACCGTGTCGAACTATTGGCGAAGAAAATCACGGAATTGGGCTATTCTTGCTTCTATTCACACGCCCGGATGCCTCAGCAAAACCGGAACCGTGTCTTCCATGACTTCCGCAATGGTGTCTGTCGGAATCTTGTCTGCTCTGATCTTTTGACTCGTGGTATCGACATTCAAGCTGTGAATGTCGTTATCAATTTCGATTTCCCCAAGAACGCTGAAACATATCTTCATCGAATTGGCCGATCTGGTCGCTTTGGACATCTGGGGTTGGCAATCAATCTTATCAACTGGGATGACCGCTTTAATCTCTATAAGATTGAACAGGAGTTGGGTACTGAGATTCAACCAATTCCTCAGACTATCGACAAAAAGCTATATGTCTATGAATCGCCTGAGACTATTCCCCGCCCAATTGCCAGTGCTCCCCAACCGCGTCAAGCATCTGCTGTGGATAACGACAAAGGCAATGGAGAACAGCAGCCACGTCGTCACGGCAACCATGCAAATGGTGGTCATTACAATTCGAATCGAGGAAGAGGGTCCTATCGAGGAGCTCGCGGGCACGGTCAGCGTCGTGGTGGTCACAGCGATGGCCACAAGTCAATGGGTGCTCCAGCCCAGGCGGGTAGCAAGCCGCAGCCAATGCCAGCTTCTTAGTTCCATTTCTTATAATTCATCGGAGTCGCTGCCATTCGACTTTTGGCAGTCTTAACCTCGCTGCTGCTCTCTTAAAATCCCCGTCTCCCTTCAATATCCATGTGCGCTTACTCTTCTCGTGCCTGGATTCGCGCGCTCTTCAATGACCTTTCTTTGATATCTGGTTTTGGTGACTTTGGTATTTTCTAACTTGTTCCTGATCATGATGCCATGGTAGTGCTGTTCAACATGTATCATATTTTCAAAACGTCTCTTTGTCCTTTTCCCCCCCCCCCCCCCTTATTTGTCCGGATCTGAAACGGAACAGCCGGCACTGTCGACTCACATTCGAAATAGCCATCAGCTATTACGTTTCCCACCATTCGGGTGTTTTGCTTCCACTTTGCTTCAAAGGCGTGCACACTCGCTGTCTCTTGTCCTTCACGGAAAGAGGAGCTTTGGAGGATGGCGTTAAATTCCGGTTTATATGGCGGTTTCTGGCTTCGGGCGTTGTCTTCGGTGGTTCAACAGGTATTCCGCTTTTATTCTATTTCAGCCATGGATGATTCTATCACTTCTTCGCTGGGGCACATGGCTCCAATCCCTGTGTCCCACTAACTTTCTAAGATTCTTGGAAGGAGTGTGTTGCCCTCGGTTTTGTTCAGCTTGTTATTGTTCTTCGACTTCGCTGTCGGTCTTCCGGTCCCTTTTGTCTTTCCATCTATTCTCGCTCCTTTCAGCTCACAGCCGAGGTTTTTTCTTGACTATAGCCCAGCAGGATCCTGTGTTTCATGCCTGTGGATTTATTCTGGGTTAACTGTGAGCTTCATGACAAATTCTTCGTAGGGAGAAGGAGCGAACTTTTCATATCTCTTCTCCTTCCCCCGGTCTTCCTCTCTCTCACAACGTTAACGCCCATAAGATTCTTATATGACAAGTACTGTCAATTTTGTGAACATAGGCTCATCTCACGGAGCCTCCACAAAAGCCTTGGCAGTTTACGCGGTTCAATATTCGGTTGAGAAAAAGACTCAGCGCAAGACAAAAAAGACGAAAAAAAAAAGAGTAGGAGGAGTTCTAGATGAGTTCATGAGGACCTTTTTTGCATGGAACAACTTCATGTACCTAACATCTAGTGAAATGACAAGCCTTCCCTCCGAAGCTCTTTAAGCAGTTATCCCAAGGCTTCTAATCGGCTAATGATCTCTACAACCTTATATTAACTGTGGTATAGTCAAGATGAAAGAGAAAGACAAAAGGAAAGCTTAAAATTCTGAAGGGAATGCTTTCAGCATCGTAATGCATGCTAACAACGAAATGTAATAATGAACTCCTTAGGGAGGGAATTGCGCAAACTGTATTTCACGACCGCCGTACAATTTTGCAATGAGACAAATCCGTTGTTAGCACTTTCAAGTACTAAGTAAAGGACCAAGTATCTGCAACTGCTGGACGTGCTCGTGTATCGGTTCCAATGGCACCTACAGAGCAAGATCAAAGGCGCAAGGTATGTTTCGAGCTGCTGCCTCGCCTTCGCTCGCTGACGGTAGCCGTATAGCCGAGCAGCCTGCGGTCCATTATTGCCGGCTCTACTGCAGGAGCTGTGGAGATTGGTAAGTGCATGCAATCAACATCATAATCAGGCAAAGTAATTAGGTGAATAACTTGCTAACTTCTTTTTTTTCTAGCAATAACTTACCCTGCAGAATGTGCGACCGTGTTTCTGTTGTTATAATATATGTTTTACTAACTTCCTGCGCAACTAGTTGCAAAGACACGAAGCCAGCTTAATCGCAGATTACCAGATTCAAAGAAGCTCCCCTGGCCCCCGTTCGGAAGACAATGGTATGCTGGATGTACTACATTGATTGTGGGAAATGCTCTTAAGGCGGGAATACGTGAGTATAATCATTGGATCCTTGCCCCTATGAAAAGCCCCTATGAAACGTGTCGAGTGTCTGATCTTGGACTTCTAACTCCCCACAAGGATTTGTCGCATTCGACACGTTCAAATCATTGCTACAAGACGAGAATGGCAAAATATCTGGACCAAGAACAGTTATTGCTGGGTTTGGTGCCGGCTTCACCGAGTCACTTTTGGCAGTGACTCCTTTCGAGAGTATTAAGACCCAGCTGTTCGTGAACCTTGCTTTGCCTTTCTATACTTAATTCGGGATTCCATGTTGGAGCATTTTTCTGACACGCTTTCCCCCTTTTCTGGGTTCAATAGGATTGATGATCGCAAGTCTGGCAAGCCTCGAATGCGTGGCTTTCTACATGGCAGTAAAATAATCGCTCAGGAAAGAGGTATCCGAGGATTTTTTCAAGGTCTGGTGCCAACAACAGCAAGACAAGCTGCAAACTCTGCCACCAGATTCTCTAGCTACACTACATTAAAACAATTTGCCCAAGGCTATGTCGCACCAGGCGAGAAGTTGGGAACATTGAGCACATTTGCTATCGGAGGTCTTGCTGGCCTAATCACAGTGTAGGTGAACGTTTAATATTTCTCCAGTCATCATTTTCTATATGCGTTGACGCGCAACTGATTCTGGATCTTTGTACAGCTATGTAACGCAGCCACTCGATACAGTGAAGACTAGGTGGGTTCAAGCTTCTTCCTCATGTTCCTTGGTTTTTAACTGATTAAGCCAGGATGCAATCGATTGAAGCGAGGAAAAATTACAAAAATAGTTTTGCCTGCGCTGCAAGGATTTTGAAAGACGAGGGGATCACAACTTTCTGGTCTGGTGCTGTTCCACGCCTAGCGCGCCTGATCCTTAGTGGAGGAATCGTTTTCACAATGTTCGTTCTCTTCAATCTAGCAGTGGATGAAATGGTCATTGACGCATTTCATAGGTACGAGAAGACGATGGAGGCTTTGGATTTTGTTGATCCCGAGAGGAAATATATCTAGGGCTCGAAGAGAGCAAGGGGGCATGACAACACCTTTGACAGGCCAATAGGTAGTCACCGGGATTGTATGTATGTACTGTACAGTTGTGTAAGATTGTGCTAAACTGGTATCATAGAGGACTCAAAATCTTTAAAAAAAAATACATCATAATACACTCAAAAACGCACCGCATGCTCGAAGTAGCTGAACACCAACTTCTCTACTTGACTTTTGCGTTTATACCAGTGGATCCTTTTGCTGCCTCCTCAGCGACCATCATCTGCACCTCACGGTCCACGAGCCACCCTCGGACACTCTCCATGACTGTCTCAAGACCATGGCCGCCATCGAGGACGCTCGCAAGATCGTGCACTGTGATTCCACTTCTGTGATCGGTACATCGACTCTGGCTGTAGTTATAGGTGCGAACCTTATCACCACGGCCCATCTTGGCGACACCGCCCATGGCGCCCCTTCTGAGTTTCACCATTTCCTCTTCGCGTGCTTCCCTCCTTGCTTCAGCCAATCTAGCTCGCAACAGCTGCCATGCTTTCTTACGGTTTGCATGTTGAGATCTCGAATCTTGCATGGAGACAGTTATTCCAGTTGGAATGTGTGTCAACCGGATGGCGGATTCTGTTTTATTGACATGCTGCCCTCCGGCACCGCTGGCACGCATCCTTTCGGAACGGACTTCTTGGGGATCGACGTAGTAATCGCTGTTCGGGTCTTCATAATCGTTCTCATCTCCACCGGCTTCAGGGAAGCTTGGCAGTACCATCACACTAACTGCACTGGTGTGTGTGCGACCTTTTGTCTCTGTGGCAGGGACCCTCTGGACTCTGTGTACGCCCGTTTCCGTCCTGAGAATGTCGTAGCTGCCTTCATTTTCGACCTCCATAATTGCCTCAGTGAGGCGGTCATTGGATGGGCCATCTTCTACATCTTGCTTCACAATGTTTGTTCGGAGGCCTCGACGGGAGCAGAAAGCGATATACATTCTCAAAAGTTCGGATGCAAAAAGGCCGGCCTCATCTCCGCCTGCTCCAGGCCGGATTTCGAGCAGACAAGGAAGATCAGCAAAAGGATGTTTTGGAATAAGGGATTTTTTCAGATTGTCTGAGATCGTGGGAAGCCTAGCGCTGCTGGACTCGAGATCTTCGATAGCGAGAGATCGCAGTTCAGGGTCAATCTCGGGATCATTGAGCAATGATCTGAGTTCTGAGATAGACTGGCACAATTTGAAAGCCAGACTGTCAGTTCACCGGCACAGGAGCTTTCGGGACCAGAACCCACTTCGTTTGTGTTGTCCCATTCCTTCAAAGCGTTAGCAACCGGTGCGAGCTCGCCAACTCGCTTAGCAACCTTTGCATCGAAACTTTCAGCCAAAATTTTGGAGAGATTAGCATGCTCTGCTGCCATCGATCGGGCCCGGCTGAGCAATGCTGCTGAGAGACCGGAATCTTAAGGGGCAACGAGCACTGTCAGTCTGGAACTCGAAATTATGGGTCGATGACACGTTAAAGGCAATACCCGAACTGTGTGGTCGCTTTTGCAAAAGAAATAATCGTCTCCGTACGAGTTTAGTCGACTGCCGAAGACATTTTGAGCATATGAAAGCGGCTCCCAACATACTGCGAGAGCGAAAAGCGATAATGCCAGATGGAGGACTGGTCTGCTATATATTATTTCCGTGAGTTCAATTAGTAGCTAGGACTCGGGCGTTTAAAGACCCATACTCATTGCTCTCACCAGAGTACTCTGTTCAGTATTATTTATTGAAATAAACGATTTGTAGTCTGTACAAAGTATTGGATACATTTTCAGACATTTTTGACTAGGTAGAACGCGTAAAGTCACGTGGGGAAAGGAACACGCCTGCACGTACGGTAATTACGAGTAATGATACCACTATTATGTCTCTTATCGTAAAGGCCAGACTACAAGAGTACATATATGGACGACATTTGACATTCCACCAACATCTCGCCCCTGGTGACCGCAATAATGTGAACAGTCGCCTCGTCAAGGATCTACTTATCTTGCTGCGACTCTACCGTCATTTGCAATCCTTCCACGGGCTATTTGCTGCCATTCATAATGCGAGTCTCATTGACATCCCTGGCCTTCTTGTTGGCATGCCTCCACAATGGGCATTGCTTACAAGCTTCGGATATCCCTGCCGATATGCCTCTATCTTCCTTAATCTCGTCAGCAAAATCCCACCTCGCAGGAGGTTCTCCGCGAAACGCTCTTCTCTATTTTGATGCCGCTATCGCGCGGGATCCGACCAATTACCTTACTATCTTTCAACGCGGGGCTACATATCTTTCCCTTGGACGAGACGCACAGGCGGCGGATGACTTTAACCGTGTATTGGATCTCAAACCTGATTTTGAGGAAGCCCTGATTCAGCGTGCCCGTATCAAGACGAGATCTGCGGATTGGGCTGGCGCAAAGAAAGACCTCGACAAGGCCGGTAAGCGATCCTCAGCCGAATACAAGGAGCTTGAGGAAGCACAAACTGCTGCTGGACTAGCAGAGGAAGCTGAAAGAAAAGGTGATTGGGAGACCTGTGTGACTCAGGCGGGGATAGCCATCATGAAGGCGAATACTGCTTTGAGTCTGCGACAGACACGGGCACGATGCCGCTTTGAGAAGGGCGACATTCAGGAAGCCCTTAGTGACCTGGGCCATGTTCTTCACATTTCTCCCGGCTCGGTGGAACCACATCTGCAGATCTCCTCGATGCTTTTTTACGCGTTGGGGGATACTGATCGTGGTGTAGCCCAAATCCGAAAATGCCTGCATTCCGACCCGGACTCTAAGGCCTGTAGCCGTCTTTTCCGCAGGCAAAAACAGCTTGTCAAGAGACTGGAGAAGCTCTTGAACCTCATGGAGAAACGAAAATTCAGCAATGCGGCGAACCTGATGGTTGGAAATCAAGAAGAGAGTGGTCTGATAGAGGATGTCAAGCAGGATGTGAAAGAAGCCAGAGAGTCTGGTCTCATCCATCCTAAGGCTCCTGATAATCTGTACATATTCCTGATTGAGAGCGCTTGTGAGGCTTATCGAGGTGTATGTTCCTCTTTGCCCTTATCTTGATCTCGACCGAAACTAACTAACCATGACTCCGGGACAGATGAGCTTGCAAAAACCGGCGAAGACCTACTGCTCTGAGGCATTACAACGTAATCCTCAATCTCTTCATGGCCTCCTCTTCCAGGCCCAGGTCTTCCTTGATGAGGACAATTTTGAAAAGGCGATTGATACGCTCAACACTGCCAAGGAGTATCACCAGAACTCCGGTGAAATCCAGGATCTTCTGCAAAAGGCGCATGTCTTGCTAAAGAGATCGAAACAGAAGGACTACTATAAGGTTTTGGGAGTGAGCCGTGACGCAGATGAGCGGACCATCAAGCGGGCTTATCGGAAGCTCACGAAAATCTATCATCCAGACAAGGCTATTGCCCAAGGCATGACTAAGGAGGAAGCTGAGAAGAAGATGGCCGCTATAAACGAAGCCTATGAAGTCCTCTCTGACCCCGAACTGAAGGGCCGCTACGACAGTGGTGACGATCCCAACGATCCCCATTCTCAAAGGGGAGGCAATCCGTTCCAAGGCTACCCCTTTGGTCAGGGACATGGGCGGCAGCAATTTTTCTTCCAGCAAGGAGGTGGACCGCAATTCAAATTCACAGGCCAAGGATTCAACTTTCCTGGCGGATTTCCCTTTGGCTAGAATTTTTATTGGACATGTTTGTCCAGGTCTGTTTCATCTTCATACTTTGAATTGTGGGCATTTTCTAGACCATTATGCAAAAGGGTTGGCTACGGTATTGATTTAGTTACTGAGGAGTGTGGTGTTCAAAGGCGAAGGAATTGGTGAATATGTCTTGTTTTCTCCTTTCATATTCCAACGGGTGTCTCGCTTCCGACTTTCCCATTCGTGTTTGTGTAATAAAATAAGCAATGTCTCAAGGAGTCATTAGGCGAAATATTAAGAATACTCCTACATGGGATTTGTTTTTTTTTTGGAAAACGAACTTCGATGCTATTGAGTTTTAACTGAATTTCTTCATATCGTATATCGAGATATATGCGAAACCAGTCGACAGAACAGAAAACAATAACATAGAATGGATTACTTCTTAGACGGCGCATCGGTCAATGGAACGTAGCTCACAGCAAACACTTTCTCTTTGTGCACCGATCCATCCGCTTCTTATCCACGACCCAGATATGCTGTGGACCACCCAGTCCCACCTGCCCTGAGCGCCTTGTCTACATTTCCCGATTCGATTGGAATGAACATCCGACCTGGAGCACGTAGCTGCTCTACCAACGTGGGATGAAGGGTCTCTGCGGCGGCGCCTACATGAATGACGTCGTACGGACCGCCTTCCTTCCAGCCGAGTCGACCGTCCCCAGTGACGAACTTGACCTTTCCGGACTCCAAGAACTTGCGACCATCGGCAGACTTCTGCATGTTATTGCGAGCAAGGTCGACCAGTTCTTGGATATGGTCGATCCCAATGACATGACCATCAGCGTCACTTGGTGGCGACGAGGAATCCGTGATCAAATTTGCGAAGACATGAGTCAAGTAGCCTGAACCGGATCCAATATCCAGAACCCGGGAGCCTGGATGCAGAAAGTCGATCAGATACTCGCAAGCATGACCGTGCATATGTGGCGCGGAAATGGTCGCGCCATAACCGATAGGCTGGGGAGAGTCGGAATATGGATTAGACGGAGAGTAGTGAGCGCGGTCAACCTTGACATAACGTTTTACTTGTCAGCCCAAGCTCCAATAAAACAAACCCCCGAGTTATCTATTGTGGGAAATAGAAGGTTCTCCCCATCAGTAATCTAGAGAGGATCCTTTAGCTGCTGAATGCAGCAAATAGCTAGAAGGGGTATTGGTCCAAGACGGAGGGGCACAAAAAGCGGGGGGAGGGGTTTCCGGGGTAGGGGATGGTAAAATGCTCACTCCAAGCATGGCCCGTTTCACCCGCTCATTCTTGATGAGACCCGAGCTATACAGGTTCTCGATGAGCTCGGTATTGGTCGAGCCGGAACAGAACCAAGCCATTGAGATGGCCCTCTTAGCAAGTATCCGGTTCAAACCCACGATCAAAACTTCAAAAGGAGGCGAGCTGGGTGCAATGCTCGCTGCGTAAATGATGACGTATTAAAATGTCTATTTCAGCCTGAATTTGAGTATTCTAATATCCAACAGCAAGATGTAGTAGCACCATGCCAATGAGCGTCCTCACGTGTTGCAAGGGAACAAAGCTTTGAAAGGGTTGAAATAGACAGGAGTGTTTGTGACCTAGAAGATGTTAGCCCAAGAAGTTAGTTATATAAGGTATGTCTCATTCTCAGATCATATGGTCGCAGCTATGATGACACCAGATTCACATATGTCGTTCACGTGATAGTCTTGTGGCAAGCTACCTACAGAGTAATGTACATATGTACATGTACTGTACATACATACATCCCATGGATAGCGAACGTTGATTGGGCTGAAAATGGTCCTGCATGAGATAGTCGTACTTGGGAGGTAATAATCAAAGCCAGACCAGCCACAAATGTACTTTAAATTTCCCCAAGCACGCACACATCATTCATATTGCTGGCTTGATCTTTGCTCGACGGCCCTTAGCGGCTGCAGCAATGCAGCAACCGTTTGTTTGCAGGGCTCTTGTGGTGACTTCCGTGATCTACAGCCCTCAGCATCATATTCACAATATTAGTATTATAAGACATAAGAGCCGGACATGGTTCTGTGATATTGTATGTACAGTACATGAACATCAAAGCATGGCCATTTCATCCCTTCCTTCTGCTGCCTCATCATCATCGCCGGAAGACTCTCCGCCTTCATCGTTGCTTTCGGGGTGACCGCCCCATTCCACGTCGTGATCAATAGGATCTGTAAAGAACTCATGCTGCAGCGCTTCTCGGGCGCTGAGCCGCTTGGTGGGGTCCAACTCCATGAGCCCGCTAAGTAGACGAATGGCCTGTTTCTCACTCTCGGTGAGGTCCTGCACACAACTCGACCAGATCACCAGCTTCTCCCAGCCGTAACCCTTCTCTCCAATTGTAGGGATGTTTGTTTCAAAGATCTGCCCATGCATTGCTGCAGCTGCCTTCATGCGGCGAGTACCGAAAATGCTTGCCATTTCAATCATTGCATCGACGTCATCTGCAGAATTGAAGAAGGGGAAGCGTCTGCCGAGTAAGGTGAGCAGAATCACTCCGGCAGACCACATGTCTATCTTCGTTGTCTGAGAAGTGCACTTGAAAAGCACTTCTGGAGCTCGAAACCCACGGGTGCCAGCTCGGTTTGCTCGTCGTGATGGTCTTGAATCGTTCTTGGGATACCCCGTTGACTGCGTCGCTGAATGGGAAGAGTAGTAGCTTCCTAGCAGCTTTTGTCTGCGTATATGGGGGGGATAGGTACAGAGACATGGCCCACTATAATCAGATCCCTGGCGCTAATGTATCGCAAACGACTAGGTTAGATATCACCGTCCTCTGATATGTAATCCCACCAAGCAAGGACATAAAAAAAAGATATGAAGAAAAAGATATGAGAAACCTCACCTCTGCCAGCCCAAAATCAACTAAGACTCCCTCTCGACGTTCAGGATTGTAAAGAAAATTTCTAAAGCTCTAGTTCAGCATTTGTTTGCCCGATTTCATGGGAATCTCCTCTTACGTAGGCTTGATATCCCGGTGCAAGATGCCGTGTTTATGAACTGAGGCTAACGCTGTAAACAGAGAACGGAAATAATGGCGCATATCAGCAACCATGAACGTGCGGTATTGGATGCGAAAGTCGGTGTGCGGAAAGAAGGGCAAAACTGCGACCACTTGGTCCTGATGCCGGAAAGCCGTGATCAGCGGGCATACATTCTTGCATCCTCGAAGATCATGCAATAGTTCGAGTTCGTTTTGGATCCGGAGTGGGCTGCTCGTCACATAAATCTTCTTTAGTGCCACATATCGAGGTTTCTTTTTCCGGTTACTGGACAACGACTCCCCCGGATTATCGCCCAGTCTGCGCTTTTTGGACGGAGGAGCCTCCCACTGATCATTGTCAAGATCCTTGTCGAGATCCCAGTCATTCTGATAGCGATCGTAGAGGAGGTCTTCGGCTTTATAAACGGTAGAGAAGGTTCCTTTGAAAGGCCAATGTCAGTGGGAAGACGTTTTCTCAAGAGCAAGGGGACATGTACCCTCTCCAATTCGATTGACCAGGCGAAATTGCTCTGAAATTCCAGGAAATGTCTCCTCAAGCTTCCTCATATCCTCTTTGACCGACTCATCAACATCTTCCTCAGGAATCTCGTATTCATTGTCACTTTCCGCAGGATCATTCGGGGAAGCATTGCTCTCCTTGGGTACTCTGTCTTTGCCAGTTCCGTTGACTTCACTCGACAACTGACGCGAAGCGTCTTCGTGGGCTCTAAACGAATCCGCTCCCTGTACATTCAACATGATCCTGATCTTTGTGGAGAAGAACGAAGCTGGAGGACCGCCGGCGGGCAATAAAGTGGGGAAAGGATGTTTTGTCCGAGTCGAAATAAGTCCGTATTGTGAAGACTATCTGCAAGACGATGTCAGTCTTCAATACTCAGTCGACGCCACGTCCGTATCAAGGTTGAAAGATGGCAGCAGGGTTGCAAAGGGATTTATCATAACGCAGGGGTATGTTTGTGAAGACAATTGTCTGCTGTTGACGCAACGCGGACCGAATGGATCCCGAGCGATATCGCCAGAAATGGCATGGGCGGGCTGTCTTATGTTTTCGTCACAAAGTGCGCCAGAGCACTCAGAAATAAGAGGTAATGATATTATTATTTTACCTACTACCTTGCCTTCCTAGGTACCTAACCCAGGGTGCCTTGTACACTGTATCTAGGACTCCGTAGTGTGCATCTGGTGCTTCCACTTTTCACCGTTCTATTTTACTTGTTATGCGCTCGATAATACGTTCTTTGGCTGCACCGCAATTTCCCTCAACTTTGAGAAACCACCAATGCCCAAGTCCTTCGGCAAGAATATTATTATTATTAATTACGAAGGTTTGAGCACTTACGCGCTCGAGGTTGAAGGACGCGAGGATCCTTTGATCGCCTGAACAAACCACCGCGTCAGCAGGCGGAACTATCCCTTACCGGGCTAGACCGTAACCCACCAGACGAAAACGGGAAAACACAAACAGAGGCGGCACGATCAATTATCAACACCGCGGGCGGGTCCCCACTATGTAGCTTCTGCTGCTGCTCCTCCATCAACACTCACACTCGTAGCTCACCAATATTTTGTGGTGACACTGCTGGTCTTCTGGCTTAGCATCACCGACCATGGAGGACAGAATAGGCTTCGATATCAATGAATCGTTGAAACATTATCTCAGCGACCCTGCTTCAGTCCCTACCCCGGATGCTGACCCGGAACTTTTTGATTGCGAAAATGACCCCGAACTGTTATCGACAGCGCTGGTCGATAGCGTGGTAAATCCGATCGTGGATGGCATCGCTGAAAACCCGGAGGCCCTGATGAGGCCATCCTTCTTTGATTCGTTACAATTCCTGTTAAAGTGCGCCCTACCCTCTCCCAACCCCCCCCCCCCAACAACAAGGTGGACTTGAAACTGAATTGCGAAATCCCTCCAGATGTTGCGCTGTATTACCATCCAAGAGCCTCAGCAAAATCCTCGATTTGATTGTCTCCGGTCTCGCCGTCGAAGCGGATATCATCCATAGTGATCTCGAGGCTGATGAGCAGGAAGCGATTCAGCAACACAAACAGTTGCTAGAGATGTACGGCTTTCTTCTGCAATGGGCGCTCTCTGCAGTGGAAGTAAAGGCTGCGGAGAAGCCTACAAGCACCGCTCCGGTCCGTCGAGGCCCTGGGAAGGCCGGGAAGCCGAGGACAGGCGTCAAAGATGGCAACTGGGACTGGACGGCACAGATCCAGATCTCCATGGAAACTATGTGCAAGGTTTTGAAGCTCAAATTGGGAAAGATTTTCTTGACTACTTCTGATCGCGACACCTTTGTGAATCTGTTCACCCGTTCTGTATACCTCCTCTTCGAGAACGAGCAGCGCGTAAAGAACATGGCAATTCGAATGCATGCCTTCAAAGTACTGTGCATCGCAGTGAAGCACCATGGCCATGCCTTTGGTATGATCTCAGCAGCTTGGTTAATCGGACTCCGCTGACAGCATCTGCAGGGGCACAAACATCAATTGTGCAGAGCCTGACCTATTTTGAACATCTTTCAGAGCCAATGGCCGAGTTCTTGCACATTCTTGCAGAGCAATACGATCATACTCAGCTAGCAGATGAGATCCTAAGGTCCGAACCGTTCTGATCCGCAGCAGAATTGTTACTGACGCCGCCACAGGGAACTTGCAAACAAGGAGTTTAACTCCAATGACACAAGAGGCCCGAAGTCGGTCTCCACATTCATCGTGAAACTGTCAGAACTTGCTCCCCGGCTTGTCATTAAGCAGATGACACTTCTAGCCAAACAGCTTGATAGCGAGGTAATTCCCAGGTCTCTTTCAGAAGCTGAGCACACGACTAATCGGCTCTTAGTCCTACACTTTACGTTGCGCCATTATCGAAGTCTGTGGAAACCTCATCGCCGATCTCAGTAAGGAGGACGAGAGGAGCGAGAACTATAAAACTCAAATCAATGCCTTCTTTGATGTTCTCGAGGAGCGGTTTCTGGACATCAATCCCTACTGCCGCTGTCGGGCCATTCAAGTCTATATGAGACTCTGTGAGTTGGAGCAAAAGTTTCCCAAGCGCCGGCAAACTGCTGCAGAATTGGCAGCAAGGAGTCTTGAAGACAAAAGCAGTAATGTGCGAAGGAATGCCATCAAGTTGCTAGCGAAACTGGTATCCACCCATCCGTTCAGCGTCATGCACGGTGGGCAGTTGTCCTATAAAGATTGGGCTGCCAGACTTGAGGCTGTTGAGGCTGAGCTGAATGCTCTTAAACCTCCACCAGAGACACCTGGCCTAGGTGAAACTCAAGTTGACAGTGAACTGTTGGACGACGCGACACAGATGCCGGATGACTCTCCCTCAAAGGCCCCAAGAATGACTGAGGAGCAGAAAGCCGCGGCGATGCAAAAGGCAGCCGAGGAAGCCGCAACATCGGAACTGCTCGCGAGGCTTCAATTAACCAGAAAATACTATCTCGAGGCGATTCGCTTTATACAGGTTCTGCACTCGGCTTCACGAATCGTGTGCCAGTTGCTCTCATCTCGAAATAAGAGTGAGGTGATTGAAGCGATGGACTTTTTCGTCGTGATTGACGCGTACAAGGTTGAGACTGCACGGACCGGAATTCGACGAATGCTTCGACTCATCTGGACGAAGGGAAACAGTGACGAAGGCAAAGGAGTTCAGACTCATCTGATTGACTGCTACAAGGGGCTTTTTTTCGATGCACCTGATTCCTTCAGTCCAAACGACGCGGCAAACTATATTGCTCGCAATATGATCAGTCTCACATTTGGTGCTACCCCCGCGGAGTTGACGTGTCTAGAACAGCTCCTCAGCATGATGATGAAAGCAGGCCACATATCAGATGCTGTTGTTGCAAAACTCTGGCAGGTTTACAGTGTGCAGAAGAGGGAGATATCAAAGACGCAGCGTAGAGGTGCAATCATTGTCCTCGGAATGCTCGCTTTAGCCGATCCAGAGGTCGTCGTGAAGGAGACCGAGGCAATGCTGCGGATTGGCCTCGGGAGCCTGGGGCGCTCTGATTTGGTCCTCGCAAAATATACGTGTATCGCGCTCCGGAGAATGGCACCTGGACGGCAAGCAAAAAGCAAAGATAGCGGTGTGGCAAAATTGTCTAATGATCATCCCGTGTTGGTGAAACTGGCTGCGATGACAGAGATCGCTTCGGATAGTAAAGAATGGTACGGGGTTGCAGAGCAGGCAATTGGAGCCATTTACGCGCTCTCGAAACATCCGGACGTCCTCTGCTCCGACATCATCCGCCGAAAGACGAAGTTCGTCTTTCAGCCTCATCTTCGCCAACCATCCCCCACACAGACAATCCCTGAGGGCGATGAACAGCGTCCAGACACAGCGTCTACTGATGGACAATCGGCGAAGGCGAAGCCAACGTCCTGGGCCCTCTCACAGCTTCTCTTCATCGTGGGCCATATTGCCATCAAGCAGATTGTACATCTCGAACTTTGCGAACTCGACTTCAAGCGTCGAAAGGCCGAGCAAGAGAAGAACAAGCCGGCTAACGCGGCTGCGCAGAAAAAGGACGACCAAGCAGATAATGAGCTGGACTTGATCGGTGGGACCACAGAAGATGACTTCACTGAAGCCATGGCTCATATCCGTGAACGTGAACTTCTCTATGGAGAGAATTCCTTACTGACTAACTTTGGGCCTTTGGTCACTGAGATATGTGCGAATAGCAATGCCTATCCAGATCGCAATCTACAGGCAGCGGCCACTTTGTGCATGGCTAAACTCATGTGTGTGTCTGCGGAGTACTGTGAAAAGAACCTGCCACTGCTCATTACCATCATGGAGCGATCGGAGGACCCTATTGTACGCAGTAATGCTGTTATCGCTTTAGGGGACATGGCAGTCTGCTTCAACCATCTTATCGATGAAAATACGGACTTCCTTTATCGTCGACTCAATGACGAAGATGCTTCTGTCAAGCGCACCTGTCTGATGACACTCACCTTCTTGATCCTGGCTGGACAGGTAAAAGTCAAGGGCCAGCTTGGCGAAATGGCCAAATGCTTGGAGGATGGTGACAAGAAGATCGCAGATTTGGCGCGCATGTTTTTCACTGAATTGGCCACCAAAGACAATGCGGTCTACAACCACTTTGTTGACATATTCAGTCTCTTGAGTTCTGAGAAGAATATGGATGAAGGCGCTTTGAGACGAATCATTAAGTTCCTTGCTGGCTTTATTGAGAAGGTAAGATTTACTTTTGCTGATCATTTCCACATGTTCCTCGGTGATAAAAGTCGACATGGTAGCTGATATGCTTGCCCTCTGCAGGAAAAACATGCGAAGCAGCTTGCAGAAAAGTTGGCAGCGAGGCTTGCACGTTGTGAAACAGAAAGACAGTGGAACGATGTAGCTTATGCCTTGTCTTTGCTGCCGCATAAGAATGAAGAAATCACAAAGACATTGAATGCAGGTTTCAGAGTGGTCACTGCAAGCGCGTGATGAACCTGCTGGATTCGGGACAAATGTTTATAATGGTTATATGACTACCTTTATCCTGATCGCTGGAAATGGAATGAAAGGGCTTGGATGGTATTTACTTTTAGGGTTTGGTTTTATGGATAATTTCTGTTAAGTGCTTGTGCTTATTTTTTTTTGGCGTGTTAATATAATTGTTTTATTCACCTCTTGATACCTCCTTTGAATTTGTATACTCCGTAATTTTGTATAATCTTAAGACACATTTTGAAAGATTCTATTTACCTCATGCAGGCAGAAATACTCAAAGGGTAAGAAATGTGGTGGCAAGAGGCACATGGGTTCGAGGACTAGGACTAATTGAAAATGACAAGCGCCATAGAGAAATAGCAACAGTTTCTATCCGTAAAACTGTAAGGAGGGTGTTTTTTTCCCCCATAGTTATTAGGTCCCAAAGTAGTAATTCTTCACATTGTTTGAAATTATGGTTAGGACACCCCCAAGCCCAACGCCTAACACCCAAACCTCAGCCCATATGTACTGTGCGATGAATTCCATGAATCTATGCACCAGTAACCTTACTCTCCTCCAAGTAGAAGTCGCCTTCATACAGACCCCGGAGAGCTTTCTTTCCTTCCTCGTTTAAATCAGGCTTTCCCACAGGAGTCAGGGCTCCGGTGAAAAAGCGTGGCTTCCATTCTTCATTCTTCGCTTTCCTGGCGGCCGCCTTTTCTCGCTGGTGCTCTTCGATCTCCTGTTTCAGTTTCGTTGCCTGATTGTACTGTTTCTTCAGAATTGCCGCCGTCACTTTTGACCAGAATTTGCGAGATTCGTTTGGCAGCTGGAGCTCTTCCGGTGGAACAATCTTGTTCGCGGGAAACAGAGGTGTGACATCAACTAGAAGTTGAGGTTCTGATGAACCGGGCAACGTGTAATATATCTGCTCACGCCAACATCCATGGATGCGGGCAAGCACGTCGCTCTGCGATACATCCTTGATCCTAGTCTTGTCATCGTTTGCGGGGTCGTATCGGAATATGACTCCCTCCACCCGGTTCTGGGGTCGGCCAACCCATCCTTCTTCAATGTACTGGAGTATGACTTTGATGCATGTTTTCGGGCAGGTCACATAACAATTCCCCGCTACTGTGATAGAAATTGAGCCCCTCAACAGGCCGCCAAGGTGAGCCCAGGGGTGAGTGAGTTGATATTCTTCGTTATCTCGCTTTTCGAGGGTCACAAAAATACCATGGTTATGCTCGCCGGGGCCAATGCGGATGCTTGTGCCAGTGAACTTGGCACTAATCTGGTCAAATCCTCGAGCCGAGACTCCTCGTTGCGGACAATCAATGTAGAATGCCGAGACTGGAGGATGATGAGACGTCTGCTCAGTCAGATAACAGACCTTCACTGGGCCATCGCTGCTGTCGACCACCGTTGCACCCTCATTTGTTGTACTGTTTCCGGACGGGATTATGGGTGGTTTAGTACGCTCAACTTCCCAGTAAGACTGCAAGAACAAACGACAATATCAGCCACGGCCTGCAGCGACTGCAGACGCATCACACTCATGGGGCCACAAACCCTAAAAAATTCACCGAGCGTCGAGTTGTACGGTTTGCATGGCTTTCCCTTGATATATTTCTACCAGGCTCATTATCAGCAGGGAATTTTCAGAGGAGAGACTACGGCTAAGAACATACCAGGTCTTTGGTGAACCAAAACCTTAAAACTTCCAGCATCCGACCTAACTCATTATCCGACGTGCCAATGCTGGGAAACAATGTTAGACGGACATCCTCAATCGAAGCGCAGATGTTCTAACCTGGCAAAAGTTTCTGGTCTATCCAGATAGTTCCAGTATTCTAATCCTCGCATTAGCTATGAGGTATGACAAGCCAAGCGTGGGTAGTGGAATGTCATAAACAAGAGCATACCTAGGTTAGGAGTGGGTTCTAAAAGGTGTGACGGTAGAGAAAAGCGAACGGATGCAATGTCTGCAACACCGATAAACCTACAACGAGTGGAACAGTCTCCGTCAGCAAACATAATTTCATTTAACCGAAGAATGCGCTCTCCACCACACGTGGAACACAAGCGGGGTGCGAATGAAGAGAAGAAGGTTGAGGGCAAATCGATGCGTACTTTCGAAGAATTGAAACGAAAGTTTTCAGCTTCGATGAATCATCAACAGCTTTTTCGGCAGCATCTGAGCCGGAGATGGAAGATATGGAGTTGTTGCTCATTGTGATCGAACCCAGTTCGATAGCGTTTCAACAAGGAAGATCCTTCAATGAAAAGGAAAGCCTTGCAGCTTCGACCCAACGAGCGAAGAGCCGCCTATATGAGCGAGATAGCCAGTCGGAGCTAGATACCTGATGAACAATGGCGGTTAGAACGAAGCTCTGGAGTGAGTCACTATAGGATCAGGTGGCAGGAGGTCATTGTCAGACGTACGAGCCGAATTCCTCAATTTTGAAGCTCGTGAAGAATGGAACTTGGGGAAAGGAGCCTTTTCCCCGTGATGAAGGGGTCCTATGTGCTCGAAGCGACCGTTCAACTTAGCGGTGACGGTTTCGCCTCCCACCGTACCTTAAGGCGGGCCCGTGTACGTCACAGATCCAGACGGTCCGCCTCTGGGCATCGATGCTTGGTCAATAGGGAATTGACAGGGTCCAGGGACCAGCAATGAGCCTCGTTCATCCCCTACACGGGAGGAAAGACGCTGGACTCGAGCCATGGGCATCGCTCTTGGTTTGATGATGATCGGTTGTCCCAGCTCTGGATGCGCAAGTGGCGGCGGTTCTTCCGCCGATAAGCGGCTAACAAGAGTTAAGATCCAATCAGCTCCCCACGAGGCCTGACGTCTGCCGGAGAGATAACGACGTCTGATGGCCTGCCGTCTGCTCACTAAACATTCTGAATGCTATTGGGCTCGCCCTCAGATGGCTCTTCCAACGCCGCACGGCCTGTCCGTTGGTCTCGACCGCTGGGCGAAGATCATTATTACCGGAGGCATTGCGGTAGACAACTCCACAGGATTCTTAACAAGCTTGTGGGAATGTGCTACTGGTTCATGCCGCTCCTGCATTGGGACGGCGGTGATATATAATCAATATATATACCTTACATACCCCGAGAAGTCCTGGGGTAGACGAGTAAATCCAATCGACAAGACAGACGGTAAATCTGTATTGACTTCTACCGGTCGCTTTCCACCTCGTTTCCAACTTGCTCAGCCAGCCTCGCCAAAGTCATAGTGGCCCGTTTGAGCCGCATGCTGCGTGGCTCCTTTTTCCCCGACGAACATGCCACCGCAAGTGTTGCATCTAATCCGAAAACTGGCTGTGTCAGTGTAGTAATGCCTCGCCTGGAGGATCCTGCACAGCTCGAGGGCCTTTTCCAGAATCACTGGATCCGCGGCATCGAAAATCTTGGTGTCGAACTCGGGTGGTGCATAGGCATGAGTGAACGGCGGGTCCGACGGAGAGAGTGCAATCGTATCGTAATGGATTCCGGAGTAGACCACAATACACCGGGTCGGTCGCCCCTCGTTAAAGCGGTCTACCCGAAGAGTCTGCACATCGATCGAGCAGATCTCGATGTCAAAGTGTTTGCTGAGTATGCTGAGCTCAATCGCACCTCCCCAGGCGTCCTCGCTTTGGATCCATCGGCAGTAATCATCTGGCTTCTTTTCTAGAACCACTTCAGAGTAAACGTCCTGCTGCTCTTGAATGGTCTGAGCCACTACTGAGCGGAGCTCGGTCATGGTATCCATTCCGCCAATGACCGCACTGCCAACCGCACGGAAGAGGCATGAATTGTCGTCCGGCATGATACGGAGGACGACGGTTCCGGAATGCTCAGGAGACGGTACTTCGGGAGGATCGCTCTCGACGTCTGCTGCAGAGGTCTTTCGACTGAGGGACAACGGCTTTGAGGGCGCTGGGAAGCTCTGATGAGCCGGGCGGCCTAACTGTTCGCCCGACGGTTGCCTGATCGACTGCGCTCCGGCATGATTATCGCCTGCTGGCTCGTTTGTTCTTTCTCTTTTGCTGACAATGAGCTGTTCGCCATTCAGATTGACACCTAACTCGGCGATCTTCTGGGTCGGTTGATATTGGTCCAGTGGAAGCGGCTGGAGAGTCGGATATCCGTATTTCACATCGAACGCAGCGAGTCCTGTCTGCTCACTGATGAGAGTTCGAAGTTCGCCTACCGTAGCTCCTTCATCCAGGGTGATAGTAGACTGTCCGGCGGGGCCGCGGACTCTCACCCTCATTTTCCTGGACACCAACAGTGCTCCAATGTCTGCGGAGAGGCACAATATTTCCAAAATAAATTCAAGACTTCCGACTGCGGATACTGGTCGTCGGGTGTCTGAATGGAACCTCGGAGGTGTATCTGTGGCGGCGGAATGAAAGAGCTGCTCAAACGCCGATCGATGCGGGGGGCGCAACTGAGCTCACGGGACCCCTAGTCGAGTAGAACGCCAATTAAAGTGGCCACATGGGGCAACATGGAGACTTGAGATTAGGTAGTTAGAAGTCCATCATCAAACTATTAGACTCGCTGAGCTTTTACAAAGGTTACAAAGGACACTAGGGCTACAAGTACGTGGTGAGTGAGCATTCATCGGCTTGCCAGACTGTCAATGGTTCACGAAGCGAGAGACCTGTGTGCTGGCGGAGTACTGCGTGCACCTCCGGGGAATGCAGTAAGGGGATCATGCAAAGTAGTTACAACTATGCTTGCTCACCATACCCAGGAACAATTGTAATACTCTCCAAAATCTATTCTGTGATCGATATATGGGCATCCAGATAGATTAAAGCCGATGAACTCAATATTTCTTGGATATACCCCTGAGAAAACAAACAATATGGATCGATACAAGGCTTGGCGGCTGATGCTTAATATTCCGTCTGTCTCGGTCACGTGAGAATTCCCTAGGGTGGCGAGACCGCGCTCGCTGGCTGCCTTGCAGTGTCGAATTGTCAGGTTCTGATGGTTGGGAATTTCTTAACTCTGATCAGGAGCAAAGATTCTTCCTTCACTGTGCATTCCATGCCACATGGGTCCATCTGTGGCTCATGCGGGTTGACTGAATCGACTTTGAGTGCTTAGTAAGGTGGCTGTCACTGGGGCTTCATGCGCCACAGCACGCTAGTAATGCCCGTCGCGTTCCAGTAGTAGCGCAACAGCACAGTTCAACAGGATCGCCGCAGTCGCATCTCGACTCTCGCAAGGTGTCTTGGGAATACGCCTGGCCAGTGCCAAGGTTTCGGTTTCCGGGAACATGGCGAAGCAACCAGTCGAGCCAGAGGCTGCAGAAGCCCAATCCCAGCAGCCCGAAGCAGAAGAACCTGTTCAATCTATTGAGGATGACGGCAATGCGGACCAGAAAGACGACGCGCCAAGCGCCGGCGAGCCATCCCAGCCTCAGGATGCGACCAGCGAGGTTACTGAAGACCAATGGAGGGCGATGATGGATGTGGTTATGGCAATCTACGAGTACCGCGAAGAAGAGTACGTGCTAAGATTCCTCTCACAAAACAAGGGTTTGTGCCTTCTAACAGAACTCTGTCGCAGTGGCCATGACCCTTCGAGACTTTTCCAACGCAGTGTCAACAAGCGTAATGTTCCCGACTACTACGAGATAATCAAAGAGCCCATGGCTCTCAGCATCTTGAAGCAGAAAATCAATAAGCGCGAGTATAAGAACTTCGCGGAATTTGTACGAGATTGTGCACTGGTAAGGGATATTGCCAACCCGCCCTCCTTCGAATCAAGTAATGGAAATGAAAGTTGGACTGTTTTCTCACTTTCTGTGCTTAATCTCTAGATTCCGCATAATGCGCAGACGTACAATCGCCCTGAATCCCAGGCGTACAGAGATGCGCTCGTCATCAAGGTGAGGAGAATTTTGGGTTTATTCGCCGGGGGAAAACCTAACAGTCATCGCTTCCGCAGGATGTGTTCATCTCTGAGTTTAAGAAACTCGTCGACGAAGGTATCATCACACCGGAGGTTGCAGAGTTGCCAGACCTAGGTGAAATTCCGGAAGCGGATCCGCTCCCTCTCGAGGACGAGGAAGAAGAGGACGACGAGGAGGATGAAGATGACGAAGATGCCGACGACTCCGACGATGGTGGCCGTCGCAGGCGAAGGCGCGGTGCTCGATCGTCCGCGGCCAAGAAAGATGAATCTCAGAATGATCCAGAGCTTCGGAAAAAGAGAGGGAGGCCGCCGCGAGTCGACACGCCAATGGAAGCGAGAATCAAAGCTATTCTGAAGGGGATTCGTAAACCAAAGGACCCCAGCGGTCAACTCAAGATTCGCCATTTCGAGAGATTGCCTGATAAGGCTATCTATCCGGACTACTACATGGAGATCAAAGAGCCGATGGCGATCGACCTTATCAAGAGGAAATCAAAGCGAAAGAAGTATAATTCGGTGGATCACTTCATGCGGGATCTGGATCTGATGTTCAATAATGCGAAAGCATACAACAAGCCTGACAGTCAACTGTACAAGGATGCCGTGGACCTGCAAGCAGAGGCACACAGGTTAGCGGAACAGGAAAAGAAGAAACCGGACAGCGAATATCTGATGGAAGATGGACGCGTGCCTCTGCCAGAAGGCATCTTATACAAGGGTGAGATCTGGAAGGTGGGTGACTGGGTTCATATCCAGAATCCCAACGATGTGACCAAGCCAATTGTGGCACAAATCTACCGCACATGGCAAGATTCCGAAGGCGACAAGTGGGTAAATGCCTGTTGGTATTATCGTCCTGAACAGACAGTGCATCATTTTGAGAAGCGCTTCTATCCCAACGAGGTGGTCAAGACAGGCCAGTATCGCGATCACCGGATTGAGGAGGTGGTTGACCGTTGCTTTGTCATGTTCTTCACGCGCTACAGCCGTGGGCGGCCAAAAGGGTTCCCTCCAGACAAAGAAGTGTATGTTTGCGAAGCTCGGTACAACGAAGAAAAGCACAAATTGAACAAGATCAAGACCTGGGCAAGCTGTCTCCCAGATGAAGTCCGTGAAAAGGACTACGAAATGGATCTGTTCGATGTACCCCGGAAGATCAAGAAGGTGCCTAGTCCTATCAAGCACCTACTCAAAGAAGATGCAAAGGAAACGGATGAGTTGCCCAAGCCCACGTGGGGAGCGGAAAAAGCACCTCCCCTTGTGGGAGCCGTGCATTGTCGCCCTCGAGATGAAAATGTATGCTGCCTGCATTTCTTTGTTGAACTGCATATGAAAGCTAACGTCCACGCCATTAGGAATCACCCCCGCCATCGCCAACTCCATCACCTCCTCCCCAGCCGTTGCCTCAGCCTACGGCCTCGTCATCAACTCCTCAGCAGCCTTCAATGACTCGACCGCCAACGCGTCAGAGTGGAGATGGCGACCCAGCCTTGGGAACTACTGGGGCTGCACCACCAGCATCCTCGCCAGCAGCGGCAGCAACATCGGTTCCTCCAGTGCCTAATGCGCCGGCTTCTGTGCCCCCTCAGCCATATCAACCTCAAGCCACGCCTACACCTCCTGTCTATCAACCTCCGTTGCAAGCCCGCGCTGGCAACTATGCACCACAGGCAGCCCACCCAGGGGCCTATCAAGCTGCGCCTCTCCCTCCGCACCAATATGCTACACCCCAGCATCCCTCTTATCCATCATACGCAGCCAATCGTCTTCATGCTCCCCCGCCACCCGTTTACAATCCTAATGCACCAAGGCCCATCGAAGTGTTCCACCTGAGTGATACTGCCAACGCAGCAATTCCAGAAAATATCCGTGAACAGTTTCACTGCGACGAGCAAGGCCGTGTTCTCTTCTTCTCTACTCCACCACTGGACCTTGTTCCACCTGGCGAAAAGCGACTCGGTCACTCCCTGAAATATCTCGCGGCGAAGGCGGCGAAAGAAGAGCGACGAAGGGCCATTGAGCAGGAGAAGCGAAAGGCTGCCGAAGATGAGGCGGATGTTGAGCCACCGTCGAAACGTCAGCGGGCAGATGAGCAGAGCGCTCTGGCTGCCAAAGTCGAAAACTTAACGGAGAAGGCGCTCAATCTTCTCGTCGATCAGATGGCGACTGGTACGGACGAGTTTTATAAAGCAGTCTATGGGGACAGGGCGGAGGAGGCCAAGATGGCTGATCGAAAGGAGCGTGAACGGAGAGTGTTAGCCGACAAGCTCTCTGAAAAGGTGACAGCTCAAATCACGGGGTTGTCAAAGAAGGTATCGTCGAACAGTCTCGATCTGAAACGCAGCGGTGTGTACCTGGAGGATTTGAACTGAGGGTTTCGTATTTCTTTTCTTTTTCTTTTTCTTCTTCTTCTTTTTTTTGTTTCTCCTTATTCTGTATGAGTGATATAACTATGGGTTTCTGATTCGGATGGTTAAAGGTGTTACAAGGCTCGTGTCAAGTGGGAGGCACACAGGGACATTCTTGGGAGCATAGAGCCTGCGGCGTTAACTAAGCAATTAGTATGGTAGGTAGTTATCTGCTCCAGCTTTTTGACGGCGGAATATGTATTTATTTATTTATTTTTTTCTTCTTTCTTCTTTTTGAATCGATTAAAATATCTTAAAAAAAAGGTCTTCTCATATATTTGTGAATACTTTGAACTTTCCGTTTGTTTTCTTTTTAAAGACTTCATATGTACTACTTAGTGCAAGATGTAGTGGACTGTAAGATGAACCAGCTGTGCAGAGCGAAGAATAGATGCCCAACCCTCCTCCTTCCTGGATTTGATATTAAAAAAAAAATCTCACAGGATATAATAATTCTTGAATCTTGAAAAGGGGGAGGCTGCTGGGTAAACAAACAAGGATTTCTTTCTTTTCTTTCTTTCCTTCCCAAAAGTGCTAGGTCCATGAAATAGAAACAACAAATTTTTTTGACAAAACTCTACAAACGCCCTTACCACCCCCTTTTTTTTGTATTTTTTTTTGCCCGTGCTGGTGCTCTCTCCTTGATTTTTCTTTTTTTTCCCCTTTCCTTTGCTTTGCTTTTCCTAGAAATTAACATGCCAATAAACTGAATGATGGAAGGGGAGGAAAAGAGAAGACAATTATTTGAACATAGCCATAGCCAGCCAAGCGTGTGTAGATAGATACTGTAGACAGCACGCGGCAGGTAAACCAACGCAATTCGCTGAGAGAGAGAGAGAGACAGAAAAGATCATTCTATGTAGGTAGGTGTTTGTGCATGCAAAGGAAGAAGAGACTGTGAAACTATTAACTGCAGGGAAAAAATTTGTACACAGACACACACACACACACACACAAAACATGTAGATTACTTCCAAATGCGTCGGGTTTTTGTAAGCCGAGAACTATCAATCATGATTGAAACTCCAAGTCTTGCGATGACGACGATGGCTCTTCCTTGTTGTTAGATGTTGAAGATTTGTCCGAGGAGTTCCAGCCGACACTCGACCGCTTGTTGCTCTCCTCTTCCTCCATGGAAAAGACCAGGTCACCCTGTTCTTCATCGATCTTGCTCGTGGTCACAGGAGACGAGACAGTGCGATCAAGACGGCTGCTGCTTGTTGGGGCCGCAGACGTCGATGACTGCCGCGCAGAATTCGGGTGGAGAGACAAGCTGCTGAGCTGCTGCGATATCATCGACATGGATGATTGACGGGCAGGGCTCGAAACAAATGGGGAGACATCACCAGAGACCGGGCGGCTGCCAATAGGACGAGGGTTAGGGCTCGAGGAAAGTTGTAAGGACGACTCGCGGAGCGGTGATCCAATGTGATTGAAGGACGACGACGATGCTCCGTGGGCTTCCTCCTCCTTCTTCTGCCGCTGCTTGGCGAACAACGCACCAAATCGTGAGGGACTTGAAGCCAATGGTGACCCCACTTTCAGCGAACCCGTTCCTATACCCAGGCTGCCAAATTCTCTGTTGCTGGAGCTCAATTCCTGTTCTGTGCGAGAGAGTCTCCTCATCTTTTCTTGCGGGGTGAGTACGTCATCATGCAGGTTGACCGGAAGGAAGTCTTCCTCCATGGGGAAGTTGCCGTCGTCCCAATCATCCAACACTGTTGGGCGGGGTACACTGGCAGACAGGAATTTAGACCGCGAGGCCATTCGCTGAGAATGCAAAAACCGTGGACCCAATGAATCCTCCGCAGCGGGAGAGGAGCCGAAATTCGACGATGGCTTTCGTAGATCAGATCCGAAGGCAGCATCACGAAGGCTCTTCAGGGTATCGGAAGGAGTTCTCTGAGATGGTGGTGACGAGAGTGACGAAAGCTCTAGACCAAACTTTGACGGCATCGAAGCTGCCACCGGCCCATACCGTGCCGCATGCGAGATACCCTGACTATCAAAGGACGCTGGGAGTGGAGCATCAAGAGCGGTCAAGTGGCGTTTGGGAGATGTTGGTTGCCGAACGTCGTCCACAGGTGACCCGTACTTTGATCCTGCGTCCGATACAAAACCAGTATCAATCATTGGTATGCCCTCTGGCGGAGGTGGTTGCTGCTGCTGCTGCTGCTGTTGTTGCTGCTGCTGAGCTTGCAATGCGGCGAAATCGTCCTGACCGGGAAAAGGATATGTATGTCGCACATCATGTCCATTCATTCGCTGCTGGGATAACACCGAATTCGTCAGAGCAGAGTCTTGATTGTGGTATGCCTGCGGGTTCACTCGGCCACCCAGGTTGAGGTGTCCACCGCTTCCTCCTCCCATTCCCAGACCGAAATTGGGCCTGTTCACGCGCCGGCCATCCGGCAGGATATGCGCCAATGCACATTTGGCCCCAAATTTGCAGTTTCCCTAGTTTCCCACCTGTCAGTTTCGACAAGCAATCGCTTCCCAGGCGGAAACGCCGGTACCTTTGTGAAATATTTACACGGAGCATTGTCCACTGAAGCGTCGGTAGAGTGAAGGAACGGACAGGCGGGGCCGGCCTGGCAGGCTCCTTGTCGGAAGAATTTGCAGGGCACATGCTTGGTATCTAGAGGCTCGATAGGTCAAGAAATTAGTTTTCACGAAACACAGTAGCAAGCATCCCAGCAAGAAGACAGAATGCAGGACGACAACGCACTTTTGGGGCTGGGATTCGGAGGGCTGCGGGCAACCATTTCGAACGGTGCCGCCCCTGATATGTTGCGGGCATGGCCGTTCGGAGGATGGCCGGGCACAGGACCACGGGTTCTCATCTCGCTGGACAGACGGTTCGGATGGGAGCGAAGACCATTTGCGAGAGGCACGGGCGGGTTCCGCTGCTGGGCTGGGAGTTGAGGTTGGTGCTGATGCGCGTGCTGCATCGCCGGAGATGGGCGTGCTGCGACGACAGGAATTGGAGGGGTATTGCAAGAGGGCGGGGGCTCCGAGTCGTGCAAAAGCGGTAAAGGTACTTCGGGGTTATTCAGCGGTAGCGGCGGAAGCAACCCTCACAGGTAGACAGCCTGCTACAGATACCAGCAGCGGACGATGAAAACGAAATGAAGACGATGCGGTAGAGGCGTCAGAAGTCACGGTTGGGGCGACGGAGGTCGAGCAGGTTGTTATCGGCAGCTGCTTGACCCGCTGGCAGCTGGAGAAGGACGATGATCCACTGGCTCTCTGACGTGCTCGCGAGTGGGATCAAACAGACTGGGGGGAATTAGCACCTAGTCTAGCTTTAGACTGGAAACAGCAATAGCAATAGGTCTGCCTAGTCTCGCATGAGGGCGAACTCGCTACCTACAGCTACCTACCCAGGAGTTTACCTATCTCCCTGGGTACCTAACCTAGGTATCCGGGTGAAACCGCTACAAGCTAATTAGAGATAACCACCGAGTTGGACAGCAAGAATGCTGCCAGCAAGGCGTGACAGAAACCTTCTATGCCAGATTCTAGAAGTCATTGCATGCAGAAATCCACTTGTGATAATTATCAATATTATTAGAGAGCACCCGGCTGTAGCGGAGCATGCGAAGGCACGTTCGATGATGCGACTCGTTTACTGGAGATAGGCAATAATTAGTAATATGCTCGAACCAAGGCACTTGCTGGGATGGAGCTCCCTGTCGTGTTGCTACTGGTCTCGTCACAAGCTCCTGTGGCTGTTGCTCTATGGCGCCGGACGCGTTCAGGAAAAATAGACGACATATTCCGCATACTTATACTACCATACTGTGGGGTTGCCATGGATCACTGGATCTGTTCATCTGATCCATCCCGTCTGACCAACCTTAAACAGGCATCACATACTGAGATTGTTATCACAGCAACCCGCGTCACCTGCAACTGACAGGCTCCTAAGGCTTAGCTGGAGGCAATAACTGAATACCGCCGGTGGCTAGGTAGTCGTCGCCGGCTCTTCCCGTAGTTCATCTTCAAAATGATCCCTCTAGCCCTAATGCCTCCTAGATAGATATTTCTTGGTCAGACCACGTCGCGAAATGGCGGGGATCGAAAAGCGCGGCTCTTGGCTACGTACCTTTAGGTCTTCTTCCGTGGTGTCCTCCGGCAGGACTTCTGTGCACTTCGCCCACAGCTCAGAGAAGATCCGTCGGCGGGTCTGAACGTGACCCTGCCATGTCTTCCACTCCTTCTCCACTCGAGTCATCTCTTCTGCGCTAATGCACACTGTCTCCTCTCCTTGGAGCTTCAACAGCCGGTTGAGAGCAGAAGCCTTTTCTTCCTCGAGTTTCGAAACACTATCACGAAGCTCAGGCATGGGGACTATTGCACAGACAGCAGCCAATTTTTCTCGAAGCTCTTTTTCACGGATTTTCAAGGTTGAAAGGCCATTTTGCACCTGTTGGATCTCCTCGTCGATGGCGGCGATGGTCTCTGGTGTGTCAACCTCGGAGAGATCCTGAAGAGCATGGTAGACAAGTTGTTTGCCTGAGTACCAAACTATATCATTAGGCTTCTTTGCAACGTGCAATTGATGCGGTGAACAGGGAGTACTGGTGGCAACAACCCGCGGCTCTCCCTTCAATCTCTTTACGCTCATGCATCTCTTTCAGGGTCTTCACTGCCGACGCTATACCGCAGTGTCAGTAAATGATGTGCAAGGCATGATCTGGAAACGTCTGAATCCAGTTCTGGCCGACCTTTCGTAACCTTGTTGTGAAGATTTGTAGAGATGTCGATTGCCTGTTGAAAAGCATTAAAAAAGCTGACTCGATGACTCGAGGGTGGGCCGAGCTGGGGGTTATAACGAACCGAATAAGGACGACTAGATCGAGAAATGGAGGTTACTGAAATGTATCAAAGAGTTTTTTTTTCCCCCTGAAGAGACAAACGGACGTACTTCTGCTTCCCTGACCATTTAAAGCAGTTCGTTAGAATAAGCTAAAATCGCTTCCTGGAGACTGCGTGAAGTGTGAAAAGATAGACGTACTTAAGTATTCCAATATCATCGTAGCACCTTCATCGGGAAATGGGCATGAGCAAGGATACAATCGAGTGATTGGCGGGATGCTCACCATCTTTAGGAGAGCTCTTCTCAACTTTCCCTTTCCTAGGTGCCATGATGCGCGCTTGCTTGGACTGAAGGGTAAGAAGTTTGATTGTGTTATAAGGAAGGAATGATTAAGAGTAGATATGATGATGAAAAGGGAGAAGGACAATAGTTCAAGCAGTCAATCACTTGGTGGAAGATACATTCGACAACGATGATGTCTATACTCAAGACGGCCCCTCCAGGCCAGAAAAAACGCATCCATATACAGTACACAAGAACATCAAAATCACGTGGTACAGTCTCTGGGGCTGACATCGCTCCAGAACCAGAACCAGAAGAGGAATCGAGACCTCTAATCGAAATAGAGGCCCAAATTCTAGAATTCACGAGTTACAGGATAATGGTTCTTTTATAGTGAGACTGCATGTCTCGTAGGACTCCAACCCCGTCCTTATTATTTCGACATAGATATTTTCGCTAAAGTATAAAAAAAAATAAACAAATCTCAGCCATATTATTTTTTTTTCTTGTTTTTGGTTTTAAGTATGAACTCCAAGTCGCTGTGCATAAAATTGATAGCGGTTGAATGATGAGAAATATGCTTCTGGGTATCACATGAGGATCTAATCAAGTCAGTAGCAGCTCAATAATGAAAGGGCCGGCGATAGAACTGGCTGAAACTTACGCATTCACTTTCCTGCTTGACTGCGGGAACTCCCATTTCCTCAAAGGTCTTAGGCCCTTTTCCAGGGAGACCGCCGGGGCTCGGTTTCGCGGGAGCATTGGTTGGCTTCGATGGCTGGTTGTTCGATGGACCGGTCGGTTTGGGGGTAGAAGCCGGGGATGGCCTCGATGAAGGAGGCATAGAATCGTTCCGTGGGGGGTGATGTCCAGAAGACGACGGCCGCCCTGGGCCAGGCGGCGCCGACGTCCTTCCTGCCTGTGCGGGAGGAGTGGCACGATTCGCGTTCTGGGGTGGCACTGGTGCTCTGCCCATGCCTGGATTATCTGGCCGTTGAGGTCGCCTTTGCCTATCTTGTTCGAGAGGTGCAGAGTAGCCGACATCCAATTTGGGGACACCCTGGGGACCGTTTGCATCACCTACACCCGGTGACATCTTGGGAGACTGCATCCCAGCGCTCGGGTGACGGTTGCCCATGGGCGGTGGACCGCTCGAAGGGGCACGATTCGATGGAGGAGCACCAGCGCCGTAGCTTGGAGAGGCAGGATGGATGTTAGGATTGATGCCAAATGCAGAACTAGGGCGGGCCTCGGGCGACCACTGATTCGGTGGGCCACCAGGGCCAGGGCGACCAGAACCAGGCCCATCTGGATATGGCGCCGCCGACGCAGAACGATGAGCCCCTGGGCCATCGTCGGAGATGCGCATTCGCGAAGGATCAGGCATCTCCAAGGTTTCCTGAGGCGGTGCCATGGACTGGTTTTGTTCGTAGGATTGACGGTTCCGTCCATGAGAACCGTACTGCGATTTGATGCGGGCAATCGCAACGTGTTCATGATCCTTCCTAGAAAGCGTCTTCGATCGTGATATGCTGTCGATTCGGGAAGCTGCATCCTTATTCCCATTTGCGGCGGCTTTGGCATACCACTTTCTAGCCTCGTTGAGGTCAACGGGGACGTGGATGCCAACCTCATAGAAATATCCCAACGCAAACTCCGCAGTCGGGAGACCACTTTGAGCCGCCCGTTGAGCGTACGTGAAGGCGATCTCATCGTTCTTTTCGAAGAGTCCCTCGTGCCCGCAGAGAAACCATTTACTGATGGCCATTTCCGCCTCCGGCTCTCCCTGGCGCGCTGCTAGAACATTATAGTGTAAGGATAGGGCCGGGTTGAAGTCGCAGCCTAGCTGGCAGAGTTCATAGGCGGCACCCATTTTGACTTGGGCCTTTGCGAACCCATGGTAGGCAGCCTTTTCGATATTGACACGAGCGGCGTTTATATCTATCGGTAAGTACTGGTCGGGAATATTGACTTGGGGCAATTCTCTGGCGAGAAGCATGCCATATACCTGAAGCGCTTTAGTCTTGAGGGCAGAACCTTCCAACGAACTGCTTTATCACTTACATAGGCACCTTGTGGAGCATTCTCATCGCAAGATTGCGCGGCCAAGCGGATGTATTCCAATCCTTTCTGATAATCTTGACGCTGTCCATGCTGGCCAAGAAGAATCATCATACCAAGGCGCTGCGGTCGCCAAAGTCAGCCACAAGCAAAGGAAGCGCTCCAGAAAGAACCGACTTACGTAGTACGATGCCGAATCCTTCATCGCCACACCTTTCTCATAATGTCTAATAGCCTTGGCGGGCTCGTTTGAACTTTCAAACTGCATACCCATTCGGTACTCTGCTCGAGCGTACCCTTTTTCGGCAGCTCTAGCATAACAACGGAAGGCTTCTTTCTTGTCTACCCGGAAACCAAACTTTCCGAATTCAAGCCACATGCCCTTGATGAACTCTGCGCGGGGATGATGCTGATCTGCCAGAAAGTTCACGATGTTCATCGCATCCGTCCTCAACTGACGTTCAACCTGGGGTGTTTGGGGTCGAGGAGGCTGGACCAGCGACATACGAAGCTCATTCTGCATCGCAACCTCGACATAGGAAAGCGCATCCTGGGCCCAGGCCAATTGCACTTCCGGGTCGTTGGAAGACAAGACTGACATCCTCGCTCTTTCTAGATTTGCTTCTTTCTGTTCATCGGTAGGGGGTACATTGGGAGGCGGGTTGCGCAGCACAGGGAACGGAGAAAAGTTCGGCTGGTCAATCGTCCCGTAGGAATCGGAATGACCATACGAATCCCCGCCGTAGCCAGACTGACCATTGTTGCTCGCATGAGGGCCATCTTGATTGTATCCTTGTGATGCGAAAGATGAAGTCCGTTCGGGAAAGTGGGGGCGATCGTATGAAGCAGAGGGAGGCTGAGAGTGAGGAGATCGCGGGGAACGGGCCTGGCGCTCAAGATTGGCTATGTTGTCCTGCATGTTCTCAGGGACTTCAGGCATCACTCTGCCCCTCGGTCAGCGAAAAAAGAAATCCCAGAAGCTTTGCAAGGGAGAAGAGGGACATTGCAGGCAGACCTTTGAGGAGAAGGGGAGATAACCTCAGGCATGTGGTAATCGTCTGAGCCACCAGGATAGAATGTGGCACCTACTCGAGGCTGACCACGGCCCTGGGGTGGCCTACTCATGATCCCTGCAGACCCTGAGTCGCACGGCAAATGCGCAACGGAGGAAAAAAGAACGGGGATGAACGCTGGACAGCCGCTGGTCCTTGTGCTCCAGAGTAAAAAAGGTATTTCCTGGTCGAAAATGACCTTGAGTACACTGGATCACAAGAGGAAGAGCGAGGCTGCTTTGTTTATTGCGAAGACTGGCGAGTGGGATGACTGGTCACGGGGAGCGGCTTTGGATGCTGACGGACGGCCAGTGACGCGGGGCTCATGCGAAAAGACGCATGCGGGTGCTGGAGGCTGTCAGAGGGGCTGCAATTGTTCTCAGGGCAGTCAGACGGCCGCAAGAGCGTCTCAGACTGACCTGGAGGTCAGATGGAGGATTTCCATCCAAGAGAGAAGCAGACGGCCGCACTGTCACCAGAGGCAACTCCTAATAAGGAGGGCGGCGGTAGATGGTGATCTTTTTGAGTGCTGTCATCAGCAGGCGGCCGTGCACGCGCGAAGCCAGCCCGCACGGAGCCCAGTAGCCGTGCTGCGCAATCGGCGCTGGCCTCTTCACTAGCATCGGGGCTATGCCGCTGGCGGCCCGGCGACGGAATTTTTTAGAGAGAAATGGCACGGATGACAGGCTGGTCATGTTAAGTGGACTCGATATTTCAGCACCCCCTATCCTTCTAATACAACTAGCAGAAATGCCAGAGCTGCTTTTGCATGATGTCTAGTACTGCGTAAATGCAATTAAGTCAGTCATTGCCAGCGTTGGGGTTCGCAGTCGGCGGGACGGGCCCTCCGTCAGGTTCCTAGGTAGGATTAGAACGTTGCTGCGGTGGACTGCTAATAATATAATATTCTGCTAATATTGGCCCATGTGCCCGAAGCTACCCTGCCCGTGGGACCAGTCAGGAGCCAAGAACGCAAACCAAGCTTGCGGGTATCTGTGAGAATCTATGCGACGCACCCTTGTATTTATCGAACAAGAGCTAATAATAACCCCTAAGCCTTTCAAGTCGTGGGGAACGGACTAGTATGGCTTCTGCGTAAGCTGAAACGAGGATTAGGCACCGAATGGGCAAGCAGCAGAGGGGGCTGTGCACAGCAACCACCATGGATCAACAGAGACAAAAGTTCTATCACCCTTATTCGCCCTATGAGATACAGCTCCAGTTCATGAGGGCGTTGTACGATTGTATCGAAAGTGGGAAGATCGGTATTTTTGAGTCGCCTACAGGTGAGTTCTACGCACGGCGAGCAGAGATCCTGGTTGATGTTTGTCTAATTACTCGGCGCAGGTACTGTATGTCAGCTTCCTAGTTGGTCCCAGGCACTTGATTCCTCTTGTTTCTAAGGGGAGAAAGAATCTGAAGGCATCCTTGCATCGTGTCTGGTTAGGGTGCACTTGAAGTCGCGGCCCCCAACAGAAGCACACATGCCCTGTTCCATAGAACCGTCGAAGACATATGCGCTGATTGTTCCCCTCCAAGGGCAAATCTTTGAGTCTAATCTGTGGATCTCTCACCTGGCTTCGAGACCACAAGCGCAGAACTTTCCTTGAAACCATAGATGATGCTTCAGGTCAGATGCTCTTACGGACTGGCCCAGCCCGGTAACTGACTTGGCTTAGGTGATGACGAACCAGATTGGATGCTCGAGTACTCCAGAAAGGAAAAGACTCGGGCTCTCACGGAGAAATGGAAGGATCTTGAGGTGCGTTTGGCCAGGGTGAGGGCCGAGGAGGAAAGAAGAAGGCAAGCTTCTGGAAACCAGGAAAGGCCGAAAAAGAAAATGGTATGGACACTCAATTGGTCTTTACTCATCAGAACGTTACACTCATAGTGCAGAAACTGGATCCAGAAGCGACAAAATCGGAGCTTGTAGACGAAAGTCAATTCGAACTTGAGGAATACGAGAGCGACACGGACGCCCCGAAGAAGCCCTCCGGGCCTGGGTCTTCCGATGTCGATGGGCTTTCTGCGAGCACGATAGCTTTGCTCGAGCGTGTCAGAGGCCATTACTCGGTACCTCACAATTCCGAGGAGGACAATGACAATGACGAGATCAAAATCTTCTACTGTTCGCGGACTCATTCTCAGTTAACGCAATTTGCAAATGAGCTACGGCGAGTGAGTCTCCCTCCAAGCTTACCAACGCCGCAACAGCGGTCAGAGGAGCCCAGCGACGCGACCGAAAATAGCGAGCTTGAGGAGGGGGTGAAGCATCTTTCTCTGGGCTCTAGAAAACAATTGTGCATCAACCCGCATGTGTCTTCCCTGGGGAACGCTACAGCAATGAATGAGCGTTGCATGGAGCTACAGAAACCCGGCGTCGCTGCTGAACGGAGATGTCCCTATATACCGTCGAAAGAAAATGAAGCTGCGTTGCTGGATTTTCGTGATCGCACATTGGCAACCGTTCGGGACATTGAAGATATTGGCCAAGTGGGTAAGCAGCTTGGTATTTGCCCCTATTATGCTGCTCGCCCTGTCGTTAAGCACAGTGAGGTGAGTCAAATCCATTTCTCGTGTACAGCAGGCAGTCGATTTGTTCTGCTAAACAACCCTAGATTATTACTTTGCCCTACCCTCTGTTACTCCAACGGTCGGCACGGGAGGCCTTGAATATCTCTGTCAAAAACCATGTTGTCATTATCGACGAGGCGCATAATTTAATGGATGCGATTTCCAACATTCATTCTGCCGATGTCACTTTGGATCAGCTGCGTACGGCACTTTCTCAGCTGACAATTTACGCACGGAAGTATCGGACTCGGCTAAAGGGGAAAAACAGAGTCTACGTTACCCAGACTATTCGACTTGTCAGCTCTCTTGCGGATAATCTCCAATCCATTGCTGAAAGTCAAAAATCCACGGAAGGTGTTGTTCAATATTCGGACCTTGTGGCTGGAAAGGGAGTTGACCAAATCAACCCACACAAGTTGTCTCGGTACCTGCAAGAGAGTAACCTCGCAAGAAAAGTCGACGGATACGTTGAGCACACTCAGCAGAAGGAGGGTGGTCAGCCTAGGGAGAAGACCACCGTGCCAGTTCTGTTCCAGGTCCAGAGCTTTATCCTCACGCTCATGAATCCTTCTGCAGAAGGACGGCTTTTCGTTATAAAAGAAGATGGAAACGTGCAGCTAAAATACATGCTGCTGGATCCAACCAATCATTTCCGGGAGATCGTGGAAGATGCGAGGGCTGTCATATTAGCAGGAGGCACCATGTCGCCGGTGAGTCAGCACCTGTCTATCGTATAATGTGGATGACGATTTGACAGTTGCTGTAGATGTCAGACTATGCGGATTATCTGTTCTCGTACCTGCCCACCGACCGGCTGGAAACCTTCAGTTTCGGGCATGTCATTCCACCGGAAAACCTGACGGCGCAGACCCTTGCCAGAGGCATACTTGGATCCGAGTTCAATTTTACTTACGACTACCGCCACTCTGAACAGATGGTGAGCTTTGCCCCCTAGTAGTGATGTCTTTGTAGATAGGAAAGGTTTGGCATTCCTGATCCTTACCATGTCTTTATAGATAACCGATTTGGGACAAACAATTGCCAAACTCTGTGAAGTCATACCGGACGGCGTGGTTGCGTTTTTCCCCAGCTATGACTATTTGGGTCATGTCCTCGACAAGTGGAGAAAGACGACTGTAGGTGGAAGAGGATCCTCTATTCTTGGACTCATCGAGAAGTATAAGACCGTCTTCCACGAGGCGCAGGAAAAAGCTGCCAATGCAGACGATATTCTTCAAGACTATTCGAATACAGTCGAGTCAGGCTCGGGTGCCTTGCTTCTGTCGGTTGTTGGCGGACGGTTGTCGGAGGGCATCAACTTCTCCGACAGGCTAGGAAGAGGAGTGCTCGTTGTGGGCCTTCCATTTCCGAACATCCAAAGTGCAGTCTGGCAAGCGAAGATCCGACATGTCGAACAGACGGCATATGCAAAAAGCTCAGGCTCGGAAGAAACGAGGAAAGCAGCAGCCAAAGCAGCCGGGAGGGACTTTTACGAGAACGCTTGTATGAGAGCGGTAAATCAATGCATTGGGAGGGCAATCAGACACCGAAACGACTATGCGGCCATTGTCATGATCGACAAGCGATATGATAGCGACCGCATCCAGCGCAAACTACCGGCTTGGATCAGGCAGAGTCTCGTTCCCAGTGGAGTGCGCCCAGCGAGTAGGATTCGGAATGATCTGACTACATTCTTTGAAAAGCACAGCAGCCACAGAAATGCCGCGTGATGTTACGGTTCAGTGCCCTAGTGGCAAAAGCAGTCTCTCTGTCTCTAGAATTGCAAAACGTGCCGGGTTTATGGTTGGTGCCATTTGACGAGTTTTTATACCAAAAGAAATATATATTTCCACATCTGTATTACCTTTCTTTCAAGTTCTTTACTAAAGTATTTAGCTTCTACAGTCTCATAGTATTTTCAAGTACGAGAGCTCGCATTGCTTTCAGGTCCTATTCTTTTTGTCATGGCTTATATCTTAGCTTCACGAACGACGCCGACCTTAGCTGGCACATCGTCGGGAGCAGACAAGGACTCGGCTACAAACCGAATCACCTCGTCCATCATGGCCCCCGTCAATTCATGGCCCGCTTTTTCGAAGATGAGGTCTTCGAAATGGATGCCTCCATCGGCAAACCAGCCCCCGGGAGCAATAGCTTTCTTCAGCCATGTCAGGATCGGCTCAGATCGATAGTATGGGACCAGCTTGTCAGCACCTCCGGAGATGTTCAGAATCCACTTGCCCGCTAAAGTACGGGTCAAGAGCGGTCGAAGGCGTTCCTTGTCCTGTTCTGATGGATCTGGCAAGGGGCCTTCTTTCAGGGCAGCATCTTTGGCGGCAATCTGCGTATGGCTCAGGAGCAAAGCTGCAGGATCATATTTCCGCACCGTCTCCAGGAAGGACAGAGGAAAATGTTCTGATCCCAAGAACTGGCTGCCTGGGGGTCGCTGTTGGTCCAGGACGATAGCTTCGAGAGACGTGCACGATCTGCCAGGAGATTTATGTAGTCGGGCGACCCGATAATGGAAATACCGGTCCTTATCCGTGGCTCATGGAAGAGACAACTCCATGTAGCATGCCCTCCCAGAGAAACTCCAAGGGCGAGGTGAGTCGAGATGCTGTACTCGGATTTCGGGAATATGTATGCTGGCAGGTAGTCAATCAGTAGTGACACATCGCGCGCAGTCCCCTCTGCATAGGCCAGTTAGTCGACAATGACGGTGACATTGGGGAGAGAAGTAACCAAGACAATCTGGCATTGTTCTAGTGAACTGCCCAGACCCCGATCTTCATGAGAGACGTACGGAAAATGGAGAACATGTCCTGCGCATGCCGCGGATTCCCCTGCTTCCATGCCTCGTTGGCCAGCGGATCGACCTGGCGAGTGCCGTGATTCCTCTGGTCAAAAGTCACTGCGATTAGTCCCTTGACCTTCTGCCTCGCACCCGCGCCGCCGTCTTTCAGTCTCTTGTTCCAGTCATCGACCACGGACGTTGCGATTTTGGTCATATACTCCTGGGTTTGCAGCCTGGGATGCAACAGCCATAGACAGGCCACCTCGGAGCTCTGTGGAGGGAGTTCATCGAGGCCGAAGACAGTGGTCTGAATGCCCGCGATGTGGTATGTCTTCCTGGAGAGGGACGAGGGCTGCGGCGTGAAGGAGCCTTCCATGGTAGCGTATCTGCCCCACAACTAGATAATCACACCAAAGTAGTCGAGAGCTGTGCAAGCAAGCCAATTACGACTGAGTAGTTTTCACACAGATGACGTCTCGAGGCGACAGACGAGAGTGTCGAGCCGTCTGGACTCTGGAGTACTCCGTGATCCGTTACCCGTACACCCGTGATTCCGTGGGAGATCCGGGCAGCGGGGTAAGCAGCTAATAGTGTGTTCCCACTTCAACATAGATCATCCGCTGCGGTCCGCTGTCCGCGTTGGTCGACATCACTATTAAATGATGAATGCCGTTGACAGCATGCAGGACTCACGTGCTGCGCGTCCGCACGCGTGCCTCGGGCTGGGGCTGGCATCTCCGCTGTCATTGACCTGGTCAGACAGGCGTTATGAACGTGTTATTCCAGATATTCCAAATATAAACCAGGAACCTTTTTGCGTGCCCCTTGGATGCGCTGCGCTTGGCGCGCTCAGGTGCCCCGCCAATCGAGGCCAATCAGACCGGGCCAGGCTAGCTCTGTCGCGGCGGCCCCAATACAGTGTCACCGCTGCCCCCTGCTGCGTCTCCATCGTTAGTTGTACTCCATACGGTGCCTACGGGTTCACCACTTGGTGACTTGTATGCCTTGTCCTCCAGGAACTGCCCTGAGCGGTCTTTGAAAACCGGATTCTCTGTCTTCTGCGGCATGGCCATGCTGTGAACTGTCCAGCCGTTCCGGAACGGTCTGACTGACCGGTACGTAATTCTAACTCATCCAAGCCAGCAAGCTGGCATTACTGACGCCCATTCTTGTCTCCAAGTTTTTGTGCCCTTCGAGCTCATAGCCATGGCCGACGTCGATAGTTCCCAACCTCCCGAACCCAATAATAGTAATAGTAACAACGACAATCACAATGGGAAGGCTTCTTCACGCCTTTCTAGAAAGCGTCCGAATCCGCTGCATTTACTGAGCGGCTCACGACATTTACCGGACTCGTCCCCCTCAACGGTTTCCTCCAGGAATCAATCAGATGAGAGAGCCGATCTGCCGGTTAACCATGATGTGCCGGAGCCGCCGCAGTCGGCAAGAACGGGAAATGTTGTCGACCAACCGATCCAGGAAGAGAAGGAATCGTCATCCACGGATGAAGATACAGACCACTCTGTGACTGGCGATGCTCCCCTGCATTCTGCAACACCTGCCTCCCGACGGACCTCCATGCCGGGAACGTCCACCCCTCCGACCGGTCGCCGCAGTGTGCAGTTCGCGCGAAACACATCGGATAATGAGCTTCAAGAACCATCGCGATCCCGGGCTTCGTCGATAGGGCCGGACGATGCGGACCCTGCGTCCAAGGACCGGAAACAGTCCCTTTTCACCAAGCTCAAGGCGTTTGCGGCCGCGCCGTCTTTTCCTTCTCATTCCCGTTCTGCGAGCTTGGCCACTGTCGGCGGCGGATTGAATGATCACAGGAACACGGGCGACCTTCAGACCCCAGGGTCTGAAAGGGAAGAGTTCCGTTTCCCAGGTGGTTTGGAAGAAGAGGGAAGCGAAGTGGATGCGGATGCCGAGGAAAGCGCGGGCGAACAGCGAATCCGATTGCGGAGGAGGAGGAAGAAGAAGCAGCCTCAACGGACATACGCCGACTCAAGTGAACCTCAAACGGCACCGGCAACGCCTAGAGCGTCGACCAGGCCCGCTTTATTCTCCTCCAATTCCTTTACGCCTTTGGGGCACCATCGTCCCAGTGTCTTCCCGAGAAGAGCGACCTCGGATTTCCACCAACAACGCGACGGCGTTTCCGAAGATGAAGGTCGGAATCGGCTGAAGATGGATACCACCTGGAGGAGAAGAAGCAGTGCCTGGCTATCCAGCGCCCGCGGCTTGACATACAGCGGACGCCAAGAGTCTCAGAATGCCCACGAGGAAAAGCGTGTCAGCAATTTCCGAAGGCTGGCGGCTCTTGCGGGCCCTTCTGAGAATTCAGAAGGCATTGGTGTATCCTGGAGGCGCCACCGAACAGAACGAGGCTCGAGCCTGAGCGCGCAGAAATGGCGGCAGATCAAAGCTGGGTTGAAAATGATCGGACAGCGGCGCAAGGTGGAAAATACCGTTGACCACGTCAAATCCGCCGAGTTGTTAGCTGAACTGACCTCTGGCATTCCCGCGGCTCTTATCCTCGCCAGCATGTTCCAGCGCGACGAGCACGGTAGCAGGCGCATCCCCATTCTGCTGGAGCAGCTGAAGGTCCAGATCACCGATAGCCGCATTGATGCCCACTCCAGTGACCGGCATCCTGTTTTTAGGATCGAGCTGGAGTATGGTAGTGGGATGACTCGGATGAAGTGGGTCGTTCATCGAACTCTGAAGGACTTTGCAAACCTTCATCTCAAATATAAGCTACATATTGGGGCTCAAAAGTATATTCAGCTGAAAAATCCGGAAACCGGACAGGGCCTTCCGCGCTTTCCCAGAAGCGCCTTTCCTTATCTGAGGGGAGTTCGAGGCCTCGACAGTGATCGAGACGACGATGACGATGATGGGGGTGGCTACGAGACCGGAGCCGAAGCGACCAGCGGCAACGAAAAGGGCCGAAAGACGAAGAAGCGCCGGTCATCTATTGCCATCTCTCGTCGGCGATCGAGCGTGGGCAACGCACAGGAAGGCGATGCTGCGCCATCGGAAGGAGGCTCGGGTGCCGCTGGAACTGGAACCGGCAAAAAGGAGTCTTATTCTGAACGCCAGCGAAAGAAGTTGGAAAATTACCTGCAAAAGCTGATCAGATTCTTGATTTTCCGGCCCGACAGCAACCGTCTCTGCAAATTTCTGGAGCTCTCAGCTTTGGGTGTGCGTTTGGCAGCCGAAGGGAGTTACCACGGGAAAGAGGGCTTCCTGATCATCCAGTCGTCCAAGGGCCTCGATTTCCGAAAGGCCTTGAGCCCGTCTCTTATCAAAAAGCGCTATTCGCCCAAGTGGTTCCTCGTCAGGCATAGCTATGTAGTCTGTGTCGACTCTCCCGAAGAGATGAATATCTACGACGTCTTTCTCGTGGATCCTTATTTCAAGATCCATACTCAGAAGGTCCGGGTTAGGAATCAAAAGGCGAAAGACCTCGCCAAATCTGCCAAAGAGTCGGCGACCCATCCACAACATCATGCCTTCAAACTCGAAAACTCGGAGCGGAAACTCCGGTTACTGGCACGCAATGAGCGTCAGCTCCAGCAGTTTGTGGATTCGATTCGCTTTATGGTGGAAAACACGCCGTGGTCGAAGCCCAATCGCTTCGACAGTTTCGCTCCCGTGCGGCAACGTTGCTTCGCCCAGTGGCTGGTCGACGGTCGTGATCATATGTGGCTTGTATCGCGGGCGATCAATCAGGCGAAAGATGTCATCTACATCCATGACTGGTGGTTGAGTCCCGAGTTGTACATGCGACGGCCGGCTGCCATCAGTCAGAAATGGAGGTTGGATCGACTGCTACAACGAAAAGCCCGTGAGGGGGTAAAGATCTTTGTGATCATGTATCGAAATATCAATTCCGCCATTCCTATTGACTCCGAATATTCCAAATTCTCTCTACTCGATCTGCACCCCAACATTTTCGTGCAGAGGTCTCCCAACCAGTTCCGGCAAAATACGTTCTTCTGGGCGCATCATGAGAAACTGTGCATCGTCGACCATACGCTGGCTTTTGTCGGAGGAATTGATCTGTGTTTCGGGAGATGGGATACTCCCCAGCATCCGGTTACCGATGACAAGCCGACGGGATTCGAAACGTCCGACATGCCCAAAGATGCGGATCATTGTCAGCTTTGGCCGGGAAAGGACTATTCTAATCCCCGAGTACAGGATTTCTACGATCTGGACAAGCCGTATGAAGAAATGTACGATCGCAACGTCATCCCGAGAATGCCCTGGCACGATATATCGATGCATGTGGTTGGCCAACCGGCTCGGGACCTCACGAGGCACTTTGTTCAGAGATGGAACTATATCTTGCGCCAGCGGAAGCCAACACGGCCGACCCCCTTCTTACTGCCTCCGCCAGACTTCAATCAGGCCGATCTCGAAGCTCTTGGACTGGATGGGACCTGTGAGGTTCAAATTCTGCGCTCCAGCAGCATGTGGTCCACCGGAACGCCTGACGTTACGGAGCACAGTATCATGAACGCTTACGTCAAGTTAATCGAGCAGTCGGAACATTTTGTCTACATTGAGAACCAGTTCTTCATCAGCACGTGCGAGATCGACGGGAAACGAATTGAAAATCTGATTGGAGATGCCTTGGTTGAGCGTATTATCCGAGCAGCCAGGAACGAAGAGGCCTGGCGTGCCGTTATCTTAGTTCCTTTGATGCCTGGGTTCCAGAATACTGTCGATTCGGAAGGCGGAACTAGCGTTCGATTGATCATGCAGTGCCAGTACCGTAGCATCTGTCGCGGCGAGACGTCCATATTCGGACGCCTTCGCGCTCAAGGTATCGAACCTGAAGACTATATCCACTTCTTCAGCTTGAGACAGTGGGGTAAGATTGGTCCACAAAAACAGCTGGTGACCGAACAGCTCTACATCCATGCCAAATGCATGATCGTCGACGATCGAGCTGTGATCATCGGGTCTGCCAATATCAATGAACGATCCATGTTGGGATCACGGGACTCGGAGTGCGCTGCGATCGTACGTGACACCGACATGCTCTGGTCTACCATGAACGGCAAGCCCTATCTTGTCGGACGGTTCCCGCATACCCTGCGAATGCGCTTGATGAGAGAACACATTGGCATCGACGTCGATGAGATACTTGAACAGGATATCGCGACGGAGGCGGAATTACGCAGGAGAGAAAGCGAAAGGAACGATATCGAATCCGTGATGCGGGAGAAGCAGGACGAGCGAGAAATGATCGAACGACGGCATCGGATTCAAGATGAATTCATTACCCGATCGGAAGATATGCATAGCTTCAATCATGATGTTGACTGGGAACAATCCAACAACCCTAACCTGAGAACGACCCGCAAGTTGACTGCGGACCCCAGAGTTACAGATAATCCGGGGCACAAAAAGGACGTCGATGGCGAAGGTGCCGACAAGATGAACACCATCATCGAAGCTGGACTGGGCAACGGTCGCGATTCGGTTGTGCGCAATGACAATACGGAGGTAATTGTTTCGGATATCGCCCCGGAAGGTAAAGGGACGATCTCGAAGCCGAAGAAGACACAGCGAAACCGACGGCAAAAGTCGACGGAACGCGAAGGTGCCAAAGAGAGGCTGTTGCCTCCTGCACCTGTTGGACCGGAGACAAGCGTCAATTCGGAGGAGCAACAGGCGAGTGAAGCCGGCATTGCATCCAAAGAGCAGACAGGATCTTCCCAATCATCGCACCCTTTGGCAGCCGAGCTGAAACGTCCTGTTGTTGACGCGAACTGCATGAAAGATCCGGTGGATGATGCGTTCTATCACGATATCTGGCTGACCATTGCGGAGAATAATACCAAGATATACCGGACTGTTTTCCGCTGCATGCCCGACAACGAGGTCAAGTCCTGGAAGGAGTACAAGGAGTATACCGCGTACGGTGAAAAATTTGCGGAGATGCAAAGTCATCATGTCGATCAAGAGCAGGCTCATTCTGGGACAAAATCCCAGAGCGGTTCTCCTGGCGCCTCTACGGCTCCGGCGGATCAGCAGCGTCATGTCCAGGACGCTGAAAAGCCGACGGCTGATTCGTCCTCGCCTGACGAAAAGTCTCAGAACGGGGCAGCGGACACTAACGTATCTGGGGCCGACATTAACCGGAACAAAGCAGGCAAGGAGACGCAATCTCCTCTTGATGAGAAGAGGGCTTTGAAAGGGACTGATAGCGGGTCGTCTAATTCACCGCAAGACGGTGAAAACGACGGTGCCCCTGAAGACTCGGAGAAGACCGGGGAAAAGGACCGATCGGGCCCGCAATCGGTAGGATATTCAGACGCTGTCAATGTGAATGCATCGTCTCAGCAGCACAAGCGAAGGCGACGGGCCACTACACGTGGTTCGAAGCGGGAATTTAGTGCTCTGGATGGGGTCATTGACAAGCGTCAGGCTGAAGAGCTATTAAACATGATTCAGGGGCATCTGGTCATTTGGCCCTACGACTGGTGAGGTCCCAGCAAGGACTTTTGGTGATGGTATTGTGATACTGACAGTAAATTTCACAGGTTGGAGAAGGAAGAGCAAGGAGGAAACTGGCTCTACACGCTGGACCAAATCTCCCCGATTGAGATCTAGTGAGTCTTCTTTCTTGCATTCTGCCCGTATGACCCTGCTGACAACATATCTAGCAATTGATGTTGCCTTCCCGTATCGCAACATCGCCTTTCCTTTTCTCGTTTCCTTTTTTTTCTCCCCTACCAAGCCGATCCTGAAGTCTATCTTTACTCCGTTGCAGCCTGGAATCTGGTGGATTGTTCCATACCAATGGAGAGTATTTCTTTCAATTCTGGTGCAATATTTGGCGTTCCGATGGTTCTAGATGGGTATTTGCATTCACTTAATAGCATCGAGAGCGTCGTCAGTCCTGTCTATTATAGATGTAGATAATACTTAATTAGAATTGCTTAGATCTACTTTTTCTTTTTTTGAATTCACAGCACGACGGTCTATGGAGTTCCAACTTGCAGCCATGATGAGAGATCATCATTTACTTTCCCTGCACAATAACAGTACCCACACAGGTAGACTCACTGGCCCTGGGGTCGAAAAAGGCGTTTTTGCTGGTTGGCGTTCGCCCTCGTGCAGTCGAATCCGCTCCGCCCTAGCGGCCAGCAGCAGGCAGGCTTCGCAAGGTGGAGACCAGGCAGCATATCCTAGTCTGGTTCGTGTGAAGACCCGCTTCCCCGCAGGTACACACGTATTTTTATCATGTCTACTTCCAGAAAGAGACGCTGCGGTCTCGTCGAAGAAAATAGATAGCCGTTTTGACGTCATCTCTTAGGAAGACTAATGGTTCCCTCATTACTTCGTATTATCACCGTTACTCGCAGCATGGCGCTACGATTTGACACGTTGGCATTCCGATCTACCTAGATCCATGCCATCTTTTTGAATAGAAAACAAGCCAAGAATTCCTATCTTAGGAAAATATCTCAACAGCATCTGCGCGCTTTCACGGTAACGTAGATGGATGGTTACATCAACGCGTTGAGGGGCCAGAGGATCGATGGGCGTGAATGAGGTCTGCGGTAGCATTGATTATTGGGTAATAATAATAGTAATATGCTAGTAATGATACCTTAATATCAATCCAGGCCGATGCAGCCCAACGCCAGTGACCCCTGTTTAGGCTGTCATGCCTTAACAAGGCCAACCAAGAGCCCTGGAATGAAAGCAGAGTCACTTCGGACTGCACCATGTTCCCTGTGCAGCAGATCAGCGTGGACAGCAGACAGTCACATTGGAACTGTATTAGGATTGTCCCAGTGGAGAAAGGGACGCGTGAACACGGTGGACCGTTGAAAGATGAATCGTCGACAGGACAGCTTAGTTGCGTGCAATTGACAGTTGTGGGGGCTGGCTGATTTACACTTTACCAAATCAGGTAGTCTGACGCCAAAGAAAGGGGAGACGGCCAGACTGATAAAGTTACTATTTAGCAGGAAGCCGAAAATCAGCGAAAAAGGCAAAAAATAAAATAATCATTTAGGACACCTGTTGATCATCGACCGCCTCGTCTAGTCGCTCGTTTCGTTTCGCCGTCGTCCGACCCTCAGGCGGCTTCCTCTCTTTCAGTCCTTCGTTTGTGCTTTGTCCTGCTTGTTTCCGCCTCGCTCGTTTGTACAGTACAGTGCTTTGCCCGCTTGGCTGAAGAAGTCTCCTACTGAGGAGGGACCGCAGCTCGACGCGCTCTCTCCTCTCGCATTCGTTATTCTTGCTTTTTTTTCTTTGCACACGACACGACACGACACATATCAGTAGTCGACTCTGCGCCTTGTCCTACCTGGTCATTCCCGTCGACGCGTCGAGTGCGCCTGAACTCGTCGAGACCGCTCCTTCGATCAGAGCAATTGTCGCAAATAATTCCTTTTCGTCCAATTGCACTGGAGGTTGCGCTCCTGACCGTGCAGTCGGACAAACTCAGCAGACACGATGGCGGAGAAGATCTCGATAACCATATGCGGGGATGGTGGATGCGGTATGTTTCCTAGAGCCGATGAATTCGATGGGGCGCCGTTACTTAGATGAAGAATGTTATCTGTCATCTTTCTTTGTGCGACGATCTAGATTGTCAATGATCTAACGTCGCTCCACTTGCCCCGCGCATCTGCAGGATGGGAATGCTTGGAACGTTCGCAACCTGTAAGCTGACTGGTTCCTGCAGGGAAATCATCGATCACTCTGCGCTTGGTTCGCAGTCAATGGACTCATGAGTACGTGATCTGCATCTTACTTGCGAAGAGAAGTCTCTGACTGAACTTGCGCTGATGTTGCCAGATATGACCCTACGATAGGTACCAGGACCCCCTGCCGAACACTCTTCCCCTTCCAATTTCGCAATTGAAGATGTTTCATCGAGCAACTGTCTTTGCTGATGCGCTCTCGCTGCTATGCAGAGGATTCGTACTCGGTTACGCGCACCGTGGATGGCGTTCCATATTTCCTTTCCATCACAGACACCGCCGGCCAGGAGGAGTATCGCGGCCTCTGGGCGGCATCCAACCTGAAATCAGACGCATTCCTGCTCGTCTACGATATCACCAACGCATCGAGTTTGCAGGCGCTCGACTACTTCATGGAGATGATCGATATCGAGGCCGAACAGCGATTGGAGGACAATGAGCGACTATTAAGAGAGCTAGGTCCCGGCGCGGAGGGCGTCGAAGTCGGGATGCCGCCTCCGGTCAAGATCATTGCGGGAAACAAATGCGATCTGAAGGATGCCCGGGCCATCTCGGCACGAGACGGCCTGGAATATGCGCGGAAACATGGATGCGGTTTCATGGAAACCAGTGCCAGGGAGATGGTCAACATCGAAGAGACTTTTGCGTGTATGTCCAGTGCAAAACTCGTCTTGCCATGTCGCGTTGGATGATCAGATGTCTGACATGTGGCAGTGATTGTTCGGCGTGTGATCGAGGCCCGTCGACAACATTACCAGCGACAAAAGCCTCAGGATTCTGACCAGATGGGGTCGTCCACGGCGCGCACCCCAGCATTGACGGCGACAGAGAAGGAAGCCAGCGACGAGCTTCAGAACGGTGGCAAGCGTCGGCATATCCGTTTCGGGGGACTGGGAAGAAGGTTCTCCAAGCGAGCCACCAGCAAGAAAACCGGCGACGATCCCGATGATACGGAAGAACATACGACGAAAGAGAAAGTCAAGAATCCCAAAAAGCATGGCTCGCGAGACGAGTCAGGCGAACAAGACACAGAGTCTGACAGCTGGTGGAAGTGTTTGCGATGTCTATAGTTCTATTGTATGCTGGGATTCTTGGTCGCTTTTTTTTCCATCCCCCGTTCTTTTTCTGCTGTATACCCCTTGCTCGTGATATATCATCATCCTTGATGTATTTTCTCTGAGCTCTGTACATTACACTATATTCTGTCGCGATGTGTTATCTACGAACTGGACTATTCTTTCCCTTCAGTCAGCCGCGTTACCATTCCCCTTGTTCTTGTTTGGGTGTTTTGCCTGACTCCGATATCTTGCTCTTTTCATTCTTTTGTTGAAGTGGAATTGATATCCGGTATCCCATCTGCTTGTTTTCGTTTTGATTGATACCACCCGATTTGTTGCTTGTCAAATTTTTTTTGGTTCGCTTGTGATGGTGGGTCACTTATTGTCCATTTCTGAGGATTTCTCTGCTGGATGGACTGTTTTGTACTGCTATTGTTCTTGCTTGTGATGCCATGCTTATCGTGAATTTGTAGCTCTGTAGGACATGGACACAAACATGAATAATATCTATACCCATTTAACCGCTGTGCTTATTCAGACTGACCCATGCCGATGTTCCGACTCGGCGTTGACATGCTACATCGGATTTCTCAGCGAGGTCCTTAGCTAGTGCACTAGTTTAGTCTTTTTTAACAAAAATTAATTGGACTATTAGTCCACTTCATACTACACCGTAAGATTAGGGAAAAAAAACCAGCCAGAAGATCTTAAGACGTCTTCTCCATCCATGTCATGATCTTCATTTTTGCAAACCCAATTAATACCATTTGGGGTTTTCACCAAATTATTAATCAAACGATAATCATTATCATCATTGGGAGCAACTTCCCTCATTCTCTTCTCGCTTATCGTCGGATCTTGCCTTATCTAGGATGAGAAAAAAACATCATATAGAATAATTCTTCTCTTTTTTTTTGTACTGTCACAGTTAGTTAACTGTACTGCTGGTGCTTGCTTTGCAAATCAACTTTTTTTTTCTGGAACTTGTCTCACGAACAGGTCATCGCTCACATATAAACAAAAATCTCACGACTGACACATGACTTGCGACATTGTGTCTTCGAACTGTGATTGAATTTGACCGAACTTCCCTGAATCGTGGAATTGATAGTTTTTTTTTTCGGTGAGTTTTCTACTCCCTTCATCTTTTCAACTGAGAACAATCTATGATTTATGGGGACATCCGCCGGTGATAGTTCCATCTGTCGATCTGTACCAATGATAAGGACTATTACCGCACTGTCTTTTTGAGAATATGATAAGAAGAGTAAACCTCGGGAAGCTGGATAAGCCAATGATCTTCTAGCTAACAAATTCTTCGTTCAGATGAGGCAAACCTGGTTGAGTCCTGTTTGGGATGAAAGGTTTCATCTTTTCTGTCAATCTGTATCACTCTTTGCTGAACAGCAACATCGAAACGGATTCAATCATCAACCATAAGGTTTGAAGCATACATAATTTGACATCTTCAGTCGCCAAACATGGAACACGAAAACGAAAGCGAAAAGGCCAGTCCGGCCAGCATGGCTGAAGATCAAATCCAGCAGCGGGAGGAAGATTCCTCGTCTCTCCACCCCAAGGATGAGGAGTCGAGGATCGGAGCCAGCAGCAACAGCAACAACAATGGCGACAACGACAACGGTAGTGGCGATAGCGCCCTGAATCGACATCCCACCACCGCCAGCCAGGCCAACACGGTCCTGGCCAGGACCATCTCGCTTGTCCGCACGAGAGAGTCTGGACGAAACCCCGGACCACCCCCCGACGGCGGTTTCAAGGCTTGGACGCAAGTGGCACTGGCCCATCTGGTCATCTGCAACACCTGGGGCTATATCAACAGCTTCGGCGTCTTCCAGACGTACTACACCGAGACTTTGGGCCATTCCCCCTCCGACATCTCCTGGGTCGGTAGCATCCAGATCTTCCTGCTGTTCTTCATCGGCACCTTCTCCGGTCGGGCCACCGACGCTGGCTTCTTCAAGTTCACCTGGTCGGTGGGCGCCATCATCGAGATCTTTGGCATCTTCATGACCTCCCTCTGCAAGAAGTACTGGCAGTTCTTCCTCGCACAGGGCATCGTCCAAGGCATCGGATGCGGTCTGATGTTTTGTCCCACCTTGTCGCTGCTGCCAACCTACTTCTCCAAACGACGCGCCCTCGCCATGGGGCTGGCAGCGTCCGGTTCGGCAACAGGAGGCATGGTGTTCCCGGCCGTTGTCATGAGCCTTCTGCCCCGGGTAGGATATGCCTGGACGATGCGGACCCTCGGTTTCATCACCTTGGCGACTCTGCTCCCCTGTTTTTTGTTTCTTCAGCAACGACTGCCACCGCGGAAGACTGGCCCTCTTGTCGAGTTCGCAGCGTTCAAGGAAGCGCCCTATTCGCTCTTCGCCATCGGGATGTTCCTCGTCTTCTGGGGCCTCTACGTCGGTTTCTTCTACATCGGCAGCTTCGCCCGCTCCGTCCTCGACGTGTCACAGTCGACCTCCATCAACCTACTCATAGTCATGAACGCTGTTGGCACCACGGGTCGTTGGATCCCCAGTTTCATCGCAGACTGGCGGACAGGTCCTCTGAATATACTTATCTTGTTCAGCCTGGCGAGTGCGATTCTCGCCTATGGTTGGGCCGGAGTCGTCAGTGTCGGGGGACTGTACGCCTTCTCCGTGATATACGGCACCTTCTCGGCCGGAGTCCAGGGACTCTTCCCCAGCACGCTGAGCTCTCTCACCGCAGACCTGAAAAAGACCGGCGTGCGCATGGGAATGGTGCTGAGCATCCTCAGTATCGCCGCCCTGACAGGGAACCCGATCGCAGGGGCCCTGATCCAGGTCGAGAACGGCAGATATCTGTACATGCAGATGTTCATGGGCAGTTCCATGATAGCGGGCACCTTGTGTCTGATAGGCGCGAGGATTGCCAAAACGGGCGTGGGGTTGGTGAGAGTGTGATTGCAGTAGAGGAAAAATATTGCATAAAATCTGTCTGCAGTTTTATTTTTTTTCTCCAATGCACAGTTACGTAGTGATGTCAGCAACGAGTATTTAAATGACCACGAAGATACGCATGGTGCATGCATTTCGGGAGCACGGGTTAGAGTGAAATTGTGTTTTTTTTTTGTTTCGCATTCATCACCTATGTAAGTAATGTTACGACTAGATAGAATGATAATAATAATAGACTTACACTGAATAATGCCACTCAACCTGTTTACCGATGTTCTCGACTATATATATACTATGGGGGGCGGGGCTTCAAGCGGAACTATATTTGCAGGAATTTTCTTCTTGTGGATCGTTTGTTCGTTCATAGATTTGACGTCCGCGTGGTCTGCTTCTTCTTTGCTTCTTCCCTCGCCTTGCTCGCTGACTTCAACAAAGCATACAATGTTTGCAGTCTGGGCATTTCCACCCCGTGCGCGCGGGCGATCCGGATGGGGTTTCCCAGGATAACTTCCAACTCCATCGGCCGACCTGCCTCCCAGTCGAGCAGCATGCTGGGCTTCGCACCAACGTTTCTCTCCGTGCTGGCGAGAATCTTCTCTGGCTTCGCCAGACTGGGAGGGAACTCCCTCTTCAGGATCGCCGGCACGGCCGCAAATACTTCGTCCATGCAGCCTTTGAGATGTTCGCGCAGGTCGGGGTCGCGGACCATGGTCGCGTTGCCAAGGCCCCCCGACAGCACGGCAGATGGGTTCATTGAGCCGTTGATGCAGATCTTGTGCCAGCGGATGAGCTGCAGATCCGTCTCGTCGTGGTACTCGGCGTCGCGCAGTTTTCCGTAATCGGTGAGGATGCGAGCGAGTTCGCGGGCGCACTCGTCCCCTCGCTTGGAGACCTCTTTCATTTCCGGCGTCTCTCCTCCACGACCGTCCGAGTATGAGCCCAGGCTGATGCGTGTCCAGCGGTTCTGGCGGACGACACCATGGCTGATTTGCTCGGCGCTGATGACCGTCACAGCACTGACGATCGGGTTCCGGGGGAATCTCTTGCGATGGGCCTCTTCGATGCCCACCCCATTCTGAATCAGCACGATACAGGTCTTTCCATCCGGCGCTCGTCGGATGAGCGGCTCAATCTCCTTCGAGTCGTCGGTAATCTCAGGCAGGGCCTTGGTGGTGACCACGACGTAATCCCATCCCTCCGGGGGCGCGTCAGGCGACGTGGCTGCGTGGGAAATAGAGGAGTAGACCGCATGAGGCTTGAAGTGGTAGTTTCCAAAGCTGCGTGTCTCAAGGGTGACGCCGGATCGTGAGATGGTGGCGTAATTGGAACGGCAGATCAATGATACATAGATGTTCGCGGACGGCTGACCATAGTCAGAATCTCTCATAGCATCGAGAGTAGTTATCGTCGGACTCACATGGTGACAGCGCGATGCATAAAAGCAACCGACAGCGCCAGCGCCGACGAAGAGAATATGAATGGGTCTGCAATGTCATGAGCAATGTTGCCAAGGATCAATAACGAACAGACTTTGCCCATATCTTCCCCTGGGAAGCAGATAGGGTACTGACTTCGATTCACCCGATGTGGCAGACATGACGGTGGACAGCTACCCGAGTAGCAAGCACTATGCAGCGAATTTTAGCATGTTCCTTCTAGATAACAATCCGTCTCAAACTGAAGCAATGCAATAGAGAATGGAAGAGTATTGGCTAGGATGTACACGAGTGATGGATAAGAAAACCCGCTACCATTGACAGAGCTCGAAAGTCTCCTCCGAACAAGAAATTGAAAGAGATAGAGATCTTCAGGCCCTAAGGACAGATAAAATCGTCCTTCTGCATATATGGCACAATCAACAGTGAGCAACGTCTCTGGAGACGTCGCATTGCGTGTTCAGCAAGTCGTCAGGCCGGCGAAATGCCGAGGATGACGACGACGATGGACGGGCAGAATCGGGTCACCTGCCGAGGCGGTGAGAGAGAGCTCCCCGCATCTCCCCGCATGAGCAACACTGTAAATAGTACGAAGCTGCATATTTGGGCTATGGATAGAAACTATCCTGATCTTGAGTATCTATGATGAGAAGAAGAAGATGGATTCTGCAGGATCTCCCATTCTGTTGAGGCTCACGCCCAACGTCATGCCAGGATGAGCAGAGACAATTATCCCAGTCTCAGACACAACTCGACCAACCTCCTGTGCCTTCTCGAGCAGTTATAAGGTAACAGAAACCATAAAAAGATCATCGACATGCATTCATTTGCACTGGAATCGCATCTAACCCGAGACAAACTGCTGCTGGGGATATTACTAGGGAACACAAGCTGGAGGCTCCTCACATGGCTTGCCTGTCTGAGCAATGCAAAGCAACAAACATGGCATAAATATCAGCATAACAGAACTGCTGCTGAAGAGCTGGGGCGTAAGCTTTGTTGCATCTGGGTCTTTATAAGTCGAATGTTGCATGATATCCAGACGTATGCTGGCTGTAGCGTGCTGACTCGTCATATTCCTCGCAAATCCCTGTGTTTGTCCCGCGTGATCCCGCCTGGAAACAGACGTACGGTGATTGGTACAGCAGCTCAACGCCGCTCCACTCGAACAAAGAGAAGGCGGTCGAGCCAAGTCATCGAGCGAGGGGCATCGAGGGGTCCCTGTCCCGCCGCAGCAACAACGTCAACGCCCTGCCCTCGTTGTCGGACTCTTGCTCCTCGACTCTCTCAGAGAGAAGGATATCCTCTTTCTTCTTTCTGGATCGAGCATTTCCTGCGTGGGCGATAAGAGAGTTGTCTCTTTCTCCCTCGTTGAATGCTTCCTTCTGTCTCGAGATACTGCATCATTCCCATCACACGACTGAGATCCCGGACGACTTCACCCTCCTGACGCGCTTTTAGCAACCGTAAGTCGTGTCCAAAAACTGAAAACCGGCAGAGGAAAGACTGGCTAAATCTAAATAGGGGTTACGGGCCCGTTTTTAAACGTGTGCACCTTTCCTTTCTTCTGTTCAGATTCCTTCCTCAGACAGTTTTGTCGTGACTGGTAACACATCATGGCACCAGGCAGCCGTGGAAAGTTTTCAAAACCAACAAGAGGAGGTGCGTGCAGCTGTGGCCATAGGAAACAGCCCTCGAAGGAATTACGCAGAAGACACCCCAGGCGCTAACATCTGCCTGTTCAGGCGGCAAGCACTACAGTCGTGATGTCCAACCTGTCGATAAAGATGGGAACCCAGTAAGCATGTGGCGGGTATGAATTTCCCCGACCTTTAACCTGTCTGTGTTCGAACCCGGTTGACAATGGGATGTTCTGTCTCCAGGACCCCGAGGACGACCCCACTAGCTCTGAAGAAGAGGAATCCCGATCCGGATCCGGATCGGAAGAGGAGTCGTCTGAAGGCGAGGACGAGGCTGGCCCTTCCAATGTCCCGCCACAAGAGATGACCCGCGAGCAGCGCCGTGCTGCCGCCAAAGCCAGAAAGGAGGCTGCCAGAGCGAAGAAGCAGCAGGTCGCCGCTCAGCCGGGTGACTTACCTCCGTCGGAGTCGGAGGAGGAATCCGACCTCGACTTGCCGCCGAACCCGAATCATACCTCCCAGTCACGCTCTCAGGCAGCCAGGGGACCTGCGATAGCATCCTCGAGCAAGGGTGACTCATCTGAGCTCTCCCGTCGCGAGCGGGAAGCCATCCAAGCCCAACAGGCGCGTGATCGCTACATGAAGCTCCATATGGAGGGCAAGACGGAAGAAGCCCGGGCGGACCTCGAACGTCTGGCTATTGTCCGGCAGCGTCGCGAGGCCGAGAGGGCTCGCAAGGAAGCCGAGCGTGAAGAAAAGGAGGCGCGCATCCGGGAACGGGCGGAGAAGTTACGTGAGCGGGAGCAGAAGCTCCGAGAAGCTGCCATGGGCAAGGGTGGACGAGGAGGCAAACGGGGTGGAAAGAAATGAGCGAGAAGAACTCGGTTGGAAGCAACTTTTCCGACCCTAGTATCCTGGGGGAAGCTTTTTCTGGGCGAGGGGTTTGGACGGAGTAGACCAACCAGCTCCTCTTTCATCCATTAATTCGTATCTTTGTTGTTATGTCGTTGGGTTTGTTTTTGGAATTGGGATTGGTGGTGGTAGATGAATACCTATACACACATACAGTACATATTGGGATGATATTGATGGCCGATTAGTTAATTGGACGCAGTGAACATTAAACTATGTCCATTATTGTTCTTCGTACGTGGAATATGGCAGTCAAATGTGTAGTTTGGCGTCTGAGTATTATTTACTAATTTTTAAATATCAATAAAATATCTTTCCTGTACAGTCCAGTGGAACCCCATCCAGTGGTTGAGGAAGTACATATGTACAGAACATGGACATCGATATTGTCTCCTCTGACTTTTGACCCAATGAGACTCGATACATTATTAATTAATTAAATCAATTATATGATATCATAATATATCTTCCGCCGGGGGGTAGAAGAAAGAAAAATACAACACACGCCAACGCCTTTCCCAGTATTTCCACTCTTTCTACCCAGTTGTTGTCGTTGTTGGTGTTTTTCTCAGGGGAATATATATAGCATACCCAGAAACGGAGACCTTTGACCTTTATGAGATAGTAAAATGTGAAAGACATCAGCATTTCCATCCCTTTTCTTTCTCTTTTTTTTCCGTTCGAGAATATGTACCGCTTGCTTTCATCTTCAGAAGTAATAATGATCGGAGTGGGAAAAGAAATTACACTCCCCAAAAGAGGCCTTCGACTCCACGACCTTGCGTGACGACGTTCCACCCGGCAATCAAACTCACCAGCCACAATACGGCGAGGACCAGGATCGGCAGCAGAAGCAGTTCGGTATTGTGCAGGAAGGGAAGTGCGTTGTATCCCAGGAAAGTGATGTAGGTGTAATAGACCAATGCGGAAAGATAGAGTGTGTTCCCGAGGAACGTGGAGAGGAAGTTCGTCGGGCTGCGGGTGAGGAGGGGCAGCAGGAGGAATTGGAGGACGTAGAGATGGAGGTAAAGTGGGAAGAAGGCGCGGTTTGATACCTAACTGGTTGTTAGTAACTGATATCCAATAACCGGTCCACAGGGCATGCATGGAACACGCCAGGGACCCAAAAAAAAACTTACATCAAAACAATAACCAAATTCCACCTGTTCCTTCTCGCCAGGCTGAACAAACAGACCCTGCGCCGCTCCTCGTCGCCGGCCCCGTGACCCTCGGAACCCTGTTAATGACGAAGCGGCGCCGTTGGGCCCAAAGATGCGCCCGACGAGGAGATAGGCTAGCGTCGAGATAACCAAAGACGTTCCGATAAAGTGGACGAAGACAAACAGGAGAGCGAGGCGGACGATGGAGCCAAAGCTCGGGGAGTATGCGAGACCCCATGCCAAAGCGGTCAGGAGCAAGAAGAACGAGAGGAGATAGGTAAAGGAAGGGTCTGGTCGGTGCCAGGTATTCTTCGTTTCTGGATCGAAATCAGTCAGAACCGTCAACACCTCCAGATGCTATTGTCCACTTCGACTCGAGCGCGACAACACGCAATGATCAGGGTTGGGTCATACGTTTCTGCAAGCGGTTACGGAAGATAGTCAGATCTCAACGTCGCGAATTTATCTTCAGACTGGATCGATCGATCGATCAATCAATCAATCAACTGGGCAGACTCACATGATAGTACATTGACTTGAAGACCTTCTTTGGCGCGATCAGCAACGATGTCATCTCCCAGATGGCCATTTCAAAGTCCATCTGGGGGAACTTGAAGAGCCTGGTAGAAGTCAGCAAGAGTTGGATCCATGCGCACCTCTCCAACGCAGCGCGTATAGCTATGCAACTCAGGGATGGTATCTCTCCACCAACCTCTTGAAGAATCGAGGCATCCGGAAACTGGAACCCCGGTTCGATGGCCCAGAGCCACCGAAGGTTGACGGACCGCTATGTTGTCGAGGAACGGAGATATGGGGATTCATCTCGGGAATCTGTGCTTTTGCCGGTGGTGATGGGTTTCCAGGCCCTGCTGGCTCAGACGGGAACGGAGAAACTGCACATCCAGATCTCCGGGTTGGAATGATTGATCGTAGTGCTCCCTCCGGAGTGTGCTGGCTGAACAGCAAGATAAGGCCTGATCTGTTCTGTTGTCAATGACGTGACGTTTCCCAGGCCAGGTTGTTGGTTGCCTTTTACGGCTTAGCCTCGGTTGTCGCCGCCGTCGGCCCGTCTTCCATCGCTGGCATCGTCCTTGATTACTGGTAAAACATGTTTATAGAATGATTTCAATAGTAATCGTGTATCTGATCCAGTCATTTCCGTGATCAGTTCATCCGTTTGAATGCATCAACAGTGTCCGTTCATTATTCCAATTACTGTCTCTATGCCGCGTTGTACCTCACCTGCTGGGAGGAGTCGAAATGGTAGACAGTTATCAGAATTAAATACACTCTTTATCATGATATTCTTTTGGCAGGAGAGAGTGGATAAACAAATTTCGTGCTTCACATTGCACAAAGATCAATTACTAGCTTGTCCAGAGCATTATCATATCAACTAGAAAAGTAGGCACATGATTACCTCATAAGACAACGATGACGCTTGATTCGAGTTCTTACCAGCGAGGAAAAGAAGGAGAAGAGCAAACAGATCTTTTTGGGCAGGATCATCTTAGGGATCGGCAAACTGCTTCCTTTTGTGAAACCCTGGGTTCATTTAGTTGCAGACAGGTGGACAGGCAAGACAGGGCACTTCATACTCCGCACAAAGTACCCCATATTTGATCTAAAAAACCAGTCAAGCCAGGAACTCGAATTCCGTAACCGTGATTAAATTAATAATCCTGCGCAGTTCGCACTGGCATTCCGTCAATATTATTTGCTGCAGGAGCCCTCGGATCAATCCAAGCAGGGGCCAGAAGCGCTATCGATGCTGGCTCCACCAGAGATCCGATCCCCGGTGAGGCCATCATCATGATGTCAGGACTCGGGAATAGCATCGAATTGACCTAAGTACGGAGACATGGACGAGAGGAGAAAACCAGGGACTGAACTTTGTTGGGGCTGACGAGGGACCGCTGATGGAATTCTCAAGAGTCTCCTGGTCTGTCTTTGCTGCATGGTGGACGGCAAGCTTTCCACTAACTGAACTATGCAACCTGTCAGAAAACGAATCATTTTGCAGAGACGTCGAAGGGCGCTCCGACTGGTACTCCGTCCAGCCTATAGCTAGGTACCAAACTCTGTCGGCAAGGGTATCCGACGGTACAAGGATTCTGGTGATCCCTTAGACCGCAACCTTACTGGCAATCCCGCTGACCAAGGACCCGAGTCTCTGGGAAGAGGCAGAGGACTCGATTGGGGGACAAGATAGTGACAATTTTGAGTCGGACGGGGGTTACTCCGTCCAGAGCGTCCAACTCCATTAGGCTTCGAATACTCTCCGTATTCTTCTCGCCACTATCGTTATCACTCTGCTCAGGCTCCACCGACCACGGCCTGCATGCAGGTCCTGAGCACCACTCGTACGTATCATTCTCGCCCTCCGGCGCGGGACGATGCAGCATAATCATACGCGAGGTGCTCTGCGAATTGCCATGATAATGATCTGTCAGGCGTGGTAACACCTACAACAGAGTATGCTCCCGTGAAGCCCTGATGACGATGGCCAACCTGTCAAATCGTATTTGTCGGGGGTTATTTATTTATTGCCGAAGACCTTGCCTTACTCTGATGACCGTGCACTGTAGACCCCACAGGAATTCAGGGCAATTGCCGATGCCATACCGTTGACAGGGCTGGACAATAGGGAAAGGATTCCGTACTGCATACTGCGTATCCTGTACTCCGTTCTCAGCCCTGTTTTTCATTTTCGATGCACATCAGCGTAGTATGGAGGATAAGGTAGCAAAGCTCGACAGAGGGAGCGACAACATGGCGTCTGAGTCCTGACAGGCCGTTGAAGATCAGGCCAAGACTGCAGCAACACCAAACCGGCATCTGGCGGGGACAATGGATCCTGGATGTGAGCTGTCTGTCTCAGTCGGGGACTGACAGGCTGCTGGCGTTGCAGAACTAGCCTGCGCCAAAGTTTTCTGGCTTGCCCCTGAAGGGTGGCCGCGACAACGTGGAGCGCCCCTTGCGTGCGGCCAGCCAGCCGATCGCGTGCCGCTAGTCGCTTGTCAGGGCAATAATAATCATCCATCCGCAGGCTCCATCGCGCTCTAGCCAGACACTCGTTTGTTCTCTCCACCTGCTCGTCCATCCTTCTGCTATCCCACGCCCCCTTTCGATCTCTCGTTTGCTGCCACCGACTCTGCTCAATTGGGATGATACGAACTGCCTGACCAGGGTAATCACCGCCGTGTTGTGATTGCCGGAGATACCACGCTTCGTTACGGCAGGGACTAAGTACCATCCCCCCAAGCTCTCCGAAATGCGATGAGTTGAACTGTCTGTTCATCGTCACTCGTTCCAGCCTACTTGTTTTCTAGGATCACAGCTCCTGCACGTCGAAGATTCCAGAGGTGGTTCTCTGTTCGAACGACGATCCCCGGTTACAACGGTGAATGGCAGCGTTTTCCCAACCGCCTCCTAGCACGCATCTCGTTCCTTTTGTACGACATTGCTGAGACAGGATGGGCTTGGATAATTTCCCACGGCCGCCGACACACCGGTCTGCCGCCGCTGCACCCGGTTCCAGAGGGTTTCAATCGCGTGACCGCCACGAAAACTATTCTCCTCCTCGAACACCCCCCCTCCAGAGTAGCAAACAGAAATCCCCGCCGCAGGGGCTGGGTCTTCGACCGTCTTACCCGGAGACGTTTCTGGACGACACGAATAACGGTGACAATGGCAGGACCAGCGAGTCAGGGGATGACCAGGATCCCCATGATTTGTCCCTGTCTCCAAAGCATGTAACGCGCACTTCAGTCGTTGATAACATGCTCCTTTCGCTCGACCAATTCTCATCTGGCTCTCCATTCCTGGATGAATACCGCTTCCTCGGCGCTGCAGTAGACGCTGACCCTTACACATCGAGCTCCCGATTCCCCATGACGAAACGGGGGCGCGGTCGGGGCCATACTTTCTCCTCGTCCATGTCCTCTGATGTTGATCCCGGTGTGGACGAAAATACTGGCCATCATACCATCCCTCCCTCGAGGGGTCATCGAAGCAACAGCAATACCACCTACCAACAAGGCCCACGAAGATACGACAGCCTACGCAGCCGAGGAAGCGGATACGAAGGTTCACGAACCTCGGGCCCAGGAGACAGCTCGCAAGGACGCCATGCCCACTCGGCTCGGCAAGAAAGCCAGAGCAGCGTCTCCAGTGCAGAATATAACCACGAGAGACGCTCTGCGAGCCTCGACTATGGGTCGAGACCGTTCTACATGTCAGACTCTATGCCAGGGACCGACCTGTTACCGGATGACATTGAGGCGGCTCCCACTCCGACCGTCCCGGCGGGACCCCGGCGCGATCTCCCTAATTCTACAAGTGATTACTCGGGAATATCGCCAAATTATCCGCCTCCTCGCACTCCAGCCCTGTCCCGGAGGAATAGCAACAAGTCCGCCAAAAGCACAGCCACACGGAAAGGCCGCTCTGAGACGCTGGGAACGACCGCTGTCAAGGGAAGAGAGGACGGTGATGCACCACCACCTCCTCCTCTGCCATCGTCCTATGTCGATCCCTCCGCACCCAGTCCTACAATCTCTTTCCAAAAGCCCATCTTCCCTCCGGCGCCAGAACCAGCTCCGGCCGTCAAGGAGCGCCCTGGTTTCTTCCGACGCGTGTTCGGTTCCTCAAAGAACTCATCGTCGACATCTGATTCCCCATCCACTCAACCGCCCCAGATTGGCCTGTTTGGCCCGGAAAATGACTCCAGCGTGAGGGGTGGGAAACAACCACCAAGATCGAATCCTGTCGGAAATGCTCCGCCCAACCAAGAGCACTCTTCGCCTGTGGTGTCCAAGAAGACCTCTTTCTTCCGGCGGCGGAAGAAGTCGGTCGCGGATCACATCCCGCCTCCGCTGAATCTCTCGGTGGGTGGTCTTAAGCCTCTGGATCAGCTCCAACCAGAGCCGAGTCCCGTGAGCAGCCTCAGGAAAGTCATGAATCCTTATCTGGCAGACTCGTCCTCCCCTGCCGGTTATGATCCCAAGGGAGATTCTGATGGAGAGAACGCATATAACCCGGAGCCCGACCAGCCCTTGCCCCGGGACCATGCAGCGCGCCCTGCCGCGCGAGAGGAGCGAGCAGTCGAGGGTTCGGCCAAGAATGGCATGCTGAGAACCAAACATAGCCTCAATCTTCCCGTTCCGTCCCATGAGAACGATGAGTCCTTCCTGGCTGACAGCAGTGGCAACGAGGCCACCAGCTCTCCATTCTCCAGTGAGAGGCCTGCGCGACCGAAGACAAGCCCTGAGGCTCCTGGCCATGGGTCGGTGTCTGATGGTGATTATCATCAGTCCTTCCTCAATAGCAAACTCTCCGTCCCGACACAATCGTCCGGCAAGGATGGACGGGCATCGAATAACAAAAACAAGGATTGGCTTGACCCGGCCTCCTCGGAAGAGCCTCTTCCTAAGGAGGGTGGTGCCGAGTCTGGCCGAGCTTCCAACTCAGACGTCTCGCAGTATCACACTGCTTCCAACACCCCCTTGATCGATACTCCGCTGGAAGAGTCAAAATCCCAGGCTCAGCCATCGGGCAGTGAGACGGCTGGTGATCGGGGCGGTGTGACCGATCTGGCCGATGATGATACTCCCACTCCTGCAGACCGCGAACAAGCACGCAGACTGTTCGAAAACCAAGATGAGGTGGTGGGCAATGAGCCCGCGGCGGCATGGCTGGGAAGTCCTGATCGCGCCATGATCAGGAAAGCGTATATGGAACTTTTCAACTGGACTAATGTTGATATCCTCGGAGCTCTGCGTTCCCTGTGCACGAAAATGGCACTGAAGGGTGAAACGCAGCAAGTTGACCGAGTCTTGGATGCGCTGTCCGCGCGGTGGTGTGAATGCAATCCCAATCACGGCTTTAAGGCAGTTGGTAAGTGCGGTCCTGCTTGGTAGTGCTGCTGCTATGGACTTTGCCCGGTCTAATACGTTCCCCGCAGATGTTGTTCACACTATTTGTTACTCGCTTCTTCTCCTCAACACGGATCTTCATGTAGCAGATATTGAGCAGAAGATGACGAGGAATCAATTCGTTCGCAATACAATGCCAACTATCTACCGGGTAGCGGTCGATGCGGCCCCTGATGGCTTCGAAGCGCCCCGTCCGGGCGGCAAATCGCGATCCCACGCCAAACTGTCCGAATCTGTCAGTGGGCCTGCGAAGTCTCCCACCATTCCGCCTGGTGACCTCCGTCTGAGTGCCGGGGACAGTGGCGTTTTCTGTAAAACTCCCAAGTCTCCGGACTCGGATTCCCCTAGTTCCAGTGTCGGGCCTCTGGTCAATACACCTTTCCATGGCACCATCAAGGAATGGGAGGCGCAGATTGAAGCCGTGCTGAAGGACTTTTACAACTCAATCCAGAAGGAACGGCTTCCTCTGTATGGCTCTCGGCCTGACGGTGAAGCCGTTGGACCATCCTCGAACACGCATCTTGGCCATGGGCTTCGTCGCAGTCCGAGCACACTAAGCAAGAGTGGCTCTGATATCTATCCTCGAGGTCGCTCCGCGGATTCCAGATTGACCACTGGGCGATGGTCGTCGAAACCCCGATCACGCGCGAGACTCTATCCGGCCTCGAATATCGCTTCCAGTCGGACTAGCCTCGACGAACAGTCCTCCGTCTGGAGCCCCTCGGCGTCGAGCACCTGGAGCAAGAACTCGCTGGGTAAGACTCTTACCTCCGTGTCGGTCGATTCGCTCGGTTCCGAATACCCACGGGGCGATTATCAGCAGTCCATTGGTTTTGCGAATGCTCTAAGTCACGCAATCATCCGTGAAGACTCGGCACACTCCATAGCGAGCATGGAGGATACCGCCGGGAACACCGCTCTTCTCGAAGATGAGAGCTTGGAACTGGCAGGTGCCCCATGGGCAAAGGAGGGAAATCTGAAGCATAAGCAGCATCTAGACGCAGTCGACAAGCGTGCCAAGGACCGCAATTGGAACGATTGTTTTGCCGTGATTCAACGTGGCTGGCTGCGCCTCTTTTCGTTCAATTCCAATAGCCGCTCTAAGGGGTCGAAAGCCAAACAACGTCAGGGTGGCGGCGTCGTGGTCGGAGGGGGGAACTGGATGGAGAATGCCGAGGAAGTCTGGAAATTCCTCCTCCGCCAGACGATTGCGAGTGCTCTACCCCCGCCGGGTTACTCCAAGTCTCGACCCCATGTGTGGGCCCTTAGCCTACCGACCGGTGCCGTCCATCTGTTCCAGGCGGGCACCGCAGAGATAGTGAAGGAGTTTGTGTCGACCGCCAATTATTGGAGCGCTCGACTCTCCAAGGAGCCCTTGATTGGAGGCGTCAGCAACATGGAATATGGTTGGAGCGATGCGATCATCAACAGCGCCCTGATTCATGTCGACAGTCGTTCGCCTCCGTCTTCGTCCGGGGCGGCCAGACCCAGCCTCCAGAGCTCGATCCGCAGTTCCATTGACCAGCAGGGTGTCCGAGCCAAGCTTCCAGCGGACCGCGTCCATATCAGCGATTGGACGCCTCCGCAGCAAAGCATGATGGCGTCGACTTTGAGCGAGGCCGATCAGTTGAAGGCCCTCCAGAACTACGTGAAAAACGTGGAGGAAGAGTTGCAGAAGCACAATGAGCTCCGACAACCCATGATGCTGGCGTTCTCTCCGAGACATCCGAATGCGGCTAAGGCCATGGCCAACTGGGAACGCAAGTCCTCATACCTGCTGCGGGAGATTGTCAAGTTCCGCACCTACATCGATGCGTTGCAAGCCGCCCAGGCTCAGAAGGAGAAGATCTACGCCTCCCGGGCAGAGAACAACGAAGGCGACGACAACACTGCCGAGGCGCCATCTGGTGAAGGCCGGCATGTGGCCGATGTTTCTGCGTAGTTGCCTCAATTCACCCTGTATGTATATTCTCTCCTTCGTTTCTTTCCTGGAGCCCTATCGATGGCTCCTTTGTGTTCATGATTTGGCACTGTGACGTGCATTTTCAAACGCCGTACCCAGTCTTCTTTCCATGTTTCTTTTCGGTCCCCATCTTGATGTATATTCGGTATTTCCCTACGGTCTTTTCTTTTTCCTTTTTCTTTGGGCCTCCTCAAAAGTTCTCTTCTGTGTTGTCCTTAGCATCTATACTTATAGGCCATACTCGGGCCTCTTCTTTTCTTGGGGCTGGTCCCGGCTTTTTTGCATTGACCCCATTTCTTTCCCTCGCGTCTTGTGAGGACCTTTTGACGAAACACTTTCTGTCACGGATATCATGTCAGTGTTGATGTATGTACTCTATGAAATGATAGATCAGTGCAAAACTTGCGAGTCGAGCCGTGCCTCTAGGAAAACGTACTGTAAAAGAACTATGTGGGAAGAGCTTATTTTTAGCCCAAGGTCGGCAACAGGAATGAAGCGCCCCCACATGCCGGGGAGAGCAATTGTGATGGTGTCGTTGTCCAGCATCATCCATGACAGGGTCAGAATAGGAGACAATGGGTGAGAGAAGGGCTTCTGCTAAGATCCGCGGCGCCATCGTTGCTCTCTTCTCCCGCAGAAAACTGGAACAGGTTTGAGATAGGCAGGGATGCCTCGGATGCGCATTGATGGTCGTCTCTTAAGGCCGTAAGGCACTGTTTCGAAAAGATAAAATGCTGCCTAGGCTTGAATTAATTAATATAATATTCCAACAAGTAGATGATTGCACTTTAGTGGACGCTAAACTTGAGTCTGTGCTGACCAGTTACGGTCGAGCTTGCTGTTTGTTGTTGCAAGAGTGTTGGTCACGAGCCATGCCATCCATCTTCCTTATCTACGGGCCTTCATGCATATTTCATCGAGTTAACATGCTGTCAGAGGGCTCTGACAGCCCAGCACGCATCTTTCTGTTAACTATCTTCGAGCACTAGTTTCTTATCAGGCCAGATTGATTGCCTCTCAGCCCTCAACAGAATCCATGGCTGCTAGTCGCAGCTCGATGCTATCTCTAGTGCTCAACTAGCATGTCCTCCATTTGCTCGTGTCTGGCTCACTAACTGACTTTCGACAGCCTTCTCCTCTGTATCATCGTTCACTCCTACGTCCCGCAGTATCGCCGTCTCCGGAGTTGCCGCAACACAGATGGCCTCTCGCCGTCCTTCATCTTGCTGCGCGCTCTCTCCACGACTGCCAATCTAGCAAACCTACTCATTCTCCCCACTGCGTACGCGACAGTCGGCCACTGCCGCCGTGATTATTCGCCTGGTCGATGTGTCGTGGAGTTGGTGACCCATTGGCAGATTGCGGCGGACTGGATTTGTTTTCAAGGCATGTAAGTGTCAAGCAATGGGAGGAGCGGAAGGAATCACTCAAGTGCTGAATGATAGACAGACTATTTCTCTACGTGCGCTATTACGGTCGAGATGAGGTCACTTCTCAATGGTCTCCCTCCTCTCTTCAATCTCCCGAAATAGTGCAGGAAGAAGAGTCCTCGTCTCTCGGAAATACGAGGACAGCCACCGCCATCATTGCGATAAATGTCATCTTGGATGTTTTGCTGCTCGGCCCGTCACTGTTTTTGAACATCAACATCCCCATCCCCTCACCGGGGTACTACAACCTTATGCAGATCTGGTCTTTCACTACGATTGCAGTGTCCACGTTCCTTGCGCTCATCTACCACTGTCCTCAGTTTTATTACACCGGGACTTCTAAGCGGGTCGGTAGTCTCAGTATTGCTACGCTCGGCATGCAGACCGCGGTCTACTTCCTCCTGGCGGTGTCCTTGGGGGTGCGCTATGGGAAACTCGAAGAGGAGGACCCTTGGCGCCGATATCTGTACGCGTTTAATATCTGGATCAGTTACCTCATCACCGGGTTTCAAGCGTGCGTTCTCCTGGGCGAGTGCATATACGTGGCCTATGTCCTGTCAGCGCCAAAAGGCGAGCAGGATGAGGGCGGGGAGGCACCAGTGGACGCCGCCATCGGGGAACAGACGCCACTGCTCGCGAGTCGACCGGACGAGGCTGCTGGTTGATTGTCATAGCCGTTGTCGAAATGCACCTGTGATACTCTGTTTGAATGCCTGGGATGGTCTCACTGTCTCGTTTCGTCCTGTAAGTAGGTTACGAATACGGGAGTTGCAGACATAATGATCAGCTATGGGCATCCGAAACAGGAATTCAGAATAGTTGGAGAAGATAGAGGTGAGAAGTTTGATTGGCTATATATATATAAACCTTTTTTCTTGAAAAGTGCCAGTTATATCTACGGATTCACAGAAGTAGAGGACGGAAAGTTAGTAAATTCCACACATGGGAATTCGACTTCCTTCCTAGGAGAGAGTTGTAGTTAGAGCAAGGAGGTGACAACATGAAATTCGAGGTTATATATATGGAAAGAAAAGGCAAAAGATTAGGGTTAGGATAGGATGGGGAACGGTGGGGATGGTGCTTAAGCTCAGCCTATTTAGTTCTACCCCAATAGTCTATCACTGGCATTCTTCAGCAGTCCCTCACAGTCGATGATACTGATGTCATCCCTTACTTGTAATTTATTGTCTATTTTTTTTTAGCAGATTTTGCGGTTATTTCCATATAACTGGCCAGATAGTACTATATGTGTTGACTGGATTACAGAAATCGACCTGTCTTTGTTACGCTAGATCTCCATACTATAGAATCACGTGACTAATACTCCCTGATTGCTCATAATAATAAGAAAATAATATTGACGCCGCCAATGAGACGGACAATAGTCGTTAGGCATATAGTAGTCTTCTCTATTGAGACTCAATTATTTGATTTACTTGTCTATTGCTGCCAGTGGGTGTTTTTGGCCGGTAGTGCGGCCTAGTATTAGTTGATAGGCGACACGCCAGACCTAACTCGCCCACTATCCCATTCCACACGTCGCCAGGTCGAGATCCATTATCCACACGGCCCAAAGAGACTCGTCCCTGCGTCCGTGATCGTGCTGGACTACGGAGGGCGGCCCGGCGTTGAGGCCTGACTACGGCGCGCTACGCTGCTAGCCCGGCGGCCAACAGGGCGACTAGCAGAGCCCGTGTGGAGACAACAAACAGCGCCCAAAGTCGCCCTGGCGATAAAGTCCCTGCCATCAACGTCAACACCCAACCGCCAGACCGCGTGCGAGCAACCACAGGCGATTCCTCACCGAACGTCCCGGCTGCCTGGCTGTTTGGACACGGACGACGATCTCGCGCCTATCCGGGCTCAATTTGGCCACGGTGGACCGATGGAGGGGCAGGACCAGGACAACAATCACGATGCGGCCAGTGCTGCGACAGTCGAGCGCGATGGTCTGAAGCAGGCGGTCAGCAATACAGCGGTCAACTCGAGCCCCCCGCCGCACCATCTCGACAGCTCGTCGACTTCCCTGCCGCCCGCGAAGACCGACACGGACGACAGCACCCTGGCTCCCGTCGCCGAGAGCAGCCTGCTGCCGTCTAGTGAGGCGGGCGACGCGTACCGCCATAACAACCAGACCCTCTTGGACGAGAAGGAGATGCGGAGGAAGCTGATGGACATGGAATCGAGCTTTCTGCCAGAGCCTTCTACGATCGGCATAGCTCCGGGCGATCCCAATGCAGGCGCCGACGATACGTACCTCGTCGGAGTGTCTGACTCTGAGCACAAAGGCGAGGACTCGATAAATGCCGACGGCACTGAGCTGGATGTCAGAGGGGCCGCCGCAAATACACCGGAGATTACGATTGAGGGGGAGCACGGGAAAGAGACGATACACGACCCGGAAGCGACGCCAGCTGCTCACCACGATCAAGATGAAGGTGATACCTCCGCCCTGGAAACGCTGGCTTCATCGCCAACTGCCGCTGCTGCCGCGAGGACAGTGTCCAGAGTTCTGTCGACCGCATCAAATGGTACCACTGACTCGCAACATGGAGAACACCTCGCCGAACCTTCTCAGCCGGGAACAGATGATGACGCTGAACAGACGCCCAAGAAAAGCAGACGGAATTTGTCTCCTGCCTCTGCCTTGTCGGGTTCTAGACGGTCTCGGGATGACAACGGAGACGATGGTTCAAGTACCCCCTCTGAGCGAAAGCGGACACGACCAAAGTATTTGACGAGTCGTCAATCGTCCCATCGCTTCTCCACATCTTCGGTCACCAGTAACAATACCGACACAACGAACAGCGATGCCACTCTCGGTGCCGACTATGCTCTCCAATCCGGAGGCGCCATGCCTGGCAACCCCAGTGCCGGGAGAAACGACCTGGCGCGGTCCGTTAGCTTGGGAAGTATGGCGTCTGGGGTCTCCTCCTACAGCGACGAAAATGTCCTTGACAAACGAACATTCAGTGGTGCAACCGATGGCGGCTTGCAAACCCTGGACGAGGAGGAATCTCCGTCCCCGAGCAAAGAACCTGAAGACAACGCGCCTGTTACTCCAAAAGCCCCATCGCGAGATCTCCCTACTGACACGGCGATAGCGGAGCGTGTCCAGGATATACAAGTTCCGGGAACTTTTGCACGCCAGTTTCGTGAGAAATATGCTCGCGGCCTCTCCCCCGACAAGCGGCCAGGAGCACCGACACCTGGGTTTGGAAGGAGTGGCAGAAGCATGACGCTGAAGGAGCAGAGCAGTACCATCGATCGTCTTTCGAAAGAGAACTTTGACTTGAAGATGAGGATTCATTTTCTCAATGAGGCCTTAAATAAACGCTCCGAGGAAGGAATCAAAGAAATGATTTCCGAGAACGTGGAGCTCAAGTCGGACAAGTTGAAGCTCCAGAAAGAGAACCAGAATCTGAAAAGGCAGATTCGTGATTTGGAGAAACAGCTCAAGGATCAGCAATCGGACAAGGAGTCGATGGTCAATCATGAATCGGGACCCTCCGATGACGAGGAGCGCAACGCAGTCGCTGAGGCCGAAGAAGAGATCCTCTTTTTAAAGGAGAGGATCGAGACCTACGAGATGGAGATCGAGAGGCTGCGATCGGAGAGCCTGGTGAGGGAGAGTGAAAAACGGAGACTGGCTGAAATGGTCAAATCCCTGGGAGAAGGCCGACCAGCTGGCTCTGATGTCGGGGCGAGAGAAGAAAGAGTGAGTCTACATCGCAACTAAAATAACATTCAATACTATGGGCGACATTGATACTGACAATTGGTCGCACAGGATATGTGGAAAGACATGCTCGATGCTGAGACGGCTGCTCGGGAGCAGGCCGAAGAGGAAAACAGAAAGCTTCGTGACGAGATACTGCGCTTAAAAGTTGACCTCGCCACTGCTACCGAAGGGGCAGGAAGGGCTGGACGAGGTGGCCGGAAATCTTCCATGGTCTCACATTCGACGAGCTCGGAGCTTGAACGCAGACTGGGTGTTCCTAGTTCCGCCAGCAGTACTCTTGTGGAGCTGGAGCTGCTGAAGCAAGAGAATGCGGAGCTACGAAGAGAAGTTAGTGCGCAGACTTCGATGCTGACGTCCCGAAATCGAGAGAAGGAACGGCTGTACCAGGAAATCGAAGATCTCAAACTTCAACGCCGTGGTGAAGGTAGCCGATCGGCTGCGGGTGATAGTATCTTCGAACGTTCGGCTTCTCGAGCCCATGCCAGGTCCTCCTCCCGGGCTAGCAATGGCACGCGAAGCGATACAGAGCGTGAGAATCTAGAGATCCGGAATGGCGAGCTACGTGACCAAGTCTCCGCCCTCAAACTGGAGAATCAAGGCCTCCGAAGCCAGCTAGACGAATGCATGGCCGAACTGGAGGCGCTTGACAAGGCGTACCAGGCCGATGTCGACCAGGCGGAAGAAGAGATCCAGACCCTGCAGCAAGAGCGAGACCAGGCGCTGCAAGTGGCAGAGGAACGCGAATTGGCACTGCAGGATCTGAAAAACGAGGCCCAGGAAGAAATCGATGCCCTCGGCGACGAACTGGATCAGAAGATCGAGGAATGCCAGCGACTCGAGGCGGATCTCAGGAATCAAGAGGAGAATCTCAAGGCCCTGCAGGCGGAAATGCGCTCAGCCAGTGAAGGCATTATCCGACTCGAAGAAGATGCGCAAAGCAACTTGCGCAAGTACAAGGCTGTACAGCAAGAGCTGGATGACGCCAACAAGGAAATCGAGTCCCTCGAGAAGAACCTGTTTGAGGCCAACAACAAGGTCCAGAGACTGACTGTCCAGCTGGAGTCGAGCCAGAATGAGATTTCCTTCCTCCGCGAAGAGCAAGATGGTGATAAGATTAAGATCAGCGATCTCGAATCGGAGCTGAAGACATGCCAGATGAATCTTCAGAGCGAGAAGGACAAGGCCAAGGAGCTGGAAACTCGTCTGGCCGAAGAACGGCACCAACGAGAGGTGATCGAAAGCAAAGAGAAGGCGGAAGTTCAGCGGATCATGAACGAACTGAATAGGGAGGCGTCTGCTGCTAAGGATGAAGTGCGAAAATTGAAGAAGACCCTCTCTGCCCGAGAGATCGAGGCGTCGACTTGGAAGGAGCGGCTCATGGAGCTCGAGAATGGTCTCCGTGAAGCTCTGGGCGATTTGAACGGGACTCGATCGAGTCTGCTCAATTCCATCGTCAAGCTACAGAAGGAGCTTGAGTCGACCTCCCTCGAGCTGGAGAGCACGCGGGCGAAGCTCGACGAGAAAGAAGCGCTGTTGCAGAACCGCGACGCTCTGTTGGAAAGCCATGGGCTTGAATCCCGCAAGCTTGCTGATCTGCTGGAGCGGGAGAGGCAGGCTCGACGTGCTGACAAGCACTCGTTCGAACAGGCGTTGAAGTCCCAGCAACAGGCTTCCCGGACGATCACTCAAACCAACTCGCGGATTTCCGACCTTGAGAACGCGAGAAACCAGGATCGCAAGCGGTTCGCATCCATCGAGCAGCAACTCAAGGAGCAGCTGAACGAGCGGAATACGTTATTCCTGACGCTTTGGAAGCGGCTCTCTGCAATGTGCGGGCCTGACTGGGCACACTCCAACAGTCTGATCAATGGCAACTTGCCCAGTGTGGAAGTCATCGGCAATATTCTTTTCTGGCCGGGCTTCAGTCGGAATCTAATGTTGGCCGTCAAGACGGTGGAGGGCATGCTTGCTGGGTTCAAGAATCGTATCAAGGCCGTCGAGCGCGACTTGACCAAGGAGTACCAGGCGTTGGAGCATAATCTCTCAGTGAAAATCAAGAAGCTCGACCGCTTGGAAGAGGCTGTCAGGAACATACGAATCCAGCAGCGAGCTGCCAACGCGTCTGGTGAAATTTCGAAGCTGCGGCACGAGAACCGGCTCCTGAAGGCAGAATTGAACCTCATTCACTCGCATTCGAGGGGTCGCCATGGTGGTTCGGGCTCGAACCATGCCGCCGCTGCTGCTGCTTCTACCAATGTTGCTGGGGCCGACCAGGAGCCCGAACCCTCGGGACCGACTTCGCCTAGCAATCTGGCGTCCTCCCTTGCCCGGCATCAATCTAATCTGGAGAACAGCAAGAGCATGATCCCTCGAGCCTCGTCGGGGATTCCTCAGCCGACGCAGAGCGCGGGGGCTGTGGCGCATTCGTCTCAACGCGGATATGAGAGCAGCGATCCGAATCGAGACCGGAAATGGATCGAGCGTCTCCGCGAGCTGGAGCGCAGATTGAAGGCGGAGCGAGAAGCACGGCTCCTGGATCGCAGTGGCGCTCGCAAACGGCTGGAAGAACGAGATGCGGAGAACGAAGAGCTCCGCGCCCAGCTGGAGCGGGAACGGATGCGAAGTCGCGCACGACAGTTGGAGAGCGGTTCGGTCAGTCGATCGAACAGTCAGAGGAAGGGACACGACAGTTCCCAGGGATCGGAAGATGAAGAGAAACACGCGTCTGGCAGTGATCCGGACGAGAATGACGACACGGGGACACACAGTTCTTCTTACGAAGAGGGCATCACCGTGGACATTGAAGTGTGACGTGCGCGACGAGGTTGATATCCTTTGAAATGGTTTTGTTCTGGCTCCATATGCTCTATACCCTACGTATCTCGTTATCGTTACTGCGTGTATGTATGTACATTATCATCACGTTTGGTATGGTATTGGTATCTTTTTATGCTTTTCTCCTGGTGCTTTTTGTACTTGAATTGTTTCATCACGGTCATCACTCTTCTAGCATTGATTCGGTTTTTTTTTTCTTTTTTACGAGACGAAGCGAGGTAACGAATGCATGGATGAGACAACGTGCATGATAGGCTATTCTCTCTCGGGGCTTTGCATATTCTTGGGGTGTTACTGTGTTGTTTTCGGGTTGTTATTTTTGACTGATATTCGGTTTGTTCGATATGCTGAATTCAATTAATTCAATCCACCTTTTTTTGACCCTTTTCAGTCATATTGTGATCATTCTTGAGTCGTCATATGCACCAGACAGACAAGGAAGTAAGTAAACAAGTAAGCAAGCAAACATGGATTAATAAGACCTTGCCATTTCAGAAAAAAATGGCAAAATTCACGCTGTTGGGTTTAATTTAGTTTAAGATGCTAGCCGTTCTTGTTCTATAGTGATTCATACCAGTAATATCTTCTTTTCTCTTTCTTTCTTTGTTTTTTTTTCCCTTCCCTTTTTTTTTGCCTATCCGATGGAGTAAATGAATAAACGTCCCTAACCCAATTTGATGATATCTAGCTACGAGAGTTGATGTACCAGCACCAGCTTATGGCTCACTTCTGCCTTCTCAATTGGCTTAGCGTGTTCACATTCACGTTAACTACATGCACATTAACTATGTATGCCTGTCTCTTCGTGTCCTATTTATATCTGTTGAATGTTATGTTATGTAGTTATAGCTACACTGGAGCCTCGAGACAAGTAACGGACCAGGAATCAGGTTAAAGGCTGTCTGGGATTATCTTTGGAAGACAATCTGCCAGTCTACCTCATCGTAATGAGACTTTCAGCGAAAAGTCAACAATGGGCGTCCCCTGGTGGATCGAGCTGGTCGATAGGATATCGACGTCCTCGCACGCGTACGACGCCGCGTTGCTCTCCGTCAAGCCGCCACTGACCTCGATCAGGAACGACCCCGGCGGCTTGCCCTTGGCCGCCCACTCCGTCTTGAGCTGCTTGGCAGCGGCGCGGACTCCCTCGGCCGTAAAGTTGTCCAGCATGATGACGTCCGCGCCCGCGGCGATGGCAGCATTGGCCTCCTCGATACTGCGGACCTCGACTTCGACTTTGGTCGCGAACCCTCCGGCAGCCTTGGCGGCCTGGACGGCCATCGGGATGGCCGCCGCGATCGATTCGGGCGTCTGGCTGGTGCCGCTCAGCGCCGCGTTCTTGTTCGCGCACGCCCAGACGTGGTTGTCCTTGAGCATCGTCATCGAGCTGAGATCGTGCCGATGCGGGTCAGCGCCGCCGACGAGGATGCCGTACTTTTCGACCACGCGGAATCCCGGCGTCGTCTTGCGCGTTCCCGCCAGGGTGCCTTTCCAGCCATGCGAGCGGAGTGCCTTGACGAGAGACGAGCTCCTAAAACGGGTCAGAATTGAAGAATAATCAGAATCCGGGTAAATATGGTAGTAAATATGCGAGGAAACTCTCCACGAACTCTAGCAGTGGGAGATGGCGAAGACCTACTTCGTTGCAATGCCCGAGCATCGCGCCAGAATATTCAGGCCAACCCTCTCACCGAGGAGGATTTTCCGAATGGGGCCCCGGACGGTGGCACAGTGTTTGATGGGTTCAATAGCCTCACCCTCTTTCACATGCCATTCAACACTGACGAGGTTAGCGAAGGTGAAATGTACCTTGTAGATAGCTGAACAAATCCAGGACTCACGTGCAGCCTAACTGAGCGAAGACTTCGTTGAAAAAGGGAACGCCCGCAACGATGCCCTGGACTAGTCAGCCGTGGACGATTTAAGAGACGCGGTAGAGTATAGTGTGCTATAGTACATCTAATTTAAATACACATCAAATCATCAAAGCAGATCACCAGGGAATGTTATACAAAAACCAAAATGGCAATGTAATGACAACCACAAGTGCAATACTATTTCATCTCTCTCTTCATGCATGGAATACCATCAGACGACAGACAAACCTTACTCTTCCCCAAGAGTCGGGCCTCGCCCTCAGACTCGCCGACGACAAAGCCGCCGTAGTCAAAGCTGGGGCAGTCCTCCTCGAGCCAGGAGGCGATCAAGCGCTTGTACGTAGGCGGCAACAGATGCGCCAGGTCACCGTGGGAGGACGCCATGGCCAACTCGCTAGCCAATCTTGTATCGTCTGTACTATTCGCGTGGTTGTGTGTGTATGAACAGGCCTGACGTCGTCGGACGATGTTTCTAAAACGGGAAAGATCGGGAAGGATTGGGGAATAATCTGGGGATGGACCGATGGAGGGGCACCAGCCAGTCGTGGCCACGAGGATCAGCGACGAGACCAGCTTCTAGAAGAGGGCTGAAGAAAACGAGGCTAGTCGCCTTGCTTGGAATAGCCAATATAATAAGGCGATAACAACGACAGGATCACGAAACGCCCACTGAATCAGGTCGATGATTCACTCAATTCCTTTGGAGACTTGGAGATGCAGTGCGGGGCGGGGAAAACCGGAATCGGAAAAATCAAGGCAGACAAGGCACGAGGATGGACTCGGCAGGCAAGTGCCGTCCGCGTCGGGCTCGGAAGCCGACCAGACCAACTAAGGCCGATCTCCCGAAGATAAGCAGAACCTAGGTATTGCAAATAGATTCTGGCTAATAAATGAATACGAGAGATCAAGAATTGGAAAACTGAGGACTGCAACACAGTCATTTCACTGGTGCACAGAGTAATAGTGATGATGTTTGGCCTTGTCATCAGTTCCTGCTGGATAACTGACATGACCAGGATAAGAATATAGCATCAGCACTTCAAGCAGACCAGGAATTGGCATGATATTTCGACGGCGGCTATTCGGCATGAGGATCGATAATCAAAACTTCTAGAAGCCGGAGCCGTGTGCAGGTGGCTTAGTCAGCGGATGATGCCGCTTTAATGTTTGACAATACGATACAGTATGACGGAACAGTGTTTCGTACAGGTATTGTAATTTCCATAGGTATTTTATTCTGATACGACCGTCGCATAAGCAGCAGTCTGATCGACGTTCAAGTCGGAATTAAAGAAGTTAAAGGTATTCAGTCATTGAGGATAAATTATTCACGATCCTTCTTTCCTAAATTTCATTGTACTTTAGTTATAGACACTTTCCTTTAATACTATTCCAAGACCTTGTTGCTCGACGAGTATTAATTAATCCTTAATATGATGTTTTGATCCCAACTTGGGGCGGTTCCGCACGTTAAACAAACTAATGCCTGCTTACGGCGGAAAATCGATGCGCATCTCGAATGGAAACAAGCTGATCGAGCTGAGACTGCTACCCCCGTCCAGGCTAGCAATCCTGGTTGCATGTTATTTCTTTATTTATATTTACAGCCCCATTTTATTTCTCCGGTTTCATACTGTACAGACGAGCTTTGTCTCGTCTATATATTGAGTATACCTGTTGGTTTCGCTCTCATTAACTAGGCACCAGAATTCCTCCCATTCCAACATGCAGTTACGACTTGACTGGATTCTTTGTTTGGCTCAGCCTTATCAAGGCATGCAGGGCAATAAATGTAACAGGTCTTGCTGCGCCATGGACGAGTCAAGAATAACAACAAAGGGCCAAAACATGTCGACAGGGAATTAGCTCCAGCTGTCTCTGTCAGGGAGGCTGAGATGGAATGCACAAGCCATTGCAGGAAACTTGCAGATGGGCAATCGCGACTCCTTCCAAATGAAGAATGAGGACGACTTGGCTGTTGTTATGATTACAATTATCTGCCTGATCATCAACCAACGTATTGATGATTTTTGTCATGTCTTCATCCAATCGCATGGACAACAATACGAACGGAGCAATCAGAATTTCAGTTAAAAGACTTGGCGGAACTCGGACGGATGAAATCCTCCGGGTCCGTGCCTGTTTACGCACGAAATATACAATGCAAATCTATTTTCTGCAGGCTTTATAGCTCTCTAGTTCTTAAATTAAGCATGTATACCTGTCGATCATCATCCACAGAGACATGTAAATAGGCATAAACTAATCATGCTTTATATTTTACCTGCTGACCAGCTGCCTGAGTAATACTATCCCTCCAATCATAACAATATCCTCTATTGATTTGATTTTATGACACTCCGTATGGACGTAAGCTGTATATCTCTGCATGCCTGTACAACCTGCGTAAATAATTAGTCTGTGGAGCGTCGCATTGCATCGCCTCATATCATGAGAGCTTTGCATGGCCTTGCATTACATTTATAGCATACCATCTACGTGTTTCAATAATAATAACCTTGGTTGATCCCATGAAGCTGTATGTATGACCCAGTGCATGCTTGTATCGGATACACCGCATTACGACTTGGTAATCTTTCGAGGTTCCAAGTCGTGCCTGGATTATTATGACCATGTGAGTTAATAATTACAGCCATCAATCATAATTCCTACTTTAGGAACCATTATGTATGTACTGTACTGTATGAAGGTAGAGCACAGGCCCCGTCTCGGTCTCAGCGGCTTCCGATGTCCGACATCCAGCCTAGTCCTCTCAGCAGTCTACCTCCCTAGCTACCTAAACTTAACTGCCTTGGGATTAATGACACAGCTGGCTGCTAACAAGATAGGCAGTTATGTCTGTCCATCAACAGAGTCACCTTACCTTGTTGGTGAAGATCAGGTGAGCACGGAGTAGGAGTAGGAGTAAGGAGAGGGTGGCCCATGCAGCGTGGAGAGCAGAGTGCGGGGGAATAGCATTAATTTAGGTACATAATTAGTGCAAGTTATAAAATAATGCATCTAGTACAGACATCAGGAGACTGTGCATTATGATTATTCGTTCTTTGTGACTGACATATCCATCCTATGCATGTACATACACATATATGTACCGTACTGTCCCAAAGGCATATACGAGCCATTTTTGTGTCTAAGAGCAGCAATCCGTTGGCTACATAGTTAGTGAATTAGGTATACGTATTAGCAGTGCTCGATCCTGATCAACCAGTAGGAGTGATAGAATAATAAGAAGACGGGCTAATCGAAGGACTACAACCTAGGTACACACATAGAAATGTATACAATACTCATGTACTTACTGTATTTCCAGAGAAAAAGGAGAGGAATCAATAACCAATCTATCAATCAACCAACCCTAGCTAGCTAGGTAGATGCGCAAGCACACTTCCAACTTTGCAGCACTGTTGAAACTTAACTTGACACTATCTACAGTACTAGTAACTTCAGCCTAAAGCCAGAAGGCTACTCTACTTATTAAAGCACTATCATTATTATTTCCAATCGCGACACTCTATTCATCTATCCATCAATCATCCATCTATCTTCTAATGTAACTCCAACCCCTTTGAATTCAGTCAACCAGTCAGTATGTATTTCATCATTTCATCAGAACCTAATTATTGAAACGAGGAAAAAAAGTTTGAGAAAGAGAGATGAGGCTACATCCGCAACAGCAGCAACGGACTTAAGTTCGTTCGAATGCCGGCCGGATTTAAGTTTGTTAAATCCAGCTCCGAAGTGCACAGCGCAGTGCAGCACGACAGGACAGGACAGGACCCGGTCGACCGGTTCAGGGCCGAGAGGACTTTGTATTGCAGCTGCATTGTAGATCTCGAAAAGTCGCCTAGGCTAGAATCGTAAGGTACGGGATTCTGGAATGAGTTGAGAAAGGCGATTTATCTACATAGTTGACTGGTCGTGAGAGATGGTAGTAAATCATGCTATTTCTCTGGCTATATCCACGACAATACCCACCAGGTCTAGGTTTAGGTAAATACGGTCCAATGTTATCCCCGTGTATTGTCGGAGGTACATACGGAGAACGTGGTCATCCTCGGAGCCTCCGCGGATTTGAACTCCGTTGTGTAACGGCAGTTATAAGAGCTGAGCTGAGCTGAGCCGAGCTCAGCTGCAGAAGTACTATCGTCAGGACACAGACTACAATCGAGTATACGGCAGCATCATTATGATTCGTATAACCAGTCACTACACACAGAGAGAGACATTGGTATATACTTCGTCCGCACAGCAGACGACT